CTATCTGTTACATGTCCCGAAACATAACTAAAAAAATCTGCATCCTCAAATAAGTTGTAAATACAGGGTTCTGTTTGGAATAATAGCTAAACAGACCCTAGAAATGGGAACGCTATCTGTTACATGTCCGGAAACATAATTAAAAAAATGTGCATTCTCAAATAAGTTGCAAATATAGGGTTCTGTTGGGAATAATGGCTAAACAGACCTTGGAGTGGGAACACTATCTGTTACATGTCCCGAAACATAACTAAAAAAATCTGCATTCTCAAATGAGATGCAAATAAGGGTTCTGCTGAAAATATGGCTAAACAGACCCTGGAGTGGAAATACTATCTGTTATATGTCCCGAAACATAATTAAAAAAATCTGCATTCTCAAATGAGATGCAAGTACAGGGTTCTGTTGAGAATAATGGCTAAACAGACTCTCGAGTGAGAACGCTATCTGTTACATGTCCCGAAACATAACTAAAAAAATCTGCATTCTCAAATGAGATGCAAATACATGATTCTGTTGGAAATAATGGTTAAACAGACCCTGGAAATGGGAACGCTATCTGTTACATGTCTCGAAACATAACTAAAAAAATCTGCATTCTCAAATGAGATGCATATACAAGGTTCTGTTGGGAATAATGGCTAAACAGACCCTGGAAATGAGAACGCTATCTGTTACATGTCCCGAAACATAACTAAAAAAATCTGCATTCTCAAATGAGATGCAAATACAGTGTTCTGTTGGGAATAATGGCTAAACAGACTCTGGAAATGAGAATGCTATCTGTTACATATCTCGAAACATAATTAAAAAAATCTGCATTCTCAAATGAGGTACAAATATATGGTTCTGTTGGGAATAATGACTAAACAGACCTTGGAGTGGGAACGTTATCTATTACATGTCCCGAAACATAATTAAAAAAATCTGCATTTTCAAATGAGATACAAATACATGGTCTGTTCTTTTGGGAGTAATGCCTAAACAGACCCTGAAGTGAGAACGCTATCTGTTTGCATGTCCCAAAACATAATTAAAAAAATATGCATTCTCAAATGAGATGCAAATACACGGTTTTTGGGAATAATGGCCCGAAACATGATGCAAAAATCTGTTCTATTAGAAATAATAGCTAAACATATCTCGGAGTGAGAACGTTATCTGTTACATGTCCCGAAACAAAATTAAAAATCTGCATTCTCAAATGAGATGCAAATACACGATTCTTTTGGGAATAATGGTCCGAAACGTGATGCAAAAACCTGTTCTATTAGAAATAATAGCTAAACATATCTTGGAGTGGGAACACTTTCTGTTACATGTCCCGAAACATAACTAAAAAAAATCTGCATTCTCAGATGAGATGCAAATACAGGGTCTGTTTTGTTGGAAATAATAGCTAAACAGACCTTGCAATAGGAACGCCATCTGTTACATGTCCCGAAACATAATGCAAAGATATACATTTTAAAATAAGATAAATACGGAGGGTTTGTTTTGTTGGGAATAATGGCTAAAGAGATCTTGGAATGGGGAACGACATCTGTTCTATGTCACGAAACAATAAAAAATCTGCATTTTCAAATGAGATGCAATATAAAGGGTCTATTATGTTGGGGATAACGGTAAACAAACTCTTGAATAGGGACGTTGTCTATTAAATTTCCCAAAGCATAATGTAAAAGTATGCATTCTGAAAAGAGATGGTGTGTTCTATTGGGAATGATGGCTAAACAGCCTCTGGAATGGGATTGCTATCTGTATACGTGTCCCGAAACGTAATGCAAAAATCTGCATTCGGAAGTAAGATGCGAAGAGATGGTTTGTTCTGTTAGGAATTATAGTTAAACGGACCCAAGAATGGGAACACTTTCTGGTAAATGTCCCAAAGCATAATGCAAAAGCATTCTCAAATAAGATGGTGTGTTCTATTGAGAATAATGGCTAAATAGATTCTGAAATGGGAACGCTATTTGTTTTCTTGTCCTGAAACCTAATACAAAAATCTGCATTTTCAAATGAGATGCAAATAAATGATCTGTTAAGACTGTTCTATTATGAATAATGGCTAAACAGACCTTAGAATGAGAACGCTATATGTTATTTGCTCCATCAGACGTAGTCTATGTAGTAAAACTCTCGTTATGGTTGTTTTGTGACAAACAAAAAACTGGAAGTGGTACCATCGTCGTCAGCATCAATTGCATCATGCAATTACTCTTGTAATTCCATTATTGAATATAATTCAAGGTACATTCTTCCTTTCAATTGATCAAAGCTCTGTGGTACAGGTGAACGAGAAGATCCAGAAACGGTAAACCAGAAGATCCAGAAACACTGACAGCACAAATGCAGTTGAAGAAACATTTGGTGACCATCAGACTATGTCATTTTGTTTTATGGCCTTTTGGGATTTTATGTGAACTTTCCAATTATGACACATGTTGCTATTAGTTGCTTACTGTTTTTGTTTGATGCAGGTTGCAGATTATTACAGGGGACACTAGTTTCGCTTGTCAATTGAACCGAGCATGATAAGACCTGTGTTTTTCTTTTCATACTTTGTATACATCATTATGTTTCAATTCAGTTGCGAGTTAAAAGATAAATTCTTTCATGTTTGCAGATTAATTGGGGGCACAAGACAATCATTTGCATGCTTCTTGGCTCCAAGCATCAATTTATGTAGAAAAGGTATGTTGCACATCATACAATTAAAATCAGAAGATTGATGTCTTTGACATTTCAACGTTCTCTTTGAAAATATGTGATGTATGACACAATGTTGTCAGTTCATTGATACAATCACTTCTAGGTTCTAGGTTATTGCAAATGGGGACACTGGTTTTGCTAGACATGATAAGACAGGTTTTCATTTTCGAATTTCTTGATTCCAGGAGTGAACGTCCGACTCAGAGGAGAAGTAACGGTTATGCAAAAAGCTTACATCTTTCTTGATTCTCCTTGAACTAACAAGCTTTATAACATTGTACGGAAACTCTGTACAGGTGCGATCTAGAGGCAGATGAAGACTCGAAGCCCACATTTGTCACTAACTATATTCTTTTTTATTCTTATCAAATAAAAATCTCTCTCTCATTCTATGATTGATAAAGCAATACGTTCCTAAGCCCACATTTGGCATTATTTGCTTATTTGCTCCATCAGACGTAGTCTGTGCAATAAACTTGAAGTGGCAATTCTGGAAGACACCCCAGAGGCAGGTGAGGCGATGAGGTGACATTGTAGTCTACTTTAAGGACCTTTGTGGAATGCTACTCATGGTACGTTCTTCCTCCCAATTGATCAAAACTCTTATAATACCTTTCTTTGATAAAGAGCACAACTTCTTACAGAAGTTACAACAATGGCCATATGACACCACACAATAAGATTCCTTGATCAATTCTGAAACCCCAACGCCTTAATCCAGCCTTAGGATCAAAGTTGGTGTTATAATTTGTGGTGATTTTGTGATGTAGATGCACAAAATTCATTTTCTTTCTTCATCTAAATTTATCATCGGATTTTATAGAAGGTCTTTTAGTTAACACGTTTTATAATGAATGTGATTGAAGTCTACAGGGGAAATATATTGATTATATGTATTCTGTATTAGCGTTTAATAAGAACACCTCAGGAATTTTTTATGATTCTTGTCCCTGAGGCATGCAAAAATCATCCGACATTATCGATCAGATGTCTTGAGGTATGTATTTAGATATTGAACTTCATATTGCAGCTGACATTATTTTTCTGTTTTGTTCTTCCAAAAACTATCTGATTTTCATATGTTGGGTTTTCCACTTCTTGTCTTCTTGTCAGTTCAGTGTACTGGTTGGTTCAAAACCTTGGTGGTAGCTGTAATTTCTAATGCAAGAGTTCTTAGTCATATGTTTGAGTTATCTCCCATCGGTTTGTGTTTCTCTGAGATTACGAAGGACAAAGGATAAATGGAGACTTTGGATCGACCAACATTACTTTTGTTCAAGTAAATATTTTTACAGGGCTGGTTTTGTCATGTTTCTCTGAGATTAAATTATATGTTTGAATTCAATATATTTATTCCATGTTTACAGTTTCTTTGGGAGCAAGAGAGTCATTTGTGTGCTTCTTAATGGGTACGGATGAACGCCCGACTCATAAGATAGCTAACGGTTATGCAGAAAAGGTATGTGCTCATCATACAATAAAAACCAGAACGATCGATGTGTCTTTGACATTTCAACGATCTCTTTGAAATTTTGTGATGCATGACCATAGTGATACAATCTTTAGCAGATGTATTTGGCTGACATTCTCCAAGATTACCGCATTAAAAGGACCTTTAGAATGTGAATACCGCTACCAGTGCAATCAAGCAGGTTATATTTTTCACCTTTGAGTAGATTCTTTGATCCACACATTTTCTGCGGAACTCGTCTGAAATCTTTCACCTCTCTCTATGTTTCTTGAAAGCTATGCCTTTCTCTGGAAACACCTTGCTGGAGAGTGTTTCTTTTATCATCAACTGATTTGTTTAGAAAAGCTTTAACAAAGCAACATGTCTTTCAAGATGCTGCAACACCAGGTAATCAAATTTTGTTCAGAATTGATAGATAGTTGCGGTAAATAAATTGATTTCGTAGAATGTGTGTTCTATCGAACAAACAGATCGATCTTATGGCGAAAGTGGGATAATTCTTGTGGCAAGTGCTGATATTTGAACTGTTGCTTGAGGAGTTACCAAACAATTACTTGTGGCTGCCCTAGAAGGTAAAGTTTAGTTTTGAGACGCTTCTTGAACTTTGTTGGGTAGTGTGATCGATATGTGTAGACAATCGTTTCTTGCATATTCTTGAACGCTGTTAGTGGGATCGTTGCATGTGTTTTTAGTTGGATTTACATTTTCGATTGATCATAACAATGGTTTCAACAAACTCACATGCTATCACAGTTTGTTCTTTTGCGAGCATCTTCGTGTTTACGGATACCACCATGCTTTTTCTGGTAAACTGAGGAGATCGATGTTTTATAGCCGATCAATGCGACACTACTTGGTTGGGCGTACAACAGGTAACTTGTTTTGGTAAATCTATTGGGTTACGTGTATCTGTCAGCATTGCATACGTATTACATCAGAATGAACTAGTGGTCATGTTCTTGAATAAGTGAACATATATTTGTATGTGTCCTTCTTGAGTTCAAAAGTGATCAATCAAGTCTTTCTCTTCCATTGTTGCAGAACCTCATGAGGCAATTGCTATTGCAATGGGTGGAATTGGTGGAGAGGGTAGTTTTCATCGATTCCTTGTAGACGTTTTCCAAGATTCAAACATCTTTTTCAGTATATGTATTACAGGCCTCTCACTCTGATATCATCACAGCATACATGAGTCGGGAATCACTTGGAGATGTGGTCGAATGATAGAACTAACAGAAAGGTGTGGAGATTCTTGTCCCACAAAAATCAAATATGCTGAGGTACGTATTTTGAAAATTGAATCTGGCAGGCATATGGAGTTCTTAATATTTACATTAATACAAGTCAAGAGAAATTTGCAATCTTTTGGGCTTGCGCGGAAATCATGTAATCGGGCCAATTTTTGAATTCAAATGGGCCTGATTTCTGACCGTTTTAATGGAAAAAACTGGGTTATTACGAAATACCGAAAATACCCTTACACTCTGCCTTTTTCTTTTGGGCGAAAATGCCGACTCCTAAATAAGAGGGTCTGGCTTCTTATTCCATCATTTCTCTCTCTCTCTCCCCCTCTCTCCCCCTACAATGGCGATTAAATCTATCTGGGTTTTTCTTTCGCTATCTCTTCCGGTTCTTGGAGTTTCTTGTGACTCCGCTACTCATCTCTTAATTTCGGTTTCTCCGTACTGATTTCTACGTTTACCCACCTAGTGAATCCAAGGCCAGAAACCCTAGTTTTTCTTCATTTGCATGCTTCTTCCTGATTCCACGCGTGAAGGTCTGGTTTTGTAGAAAAATCTGGTTTTATAGAAAAAGTTGCATCTTTCCTGTTTTTCTTTGAAGCTTTGTAACATTTTCTGGAAACTCTGTACAGGTGCGATCAAGAGACATACTTAGCCGAAGCCCACGTTAGTCCTCTTTTCTGTTCTTATCAAATCAATCTCTCTCTCTCATGCTTATGACGATGGTAATCTTTTCTGAAATTTCAAACTTGTTATCTTTGTGTTGAAGCGTATTAAGTTGTTGGGCTTAAAATGTTCATTGAGTTTTTTCTTTCTTTTTTAGGTTGGTATTGTTCCGATGGAACTACAGAATGGTAAAAACGAAGTACTTGAGGCCAAGGACACCACGGGGTGGAACCATATGTGAACCTGTAAGTTCTTGAAAAGCAAAGATTCATACCTTGTAAGTGCTCTTCTCTGTTTGAATTTCTGCTTGATTAGGAAAATTATCTATATATATTAATCTGTGAAAGATGTCAGATATTGGAACTTTCTGGACTTTAGCGTGCCTCTGAAGCAAAAAACTATCTGAAGTCTTAATATGTCCCGAATCCTAATGAGAACGTTGCTAATCTCATATGAGAAAAATCCAGAGGGCCTATTCTATTGGGAATAATGGATAAACAGACTCGAAAAGAGAACTCTATCTGTTCACATGTCCCAAAACATAATGCAAAAAACTGCATTCTCAAATGAGATGCAAATACAGGGTTCTGTTGGGAATAATGACTAAACAGACCCTGGAGTGGGAACGCTATCTGTTACATGTCCCGAAACATAACTAAAAAAACATGCATTCTCAAATGAGATGCAAATACAGTGTTCTGTTGGGAATTATGGCTAATCAGACCGAGTGGGAATGCTATCTATTACATGTCTGAAACATAACTAAAAAAAAAATCTGCATTCTCAAATGAGACATAACTAAAAAAATCTGCATTCTCAAATGAGATGCAAATACAGGGTTCTATTGGGAAAAATGGCTAAACAGACCCTGGAGTGGGAACACTATCTGTTACATGTCCCGAAACATAACTAAAAAAACATGCATTCTCAAATGAGATGCAAATACAGTGTTCTGTTGGGAATTATGGCTAATCAGACCGAGTGGGAATGCTATCTATTACATGTCTGAAACATAACTAAAAAAAAAATCTGCATTCTCAAATGAGATGCAAATACAGAGTTCTGTTGGGAATAATGGCTAAACAGACCCTGGAAATGGGAACGCTATCTGTTATATGTCCCGAAACATAACTAAAAAAATCTGCATTCTCAAATGAGATGCAAATACAGGGTTCTGTTGGGAATAATGGCTAAACAGACCCTGGAAATGGGACGCTATCTGTTACATGTCCCGAAACATAACTAAAAAAATCTGTATTCTCAAATGAGATGCAAATACAGGGTTCTGTTGGGAATAATGGCTAAACAGCCTCTGGAAATGGGAACGCTATCTGTTACATATCCCGAAACATAACTAAAAAAATCTGCATTTTCAAATAAGATGTAAATACAGTGTTCTATTGGAAATAATGGCTAAACGGACCTTGGAGTGAGAACGCTATCTGTTACATGTCCCGAAACATAACTAAAAAAAATCTGCATTCTCAAATGAGATGCAAATACAGGGTTCTGTTGGGAATAATGGCTAAACGGACCTTGGAGTGAGAACGCTATCTGTTACATGTTCCGAAACTTAACTAAAAAAATCTGCATTCTCAAATAAGATGCAAATACAGTGTTTTGTTGAGAATAATGGCTAAACAGACCCTGGAAATGGGAACGCTATCTGTTACATGACCCGATACATAATTAAAAAAATCTGCATTCTCAAATAAGATGCAAATACAGGGTTCTGTTGGGAATATTGGCTAAACAGACCCTGGAAATGGGAACGATATCTGTTACATGTCCCGAAACATAATTAAAAAAATATGCATTCTAAAATAAGATGCAAATACAGGGTTCTGTTGGAAATAATGGCTAAACAGACCCTGAAAATGGGAAGCTATCTGTTACATGTCCCGAAACATAACTAAAAAAATCTGCATTCTCAAATGAGATGCAAATACACGGTTTTGTTGGGAATAATAGCCAAACAGATCCTGGAAATGGGAACGCTATCTGTTACATGTTCCGAAACATAACGCAAAAAATTTGCATTCTCAAATGAGATGCAAATACAGGGTTCTGTTGGGAATTATGGCTAATCAGACCGAGTGGGAACGCTATCTGTTACATGTCCCGAAACATAACAAAAAACAAATCTGCATTCTCAAATGAGATGCAAATACAGGGTTTTGTTGGGAAAAATGGCTAACAGACCCTAGAATGGGAACGCTATCTGTTATATGTCTCGAAACATAAATAAAAAAATCAGCATTCTCAAATGAGATGGAAATACAGGGTTCTGTTGGGAATAATGGCTAAACAGACCCCGGAAATGGGAACGCTATCTGTTACATGTCCCGAGACATAACTAAAAAAATCTGAATTCTCAAATGAGATTCAAATACAGGGTTCTGTTGGAAAAAATGGCTAAACAGGCCCTGGAGTGGGAACGCTATCTATTACATGTCCCGAACCATAACTAAAAAAATCTGCATTCTCGAATGAGATGCAAATACAGTGTTCTGTTGGGAATAATTGTTAATCAGACCCTGAAAATGGGAACGCTATCTGTTACATGTCCCGAAACATAATTAAAAAAATCTCTATTCTCAAATGAGATGCAAGTACATGGTTCTGTTGGGAATAATGGCTAAACAGACCCTTGTGTAGGAATTCTATCTGTTACATATCCCGAAATATAAATACAGAAATCTGCATTCTCAAATGAGATGCAAATTCAGGTTTGTGTTGGGAATAATGGCTAAACTGATTATTGAGTGGGAACGCTATCTGTTTTATGTCCAGAAACATAATTAAAAAAAACTGCATTCTCAAGTGAGATGTAAATATAGGGTTCTGTTGGAAACAATGGAGTTCTGTTGGAAACAATGGAAAAACAGATCCTTGAGTGGGAACGCTATCTGTTACATGTCCCGAAACAAAATAAAAAATACTTCATTCTGAAATGAGATGCAAATACAGGGTTCTGTTGGGAATAATGGTTAAACAGACCCTGGAGTGGGAACGCTATCTGTTATATATTCCGAAACAAAACTAAAAAAATCTGCATTCTCAAATGAGATGCAAATACAGAGTTTTGTTGGGAAAAATGGCTAAACATATTATTGAGTGAGAACGCTTTCTGTTATATGTCCCGAAACATAACTAAAAAAAATATGCATTCTCAAATGAGATGCAAGTACATGGTTGTGTTGGGAATAATGGCTAAACAGATCTTTGAGTGGGAACGCTATCTGTTTCATGTCCCGAAACATAACTAAAAGAAATCTGCATTCTCGAATGAGATGCAAATACAGGGTTCTGTAAGGAATAATGGCTAAACAGATCCTTGAGTGGGAACGCTATCTGTTACATGTCTCGAATCAAAACTAAAAAATTCTGCATTCGCAAATGAGATGTAAACACAGGGTTCTGTTGGAAACAATGGGAAAATAGATCATTGAGTGGGGACGTTATCTGTTACATGTCCCGAAACATAACAAAAATAAAAATCTGCATTCTCAAATGAGATGCAAATTCAGGGTTCTGTTGGGAATAATGGCTAAACATATCTTTGAGTGGGAACGCTATCTGTTACATGTCCCGAAACATAACTAAAAGGAATCTGGATTCTCAAATGAGATACAAGTACAGGGTTCTGTTGGGAATTATGGCTATACAGATCCTTGAGTGGGAACGCTATATGTTACATATCCCGAAACATAACTAAATAAAGTCTCCATTCTCAAATGAGATGCAAGTACAGGGTTCTGTTGGGAATAATGGATAAACAGATCTTTATGTAGGAACTCTATCTATTACATGTCCCGAAACATAACTACAAAAATTTGCATTCTCAAATGAGATGCAAGTACAGGGTTCTGTTAGAAATAATGGCTAAATAGATATTTGAGTAGGAAAGCTATCTGTTACATGTCCCGAAACATAACTATAAAAATTTGCATTCTCAAATGAGATGGAAATTCAGGATTCTGTTAGGAATAATGGCTAAACTGATCCTTGAGTAGGAACGCTATCTGTTACATGTCCCGAAACAAAACTAAAAAATTATGCATTCTCAAATGAGATGTAAATATAGGGTTCTGTTGGGAACAATGGGTAAACAAATCCTTGAGTGGGAATGCTAATTGTTATATGTCCCGAAACAAAACAAAAGAAAATCTACATTCTCAAATGAGATGCAAGTACAGGGTTCTGTTGGGAATAATGGCTAAACAGATCCTTGAGTGGATACGTTATCTGTTATATATCTCAAAACATAACTAAACAAAATCTTCATTCTCAAATGAGATGCAAGTACAGGATTCTGTTGGGAATAATGGCTAAACAAATCTTTGTGTGGGAGCTCTATCTGTTACATGTCCCGAAACATAATTACAAAAATCGGCATTCTCAAATGAGATGCAAATTCAGAGTTCTGTTAGGAATAATGGCTAAACAGATCCTTGAGTGGAAACACTATCTGTTATATATCCCGAAATATAACTACAAAAATCTGCATTCTCAAATGAGATGCAAATTCAGGTTTATGTTGGGAATAATGGCTAAACAGATCCTTGAGTGGGAATGCTATCCCGAAACAAAATTAAAAAATTCTGCATTCTCAAATGAGATGCAAATATAGGATTATGTTGGGAACAATGGGTAAACAGATCCTTGAGTGAGAACGCTATCTGTTACATGTTCCGAAACAAAACAAAATAAAATATGCATTCTCAAATGAGATGCAAGTACAGGGTTCTGTTGGGAATAACGGCTAAATAGACCCTGGAGTGGGAACGCTATCTGTTACATATTCCGAAACAAAACTAAAAAATATCTGCATTCTCAAATGAGATGCAAATGCAGGGTTCTGTTGGGAATAATGGCTAAACATATCCTTGAGTGGGAACACTATCTGTTACATGTCCCAAAACATAACTAAAAAATCTGTATTCTCAAATGAGATGCAAGTACAGGGTTTTTTTGGGAATAATGACTAAACATATCCTTGAGGGGGAACGTTATTTGTTACTTGTCCCGAAACATAACTAAAAGAAATCTGCATTCTCAAATGAGATGCAAGTACAGGGTTCTGTTGGGAATAATGGCTAAAGAAATCCTTGAGTGGGATCACTATCTGTTACATATCCCGAAACATAACTAAACAAAATCTCCATTCTAAAATCAGATGCAAGTACATGGTTCTGTTGGGAATAATGGATAAACAGATCCTTATGTAGAAACACTATCTGTTACATGTCCCGAAATATAACTATAAAAATCTGCATTCTCAAATAAGATGCAAGTACAGGGTTCTGTTAGAAATAATGGCTAAAAAGATCCTGGAGTGAGAACGTTATTTGTTACATGTCTTGAAACATAACTACAAAAATTTGCATTGTCAAATGAGATGCAAATTCAGGGTTCTGTTAGGAGTAATGACTAAACAAATTGTTGAGTGAGAACGCTATCTGTTACATGCCTCGAAACAATGAAAAATCTGCATTTTCAAATGTGATGCAAAATAGAGGATCTGTTATATTGGAAATAATGGCTGAACAAACCTTGAAATGAGAATGCTATCTATTACATAACCCGAAATGTAATGCAAAAATATGCTTTTTAAAACGAGATAAATGCATAGGGTTCGGAATAATGGTTAAAGAGACCCTAAAATGGCAATGTTATTTGTTACATGTCTAGAAACTTAATGATAAGTCCTGTATTCTCAAATGAGATGCAAATACAGGGTTGTTCTATTGGGAATAGTGGCGTAATAGACTGGAATGGAAGCTTTTAAATTTCCCAAAACATAATGCAAAAGTATGTATTCTCAAATGAGATAGGTTGTTTTATTGAGAATAATGGCTAAACAGACCCTTCAATGGGAACGCTATCTACTTACATGTCACGAAATATAATGCAAAAATCTACATTCGCAAGTGAGATGTAAGCAGATGGTTTGTTCTGTTTAGGAATAATAGCTAAACAGACCTTGGAATGGGAACGTTATCTATTGCATGTCCCGAAACATTAAAAAATGCATTCTCAAATGAGATGCAAATATCAGGTTTGTTCTGTTGGGAATAATGGCTAAATAAACCACGGAACGGTAACACCATCTGTTATACGCCCTAATGCATAATGTCGCATAATGTCAAGATCTGTATTTTAAAATCAGATAAAAGCGGAGGGTTTGTTCTGTTGGGAGTAATGGCTAAAGAGTCCCTTTAATGAGAATGCTATCTGTTACATGCGCAACAATGAAAAATATGCATTTTCATATGAAATGCAAAATAATGGGTCTGTTGTATTGAAAATAATTGTTAAAACAGACATTGGAATGGGAATGTTATCTGTGTACATGCCCCAAAACGTAATGCAAAAATCAGCGTTTTAAGATGAGATAAATGCAGAGGGTTTGTTCTGTTGGGAATAATGGCTAAAGAGTTCTTGAAATGAGATTACTATCTAATGCATGTCCCGAAACATAAGGAAAAACCTGTATTCTCGAATGATATGCAAATACAGGGTCTGTTCTATTGGGAGTGATGGTTAAACAGACACTGGAATGGGATTGCTATCTGTTAAGTATCCCGAAACAAAAGCAAAAATATGCATTTTCAAATGAGATGGTCTGTTCAATTGGGAATAATGGCTATATAGATACTGGAATGGAAACGTTACCTGTTTACGTGTGCCAAAACATAATGCAAAAATCTGCATTCGCAAGTGAAATGCAAGCAGATGGTCTGTTCTATTTAGGAATAATAGTTAAACCGATCCTGAAATGGAAACGGTATTTGTTATATATACCGAAACATAATTAAAAAAATCTGCATTTTCAAATGAGATACAAATACAGGTCTGTTTTCCCAATAGCTAAACAGACCTTAGGAACGTTATCTAATGCACGTTCCGAAACATAAGAACTAAGGTTTGGAGAACAAAGTGATCGGTGCACTAGCATATAGAACTGCTTATGGTGCTAGAACTGGACAGAGTCAACCCTCGAAGTTGTGGAAGTTTGCAAGCCTTGTGTCAAATGGGTTTATGATGGCCGGACCAATGCGATATTTGAAGTTGCTTGTTAGGCTCTGTCATAGTTATGATACCCGGGGAGGAATGAAACGAGTTAAAGATGGTGCGTCTCAGGATCAAATTTTAAATGAGACGAGATTCCAGGCAGCACGAACTTGTCAAGGATCTCCAAGAGGTAAACATGTCAATTTTCATCTAAATTTTATGTGCCAGGAGAACGAAAGTTAAATTGTGCTGATCTTTTTTCGTGTGCCATTTCACAGTACTTGATCTTTCGTTACACTGATTTGGTTGGATGCCTCTGCAAATACGTCAAATAGACTGCAAGGTGTGCAGGCAGTTTTATTATGTGCCCAGAGGATGGGGTCTCAACATGCAAGAGTTGGCCAACTGATTACCAAAGAGCTTGAAGAGTACAGGAATCATGCTGCTACTGATACAGTTAGCAAGCACCAGACCCGTTTAATACTGCAAAGAATTAAATATGCTTCAAATCATCCTGAAAACAAGTGAGCTTTCTTTCTGCTTAGCTTGATATTGTGTCTCCTGGTTGCTGCAAGTGCTTGAAAGTACAATGACTGAAACCCGTTGCGTAATCTAGTATGTATGTTCGGTTCCTTTAGTTCCTGTGCCATTTCTGGAATGAAACATATATAAACTTGTTGCTCTCCGGGTGACCCAAAAAGACTCCAGAGGTGGAGGAAGAAGAGGGAGAGGAAAATGACGACGAAGAAGGAGAAGAAGAAAGAGAAGGAGAAAGTGGTGTTGTCAAAGTTAACAGCAGAGGAGACGGAGCATCGTGCACTTCAGGCAGCCGTTCTTCAGGAATGACATATCTTATGTAAAGACCGGAAAACCAACAAGCCTTGATTTTTTTATTCCTTCTGTATATTTTTTACTGTTACCTGTTTGTCAATTTTTTGTATGGCTTTCAAGCTTCAATCAAATGTTTTCGTCGTATTATCTTTTGTTGTAATTTGCGGTCCCGATGAATTCTATTGAGTGATTTGGTTGGAATGTCAGTAAAAACAGGGGAGTTTCCAGTTATAATGCTTTCAGGAGGGGGTAAATCGTGTGTAATGTACATTGTACTCAATATGAGGTTGTGGGTTTTACTTTTTACCCGAAGACTCTCTCTCAAATTAAGGCTAGATGCTTCTGGATCGTCGGGAGGTTCCGGTACACAACCAGGTGAAAACCGGACACGCGACATACCGAATCGTCTATTGCCACTAATTTAAATTCCGGTTCAGTATTTTTGACTCTCTTAACCGAAAAAGAAAACAAAAAAAGGTGAACCGGATTGCTATTCAGAGGTTTAAATAAATAGGAGAAGCCGAATAGATCCAGAGGCGGAGAAGCTTTTTCCGATCCAAGTCTCGAAGAGATCTCTTTCTGTCTGTGAAGGTAATAGCTTTGTGAATCGGTGATTCGATGGGGGATTATCACTTCGTGTACAAGGACGTGGAAGGAGCGTCGACGCAGTGGGATGATATCCAGAGGAAGCTGGGAAATCTCCCGCCGAAGCCTCCGGCGTTCAAGCCGCCTGCTTTTACGCCGGCGGAGGACGAGGCTTCAGCCCCTAAGGATAAGTCTTGGATCCAGGATAAGACGGAAGAAGAGCTCGAGGAGCTTGAGGACAGCAAGGATCTCGACGATGATCGCTTCCTCGAAGAATACAGGTATGGCGATCAAATCGATCCTTCTGATATTTATTTATTGACGTATTTGGACCCCATGGATCCTTCGATGTAATTGTGGAACGGTTGTGAAATTCCGTGCCGGATTTGTTGTCCGCTTCCTGTTATAAAGCAACCCTCGCTAGTTTCTGGAATTCTGGTCAAATCAGGATTAATTCGGACTATTGAGTTCGTATATTCAGAGAGACATGAGGGGGAAATGTTTGAGAAACGAAACTGTAGTTATGGGGGGCCTAAAGCCATATATTGCAAAGCCTTGTCTGATGCGAAATGACCGTACGCTTTGGTAGAAAGAAGAGATTGGCGGAGCTAAGAGAAGCTGCTAAAGTCAGGAGATATGGATCAGTGATTCCCATTTCGGGATCTGATTTTGTAAGGGAGGTTAGTCAAGCTTCTTCTGAAGATTGGGTTGTTGTCTGCCTCTACAAAGAAGGGTATCATCCACTATCCTTTGAATTATTCATCAAACTCTTTTTTTGTTGTTTTTGTTGTCGTAATGTCGGTTCTGTTCTGTCTTGTTTTCGGTATGATAGTTTCGCAGAGTGTGGCTTAATGTTGGGCTGCATAGATGAATTGTCAAGCAGATACCCAGCAACAAAGTTCGTCAAGATAATTTCTACCGACTGCATCCCCAACTACCCAGACCGGAATCTTCCTACCCTGTTGGTGTATCACCATGGCGCTGTTAAAGCAACCCATGTAGGTCTCAAGAGCTTTGGCCGCAGATGCACCCCTGAAAGTAAGCTCTCTCTTTCTTTTGGTCTGAATGGCATATTTGATGACGTCCTCTCCCTTATCACATGTTCACAGAAACAACATTTGATGCAATCTCAATCTTGTTGCACATTGTGTTTGTTGCATCTGTTATACTATCTCTACCATTTCGATTTAGGCATCGTTGTTCATCTTTTTCTTTGTTTGAAGTGATACCTTATTGTCAGAACCTTAGTTTTCGTCGCTATTCTCCATGGAGATCGCATTGCTATACATCAATGATTTTGTTGTTCATGCTTTGAATTGAATTTGCATTTCAGGTATAGCTTTAGTTCTCTGTCAATCAGAGCCAGTGCTTAACGATGGTAAAATAGGAGACGACGACTCATCGAGAGAAGCTGTCATGGCGGGAGTGCGAAGACAGTTCATAGAACGAGTTGTCAAAGATCACGAGGATAAGTCTGATGACGATGAAAGCGATTAGGACACCCGGGTTTTCTGATGATTTCTTTCTTTCTATATATATATATATATTTAAAGGAAAAGCTGTGTTTTTTTTATATCAGTTATGGAATGCAACATTTTCAGACCAGTGTTTAAGGTGAAGAAGAGGGTGACTTCATGAGTGATGTAGTGTTGTTTTAGCTAAAGCCCAGCTTGGAGGCATCTCCTGTTTGCTACACATCTTCTGCTGAGTTTCTGAATTTTTGTTTTTTTGTTTTTGTTTTATGGCAACTCAAGGAAAGGAGAGACCTTTTCTTCTCAAACGCAAATGGAGTGTATTATTTTGGAATCATCACATAAATGACTCTTTGGGATTGGTCAGGAAGAAAATCAAATCAGGTCCGTTTACCTATTAATTGATACCTTTAAATCTTATACATTCAGATTAATCTCCGTTTGTATTTGGGTTAGTGCACGAGATGTTTTAACCTTGTAGTTTCTATTTTTCCTTTTCAATAATATATGGTAGTCAAAGTCTCCAGACGACTTTAGGCGTCGGGTCTGTCCTCGTGTAATTACGAAATTGCCACGAAGGTGCGTCAAGATGCGACCAACTCGTCAAACATTAAACCCGCAGACTCAGCGTGTAGTCGGTCTCCCTCGTCGTTTCTCACATTTATCAACTTATTATATTTACTATATACTATACGCTTCCTATGAATATTTCAAACTTGCCCAACCCCAATATATATATATATACACACACATATATATATTCCCGCCGTTGCCAGAAAAAAAAAAAAAAAAAAAAAAAAAAAAAGAAGAGAGAAGATGAATAACAGAAGTAAACGAGAAGAGTACGAAAGGGTATTCAACTGCTTCGATAAGAACAGAGACGGGAAACTGTCGGAGTCGGAGATCGACGAGTACTTGGGAGAGGCCACGAAGGAGGATACTCCGAGGGAGAAAGAGGGTTCGCTGGGATTGGAGGAGTTCGTGAGGTTAGTGGAAGAAGGAGAAGAGAGGGAGAAGGAGAGGGACATGAAGAAGGCGTTCGACGTGTACGCGGCCATGGATGAGCAGTGCATCACGCCTCTCAGCTTGAAGGTTGCGCTCTCCAGGCTGGGCCATCCCCACTCCCTCCGCCGCTGCCAGCTCATGATTTCCCGTTTTGATCTCGACGGCGACGGCCTCATCTCCCTTGACGAGTTCAGGTCCATGCTCATGCATTAGCCTTCATCTTTGTGTACATATATACCCTCTCTTTCATTATTTATTTCCACCTCCTCTGATTTTCATATGTATATTATTTTCTAATTTTTAGGATATATATATATGACAAAAGCTACGCATTAATTACAAATTTAAAGTTATCTACTAATCAACAGCCTTCTTTACCAAAGGCTTGCAAGAGCTCTCAGAGACCAACGTGCTCTCCTTCTCTAACACTCTGTCTTCTTCTTCCGCTTCTTCTTCGTCTTCTTCGTCTCTTACCAACCTTTGAAGCCTCTCTTCAATCTCGGAAGCATTCGGCCTCGATCCAGAATCTTCCGCTACGCAATCTCTGGCAATTCTCGCCATTTCCAAAGCCGATTCTACCGCATAACTCTCCCCCAACGCACTGTCCATCATTTCCCTCAGCGTTTCCTTGTCCCCGAGCGCATACACCAGTTTCTCCCGTGTTTCTTGCGCTCCAAGCAACGTTTCCGCCGTTTGACCTGTCAACACCTCCAGAAGGATAATCCCGAGGGCGTAAACATCGGTTTCTTTATCATACTTGGGAGAATCATCATCGCATTTCGGCATGCCAAAGTTCCCAACTTTGGCTCTGAGATCTTCGTCCAGGAAGATGTTCCTGCTTTTTAGGTTGCGGTGGACGTAATTCATCTGGTGCATGTATTTCAAGGCCATAGCCACGTCGAGACAGATTCTGATTCTCTGTTTCCACCCCAAGAAACAGTAGCACGACTCGATGAACTGGTTCTTGATCGCTAGTTTGTTCTGGATCCAGTCCCTCAACGATCCATTCTTGGCGTATTCGAAAACCAAATAACCGTCTTTGTCCTCTTCTCCGAAACACGACGTCCCCAGAACCTTGATCAGGTTGTGATTGAAGTATGACTGATCGGTTAGAAGCCCAAAATCGACTCTTTTCATCGTTTCTGCACCCACTCGCTTTATCGCCAAGTCCTTGCCTTTGAACAGGCCGTGATACACCGAGCCCTCGATGTGATTGCCCGGACTGAAATTCTCGGTAGCTCTCTCTAAGTCTTCAATGGTGAAAATCTCGAGAACGAGCTTCCGCGGCGTTGAGGTGCCGATTGTATTCTGACAGTCCGTCGTCGGACCGTCTTGTACTGAACCTTCGAACGAGACTTTCTTGTCGCTAGCGGTGCGAACGCTCAGACTGAGCTGCTGCGTCTCTGGATCTTTGTTGCTGATCGAGCCTCGCGTCTGCGTTTTGGACCTTCTTTTGTGGCGCAAGTAACCAAACACCAAGATCATTATAAGAACGGCGAGTCCCGCGACTGTGCCGATTATGGCCATGTAAAGGCGCTTCTTCCTTGCCCCTTTTGATAGTTTTTTCTTCCTGTGAGGTTTAACCAAGGGTTTAGACAAAGGATCCAGAACCGGCCTATGATCAAGTGGGACCAGAACAGAAGTGAAAGGACCCACTTGAGATCCGTTGTTCACAGACAGAATATCCTTCTCTGACGTATTGAACCGATGGGCTAAGCTCGAAATGCTGTCCCCGTCGCTCATCGGGTAAGAAACAATGAATTCCGCGTTTGAAACGGTTTGGTCTGGGCAACGACACCTAAACGGCACAACCAACTGAACATTCTGTCCCAGATTCTCTTCAGAAACTTCTGGATTCTTCTCTCTTACATCTCTGCATCAAATAAATCAGGAAAACTTGGAGATTCATCCATGTCGAATCATCAAGAAAGTCAGGCAGGACAAGGTGTGGAAACATACACGAACTCAGTGACAAAATCGATGGATAATTAAGAAAGGACTCACAGAAAAAATTGCTTACAGGCAAGTGGTCAGGCCTTGAAGAGACTCAGCGATGGAGAGAAAGCTGTCTCCATTGACGCAAGTTCTGAGAAGAGAGGCCTCGTAGAAGCTTCCGTTGCATCTGCAGACAACTGGGAGAAGCAGAAGCTGACCCTCCGACACGAACTCAGCGTCTGCGTCCAAACCGCTGGCGGCGGCAACAGCTAAGGGATCCACTCCCAGCTGGGAACTCACTTTCGAGAGCGAATCGAACTGTGAATTTGCCCGAATAACCGCGAAAGTCTGACACTTTACAAGCTCGGAACGGCAACTGTACCATGATGCTTGATGAGAAGTTGTATTGCAGCTTTGGAGGTTGTGCTGTTCGAATGCCGACAAGGACGATGCCCAGACGATGAAGAGAAAGACCATACCTGTCAAGTGCCACTCACCCACTGAATCTGCCATGTTTCTGTCTGTGTTCTTGTGGGAGAGTGTCCCCACTACAAGCATTTATATTGGAAAAAACAACATTCAACAGTTACAGGGTTTTTTTATTCCGATATATATATATAATCATATATTAATACACGAACTTGTAAAAAAATCTCAACATAAATTTTAATTTTTTTTAAAAAAAAAATATACAAACTTTTTTTTTCATTCATACATTAAAAATTGAATTTTTAAATGGTTCCCAAGAAAACACCATATACCATGATCTAATTTCATCCTTGCTAAAAAAAAGCAGGATTTAATGTATGATTCAATAAGAGTTCATATTTTTATTTGTAAATTTTAAAATTCGTATATTTATTTGATAATATATTTTTTTTACAAATTTGTGTATATATATTATGAAAATCCTGTATAATGAACGTGTGGGTGATGTGCATTTAAATATGGACGGTATTCTCGGGGGTCAGCAAGATGGCTAAGCATCCCAAAAAATTTCACAGATTCTTGTTGGACCTCTACTTGATATACACATTGCAACATTCACGCCGCTCCAACCACATGGGTATCATCATCCCACTTTGTTCTAAGCTTTATTTTATTATTATTATTATTCGTTCACTCTTAATTTGAAAACAGGGGGCTTATAGGCCAAGTGACCCCCTTTTTATCCTCATTTCGCCTTATAATCTTGGAATTATGGCCGCATCTTTCTTGTGATCCGTTCGGAGAGCAAACCCATGTTCATTATATTTTGTGTTTAGTCGAAGAGGATATCTACCATTAGTGCAACCCTTTGAAGAAACCGTGTGTGTGTGTATATATATATATATATATATATATCGATATCTCGCCATTGCATGGCTTTATAAGGTTATGTAAAATTTGAAAGGATGTGATCATTCATATATCTATAGATTGGAATATCGAGAAATGGGATCATGAAAGTCACGTAAAAAATCCAAATGAAATGGAATGATTTGGGGTTTGACATCATATCATGGAGAGTGACGAAGACGACTAAAGCGAAAAGACATGCAATGCGATTACAAAAAAAAGGCTATGGCTAAATGAAACATATAGGTCCATCCTGCAATTGAAAAGGGTTGACAAGGAAAAAAAAAAGGAGAAAGGGATAGAATAATTATCGCTTTGTTTTGATGCAGAAATTAAGAAGAAAAAAATACGCATATTCGTAGGAGAAGGTACAATGTATGCACGTTATCCTAGAAAACAAATTTAAATATTATCCCAAGAATAAAAGAATATTAAAGGGTACAATTTGTTGGAACCAGCGGGAGTCAGTCATATAAATAATCATATGTGAAAAAGGAACGATGAAATTGGCATATCCCCATGCGAGGCGACGCCGTGAGAACTTCGGCATTAATATAATCAAAATCACCATAATGTTATCGACAATAGGTTAAAAAAAAAAGTGGAAACGGTCCAAAAATATGAAGAGGCTTTGGACTGAGCATAAGCCCAAGTTAGGAACACAAAAAATTGCATAAAACCCACTACCGTTCGTTATAAAGTTAGACTGATTCTTTTGGGTTTATATTATTATTATTAGGAAAATTCTAAAAAAAATCATCCTAACTAGCAGAAATATTTATATTCTTTGAATTTTTTTAATAAATCATTCGAAATTTAAATTTAACAAAAATTTTATCGGAACCGAATTAATTTACCACTTACGTGACGACTTCGCCACATAGGTAAAACTTCATATTAATAATAAAAAATTGTAAAAAAATTGTAAAAAAATTGTAAAAAATTGTAAAAAATATGAAAAAAAAATTACAAAATTTTTAAAAACTATAAAAAAATGTAAAATTGTAAAAAGGTATAAAATATTTTCAAAAATTGTAAAAATTGTAAAAAAAAATGTAAAAAAAATAATTTTTTTAAACAATTGTAAAAATTATAATAAAAATTATAAAATTATAATAAAAAATGTAAAAAAATTGTAAAAATCGGGATGGAGTAGAGAATTTTAAAAAATTTATATAATTGTTTTACAATTTTTTTTAAAAAACTTTATAATTTTTTACAATTTTAAAATTTTTTACAATTTTTGAAAATATTTTACAATTTTTTACAATTTTATATTTTTTATATTTTTTACAATTTTTTTCAATTTTTTCTTAATTTTTTACAATTTTCTTATAATTTTTATTATTAATGTGACATATAGTAGTACATAAACGTCATGTAGATGTCATCTGTCTACTTGGTAAAATTAATTTGGTTCCGATAAATATTTTACTAAAATTTAAATTTCAAATGATTTTTTAGAAAAAAATTAAAATTTAATATAAATATAAATATTTTAAAAGTTCGCGATGAATCTACCAATTAAATGATTTTTTTGGTAATTTTCCTTATTATTATTATTATTATAAGGAGGTTTTCAAAATAATACTGCTTGACGTTCTAAATAAGACCTGGACACATCTGATTGGGTAGGCCCATAACAAAAATAAAAGCATATGATGCTTTTTAAAAAATTAACGTGTCAACGAGAGCACACTTTCAGCGTCACAGCCTCAATTAAATATGTAATCTACATATAGTTGTGTGTGTTTAAATACTTATTAATGCCTGTTGGTTTTAATTTCTCTTAGATTTTTTTGTCTTATTCAAAAATCTGGAATACCGAATTATATTTAAGAATTGTAGAAATAGAAAAAAAAACATTTCATAAGCATTGACCGGTCACGCCTCTGCATCTTGACCGGTCTCTCCGGCGAACGAAGACTTTCAGCCCACCCGCCATGTGCGCTGTAAGCATCGGCACAACAACCGGTTTATCAAAACCAGCCGGTATGATCTCAAACCGATGGAGGACCTCCGCCACCAGGTACTTCATCTGCAGAAACGCCATCTCCTTCCCGAGACAGACCCTCGGACCGGCCTGGAAAACCGGGAACTTATAGGGACTCACTTTCTTCAACACCTTACCGGTAAACCACCGGTTCGGTTTAAACTCGTCCCAGTTCTTCCCCCAGATATCCTCCATTCTCCCCATTCCGTAGGGGAAATACGTAACCCGGTCTCCGGCCCGTACCGGCGTACCATCCGGTAACCGGTCATCGGTTAAGGCGTGTTTAGAATCCCACGGCACCGGAGGGTACAGTCGCATTGCTTCGCACAAACAAGCTTTCAAGAATTTCAGCTTCCTCAACGACTCGTAATCGAAATCTCCGGTTTTATCCTTAACCGACATAATCTCGCTAACCAGCTCTCGTTCAATTTCGGTACGATCGGTGATTGACCAGAACAGACGGGTCATAGCGGCGGAGGTGGTGTCTCTCCCAGCCATTATCAGACTGATCACCATGTCTCTCACCATTTCTTCACTTTCTCCCGCCAGAATCAACCTTGCCAGAAAATCTGGATTCTCAGACATGGTGATCTTTGTCTTCTTCTCCCGGATGATGTCGCGGACACAGCTGTGCACTTCTTCGATGGCTCTCCTGAGCTTTCTCTCAGATCCGATCCGGACCCACCTTTTAACCTTCCACACGAAGAACAGCGGCTCGGAACCGCGTTTGGCGCTAATCGCGGACGCTGTCTGAAACGCTTTGTCCAACGCGGAAACCGGCAACGAAGGGTCTAAACTGCACCGAGCGATCCCTAGAAAAACCATGCAGACCATGTTGAACGTGAATCTCCGTAAGAGTTCCTGAAGATCGATTGGTCGCGAATCTTCTGCTACTGAATCCAAGAAAGGCAAAAGCCGATTATGGACCTCGTCTCTTAGAACTGTGACGTAGTCTCTAAGAGAAACGACGGTGAAATCGTGTGTCGCAAGTCTCCGCTGCTTCATCCAAAGGTCTCCGTCCACGTTGAAAATTCCGTGGCCCAGAAAATCTCCCAGGATCTCCGTGAAGGGTTTGCCTTTCGGGAAATTATCGAAGTTTGTTCGGAGAATATACTCGACGTTCGCTGGATTGGCCGTGACAATGGTTCGCCGGGCCCCGAGGCGGCGGATGACGACAGTCCGGCCGGGGCATTTGGTTAGGAGTTCGGTATACCAATCCAGTAACCGGTTCCGGTTGATATAAAACGAAACCAAACATCCGATGATGGGGTAGGTTTTTGGGAGATCATTTCTCGACTTCCAACCCGGAAATATGAGAGATCTTCGTAGAACATGAAAGAGGACGACAAGAATGACAAGAAGAGCCAATGTTTCCATTGTTGAACTCCGAAAACATTACATGAAACGGTTTACTTTAGTTTCTTTCCATTAAAAAGGAAAAGGGAAAAAAACTTTAGTTTATTTAAACACGAGACATATATATATACAATATATGTACGTACGTATGTCTGTATATATATGGTCAACCATGGTATTTGAATTGAACCTAACCTTTGTCACTGTGGCTAATTGGCTGTTATATTCGATATGATCCATCTGATCAGCTATGGTAATTTTTCTAATGAATATATATATATATAGTTTTGTGAACAAGAATATTATAATGTACATAGTCCAAAAGATTATCATTTGATGTGAGATTTTGCTTTGTAATGGAAAATATATTATTAGGAATCGTGAATGTATTCCAACTCATCAGCTTTGGCAAATTCGCACACCAAAATTGATATTCTTATTCAGACCGCGACAACAAGTATCTTTAACATTCGTTGATCATATCCCAAAAATAAAATACCTCTTAGATAATAATACATCAGACGTATATGTATACATATATATACACACACAATGGATAGATTTGTACGTTTATATATGTAAGCGCATATATGTATCAAATTACAACTGAACTTGATTACAAAAGGCGTATATATATAGGTATACTGATGTGAATGTGATCATCAATCAGTGATATTAGCTTTTTCTCCACAAAAAAAAATGTTTGTTTTGTTTTTAAATAAGTTGTAAGATTCAGAGAACGTGTACATAATTAAATCGAGAAAGGAAGACAGGGTGGACAATGAATGATTGAGAGATGCCATATAATAATATTTATACAAAAATATAAAAGAAAACAGTGAATTCATCATCACACGTGACGTGACGACCGCAAATTTATATGCGTGGGGATTACAAAATTGGACCGACTGCGCTTGCTCGCCTTTCCTCACTCTTTGCTTTCTTTCATTATGCATCCTTTTTTCCCCCTTCCACATTGTGAGCGTATATTGTATGATGCAATTCCAAAACTCTCCTTGTACGTATGAACAATCATTACACATTTGCAGATGAAAGCCTGATATGACGCAATTGCAGATGATGAATATAAGTAACACAATAATGTCGGCGGCGCAAAAAGGTGCGATGGTTCAACGGTTAGACCGAAAAAAGAAAATTGATCCAAATGTGTGCGGCTAAAGCCGAAAAAAAAAGAAAGAAAGAAATGGAACGTAACACAAATGCGTGGCTCGACGATCGGAGTTTTCCGATCGAAGGGACTAATGTAGAGATCCTCACGATGTTGAGTCGTGTAGACCCTACTACCATAATAGAGAAAGAATGCATAATTATTTTATTTTTTATTATTTAAAATAGAACATTACAATATTTATAGATAGAAATAGAATAACAAAATATTTGTTTTAATTAATATAATAACTAATATATAGAAATAATAGCAAATCTATAATATGACGTAATAGTGTTATAATCTTCATTATATTTTGATGATCTTCTTTAATCTTCTTGATATCTCTTGATAATGATGACCGTAAGCGGACATGGTACGATAGGCAAAATCGTACTCAAGACAATAGCGATCAAGAAAGGCCACATGGCATATCTGACTCAATATTATCTACAGTCACCACTGTCAAATCCTAACCCGGACCAAGCAATGTGGAAAAGGATATCAGTCAGTCAGATATCGGTCTTAATCGTAAAATCCCCGCTTGAACCATCCCTGGAGCCGCCTCCTTTATAGCTTCTCTATATATCTAGACATGGTTATAACGTTTTTCTTTTGTTGTTATAGATGATGAAAAGAAAGAGTTCATCCATCGTTTTGAATCACAACAGAACAGTTCTTGAAACAAATACGGTTAACATAGAATGGGAGGTCGATACCGTACGAAGAAAGAGTTCATCCGTACACAAGGGCAGCGAGGTCGATATGTCCGAGTGGTTAAGGAGGTAGACTTGAAATCTACTGGGCTCCGCCCGCGCAGGTTCGAATCCTGCTGTCGACGTTTTATATATATATATATATATATGGAGGCAGTGCCACTGCCACTCAGTCGTGTTCAGAACTCACCCAGTCCAAGTTTTTTTTTTTCCTTCCTCGTATGTTTTGTAAGCTTCAGGTTTCATATGCCCTTCTTAGCTCTCTCTATATGTATTTGTTGCTTCATCTCCCATATCACCATCAGACAATAGCTTAAGGTCTCAAGCCAAGAATCAAATGCTTAGCCTCCGAAACAATCAATTATCATGTTCCCCCTTCCTTCTCTACGACCCTTTTCCTTTCTGAAGAACGTTAACAGTAATAATTTATTCACATACATAGATAGACACAATGGTTCTTTCCTTCACCCTCCAAACTTCACAAGAGCCCACTTTAATATTTGTCCTGCTCAAGTTGTATATATATTCACCACATCAAGATGCATATCCGTATATATATGCATGTATATAACCAGAGTCTTTCATAGTATACATTCAAGAGAGACACACACAGCTAAATTAACAAATGGGGTTGGATTGGGGGCCGGTGGTGATGTCAGTGGTGCTGTTCATATTGCTGACGCCGGGAGTGCTGTTTCAGTTGCCCGGAAAGACGAGAGTTGTTGAGTTCGGCGGGTTTCAGACAAGTGGCGCCGCCATTGTCATCCACACTGTCCTGTTCTTCGCCCTCATCACTATCTCCCTCATCGCCCTTCATGTTCATATATATGTTCGTTAGCTTAATTCATCCATTCCAGGCCACGATGTAACCTTACCTTGCCCCTCAAGCAACATATCCCTTTCTCTTCTTCCTTTTTTTTTTTTTGGTGGGTGCGGTTCTTGGTTTCTATCTTGTTTCGATCTGCTTTCTTGATGCCTTTTCTTATTATTAATTGCACTCGCAGATTGTCTCTCTTTCTTCTGTTTTTGTTTGCTTTCTTTAATTTGATTCCCGCATTGTCAATCTCTTTTGGAACATCCAAACACTAACAAGAAAAAAAAATGGATTGGCGATGGCTAATTTATCCTTAAATTAACATCTCTGAAAGAAAACATGAATCTTACTAGATTTACTTTTTAAAATCACGATGTTTTATACAATTACAAGCTACGGCTTAGATGTAAATATGTTTTTGAAGCGAGATTTAATTTATTATATGAAAAGTCTCAATCACGACAGGGGATAGAAATACATGGCGTCTCTATTACATTCGCCACTCTCTGTTTGGAATTGTTTCTTACTGGCTCGATGGTCCAAATATATAGGTACTAAGACAACATACATATATATATATATATATATATGGTGTTATTAACATCTTGAGGGGGAAAAAAACCTAATATTGTTATAGAGAGCCAAGAGTGGTTGGGTCAACTGGTAAGTGGGTATGCACAAAGAGTGTTCCACCCCAGGTTTGAACCCCACACTTGACAAATCACATATTATAAAAAAAACATTATTATAGAGACCGAACCTGAAGATACATGATACAATGTAGAGTCGAATTTTTTTTTTTTATATATATGTGTGTGTGTGTGAAAGGTGAGAAAAAGGATAGGATATATAGATCAAAAAGGGGTGTAGACATGCATTTGGCTCAAAATATGTTGGAAATCGTCGGAGGGTTTATCAACGGCATGGGTGTGAACACCGTCGTAAGTAGTAACCACGACCCCTTCGTCTCGTGTTAGTCTCTGGACTTGCTTCTTCACACTGCATCCTTCGTGGGTGCACCGGTAATAGCTTCTGTTATATATATATGTGTGTATATATATATATATATTAACAGAGAGAGAGAGAGAGAGGGAGAGAGAGTCATATATATATATATATATAGAGAGAGAGAGAGAGAGAAAAGGAAACAAACCTGGGGAAGCGGTTGTTCTTGACAGCTTTCTGACCATACTTCCTCCATCTGTAGCCATCGTCGAGAATATCGACCTGACTTCTTGTCTGAAATACAAACCTCTCCTTCCTCTCTTTCTTCTTCTTCTTCTTCTTGTCGTTGTTTACTTGATCTCCTCTTCCACTTGGATCAGTTCCTTCAATATCATTTCCGAGACGTGACAGTGTTGCCGTCTGCGTAAGACTGCTGCCCTCTCCTGCGTTGATGCTGCTGTTGTTGCTTAACCCTAATAAATTATGAAAATCGCTCGAGTATGCTGATGATGATGATGATGATGATGGACATGGAAACAACATCTGATTGTACTCGTGATTATCCATCTATGTATACATATATGATTTATCTTTCTCTCTCTATATGTATATGTATTCCCTCTTCACTGCTATTATAATAAAACGCGTGTATGCGTTTGGATTGAAGGGGGGGAAAAGTATCAAAAGATTCAAGAGGAAACAAGGTGAGAGAGAGATGGGTGTTGTTTTTATATGGAAATTCTTTCAAGTTGAAATTTCCAAAACGAATATTGCTCTCCAGCTTGTGTATATAACCCATATCTATATAAATGTATCTACATATGTATATGTGTGTGAGAGAGAGAGAGAGACGTAAACGGCACGATAATGGAAGATGAGAGGATGGAGATGGGAAATGGCCTCATTAATTAGCGGGCTAATTAGAGAAAAAGTTTGGTGGAAAAATGGTGTGGCGGCTTCATCATTCCGATCACGACATTTCCAAGGAAAAATGCCCTTTTGTTTGGTTGGAGGAATTCACCTCTCATCGAAACCTCGAGTAATTTAGCGTGGGGATAATCTTTCTTGGCACATGGTTTCCATCACGGAGAAAATATAAATGGATGGCGATATGATCAAATAGTAAATAAACCTAACAAAGTTGATTAGGTACATTCACTTTTAATGAAATCTTGATTTAATAAGATCCAGCAAACGGGTTTCTATATGGCGGTCCAAATTGACACGTGATTTTCATGATATAATCATTACTTGAGGGATTCATCCCCCCCCAGAAAGAAAAAAAAAAGCCCATGCAGTGTTTCAAGCTTTATATTCAACATCAAATAAATTTTAAAAAAAAACCCATATGTTAGGTTATTCTGTTTCTAATGTAAGTCTCCGGACCAACTTTGGTGCGACCAATCTATTCAAACATGCAATAAGTGTAAGCTCGAAATCGACAGTTAGATAAGTGAAAATGACATAACATATGCCCCTCTCTTTCATCATACGTAACCCGTAAATATCTATGATCCATCAAAAAAATATGAAGAGGACATTGATGCTACCTACAGAAACCGAAACACCCTTGGTCTGAACCAGAGGCAAAGAGACAGACACCTGCCTGCGTCATCTGCTTCGTGGAAGCATTTCATTGTTCGCAGACCCGACTGAACCATTTCATCTTTTACGGGTTCCAATAAGCTCTTTAGTTTTCGGGGGCACAAGTAAAGATACAACCTTCACTTGCCCACGAAAGCGCTCTGAAGCTTGTCGATGCCAGTTCCGTCAAAATGCTCAGCTGCTTCTTGCTGCTGGACTGGATCGATGATTGGGTTTTTTTTTCAAGGTTGATGGAAAAAGGAACATCAAGATTAACTTTCTCGAGGGTTGCCCCATTCGAAGGATTTCCATTGGTTGGGACCGTTCTTCACTTGCTCGGATAATGTCACTAAATCCTTTGTGCAGGAACACAATCATATCAGTTCCAGAATCTAACTTGGTATGGTGGTGAGCCCTCAATCTCGAGATGTACTCTGAACCAGAGATCAATCCCTCATTTTCTTCTTTCCTCATGGTCCGATGGTTGAATAAAAGCATAACTTTGTGAAGGAAAACAGAGTGGAATCATCACGGGAATCCTTTCCACCATCATCCTTCCCAAACTCAGCAGTAAAGTCTCGAGCTTTTTCATTCCATGCTGTTCAGATTCTCGTTTTTCTTCCTTTCTCCGACTCATCATTGACTCCATCACAGCCCTTTTACCAATACCCATTGCCTGTTGTATTTGTCGAGCAATAAACATTCCCCACTCATAGACTTCAGAGTAAGATGCCGACGTCGGTCCTGATTCAAAACTTTGACTTACAATCAATAAGCGATTCCAAAAGGAGTAAAACCTCTCCTCGCAGTTTCTGATCTACAAATCTCAACAAGTCATTACTCCTAATCAATATTTGAGATACCCGCCACTCAGAAACTTGTATATTGACTGAACAGAAGAATCAAACGAATATATTCTGAACAATTTGCCTGACGAATCAACAACACAACAACATATGAAAAGACAAGAACTTGGAGAGAGAAAAAAATCGAAACTTTGAACCCAAAGAGGAAACTTACAACGCAGAGAATGTACGTCGGCATTGGTCTAGGGGTTTTAACCCTAATAACCCACTTGGGTCGCAACAATTTCAGGGTACACCACCGAAAAAAAAAAAAAAATTTGCGACCTTATTACGACTAATATATAACTAATATACAACTAAAATAAGAGTAGTTTATTAGTCGTAATAAGTTGTATATTAGTTATATATTAGTCGTAATAAGGTCGCAAATTTTTTTTTTTTTTTCGGTGGTGTACACTGAAATTGCTGCGAACCAAGTGGGTTATTTGAGCAATATTCCCCATTGGGAGCTTGTCGTCTAGGGTTTTAAAAATTAATTTTCAACCCACTAAATGTATAAAACGAAAACAATAACAAAATGGGTCAACGGGTCGAATGCATTTGTCGGAAAAGCCCATGGGCCATGAATAAAAAATAACAGTGGCATTTTTGGTTATTAGTTGGAACAATATGCCTTGTTTTGCGAGACTTGTATACGACGAGGGTTTTTTTTCTGGCACCGTTAAAGAATAAAGACCGAGTTTTGAGCTCTGTCATTGAAGATTACATTTTGTGGGCAGCGTGAGACTGGAGATCACCATCGCGCTCAATTCCTACGCTATCTCCGCCGCCATGGATTCTCCGAAGGATTCCTTGATCCCAAGCTTCCTCTATTCTTCGTCTTTGTCTCCGAGGGCCTTCCGTCTGGATCAGATGGTCAACTCCAACGCCAACACCGCCTTCTCCTCCAATGTCGATAAATCTCCCTCTCCGGCGATGTTGTCTAAGAAAAGCTTCCTCATCGCATCTCCCTCCGAGCCTGGGAACAAGATCGAGATGTACTCGCCGGCCTTCTACGCTGCCTGTACCTTCGGTGGCATCCTCAGCTGTGGTCTCACTCACATGACCGTCACCCCTCTCGATCTCGTCAAGTGCAACATGCAGGTATCCGCTTCAGATCCGTTGTTTTTTGTTACATTTTCCTTGTTTTCTGTAGCTCTTTTTTATTTTTGCTTCTCGGATCCCTTCGGTAATAAGATCTGTGTGTGAAGTCATCTTCTACTTTGGATCGATCCGTGATCTGTTTGTTCGCTGTAGATCGGTTGTTCACTTTCATCGCCTTACATTTCAATTCGTATTTGCTTCGTATTACGAAGGAATAGGGGAATTGTGTTATGGATCTTCGTCATGCCCTTTCCTTGTTATAATCTATACTGACTGCTGGGTATTGGATTTGTCTACTTCGCTTGTGCGTGTTTTATTTTCCTTCCACTTCTCGAATGAATATTTTTTTTCGATTGCTTGACATGCTGATGCTATGTATGGTATTGGGTTCACCTTGTTCGATCCATAATATGTTGAAGGGATCAACTTTGGGCCTTCCCCCTTGGCAGATTTGAAACAAGTAGATAAAGATTAAAAGGCATTCTGTTCTGCAAAATGATGTACTATTCTGTATATACTTTTAAGGCTTACAATTCGTATTCTCGCCTTTCAGATTGACCCTGCTAAGTACAAGAGCATCTCATCTGGTTTCGGAGTTTTGCTCAAAGAGCAAGGAGTGAGAGGGTTCTTCCGTGGATGGGTTCCCACTCTGTTAGGTTACAGTGCTCAGGGGGCGTGCAAGTTCGGATTCTACGAGTTCTTCAAGAAATACTATTCCGACCTTGCTGGACCTGAGTACTTTGCCAAATACAAAACTCTCATCTACCTTGCTGGTTCTGCTTCGGCCGAGGTAATTGCCGATGTTGCTCTCTGCCCATTCGAGGCAGTGAAAGTCAGGGTTCAGACGCAGCCCGGATTTGCCCGGGGAATGTCTGATGGATTTCCCAAATTTGTCAAGTCTGAAGGTGTCGGGGGGTAAGTTTGAACTACCAAAACATCATTTTTAACTTGTGTTCCAGCAAAGCCCTTGCATCTGATTCTGATTAATTTTATTTGCAGCTTGTATAAGGGTCTTGGTCCACTCTGGGGACGACAGATTCCTTGTAAGTCATGGCCTCTACCTTATGACAAATTGCATAATACCGGGGTTAACCCCGATGAGAATAACGAGTCTTGGCAAGTGACTCTTTGAACGTGAACTCTAATGGTATTAATATGGGCATTTGTTGCAGACACTATGATGAAGTTTGCTTCTTTTGAGACAATTGTTGAGATGATCTACAAGTACGCGATCCCCACACCGAAGGAGCAGTGCAGCAAAAATCTGCAACTTGGAATTAGCTTCGCTGGAGGTTATGTTGCTGGAGTGTTCTGTGCGATCGTTTCTCATCCTGCGGACAACCTAGTATCCTTCCTCAACAACGCCAAGGGAGCAACTGTTTCGGATGTAAGTAGCTGCTATGTCTCAGTCTCAGTCTTAACAACAAAGCTGCGTCATAATGGAGTTGAGAAATCCGTCTATTGTATGAGAGATTCTGAATGTGGGATATATGCAGGCGGTGAAGAAGCTGGGGATGTGGGGTCTGTTCACTAGAGGGCTTCCTCTACGTATTGTGATGATAGGGACACTGACAGGTGCCCAGTGGGGTATCTATGATGCTTTCAAAGTCTTCGTTGGCCTGTAAGATTTGTCTTTTTTTTTTATATTCCAAAGTACTTCATTCCTGCCATTGATGAAAGGCGGCTAATGCAAAAGCCTGTGTGTTTTCCAACTGCAGGCCAACCACGGGAGGTGTTGCTCCAGCAGCTGCCCCTGCCACTGAGCTTGTCAAAGCTTGAGACTTGATGAGGGAAGGGATGGCCGAAGTTGAAAGAAGGCAACAAAAAGTAACTCGTAGGAATTTTTATTAATAAAAGATTGAAATGGATTTTTGCTGAAGAGTGTGAGACTCAGCCTGATTGGAAAGATGATCAGAGAGCTGCATCATTTTTGTTTTTCCCTGATTTTCAGGATATCGATTTCCTTCCTTCTTCTCCCTCAGCTATAAGCGTAGTTCCTTTTTATACAACTCCCATTATTGTAATTTGTGGGAGCCGGAGGGTCTTCTTCTCCCTTCTTTCGTGTTATGTTACTTGCGAAATAATGGTCGGATATTCGTAATATTCGAAGTTGATTATTCAACCCTGTTTTGGCAAAGTTTTCACATTTTTATGTATATAAATTTCGGGTTTCTGTCCATCTCCTTCGAGCACGAGCCATTGGTGAAGAGGATGCTTGCGTTCCCACGTACCCTTGACCTAGGGACGTGCCATTTCTCGGCTCTCGTATCGATTACTGTAATTTTACTAAGGACCATTATTTCCTTGCAGAAGAATAAGACTTTGTACCACAAAATAAGACTTTAGTTCGCATAAAACAGTTGGAGCGGTGAACGACTGCCTTGGAAAGAACAAAAACCCTTTTCTTTCGTCTCCAAAAAAAAAAAAAAAAAAAAAAAACTCGCCCGACTGGAACTCACGGCTAAAGGTGTTCAGTCTTTAATACCACAACAACTACTCAACTCTCTCTCCCTCCAATGGAAACTTTCCCTGGACAAGACGACTCTTCTACAAATTAGGAAAAACTGCGTTTAACTTGTACCATAAACAACACATCGCCTTACCATCTTCAAACTCAACGCTTCTTCTTGCTGCTCGCTTTAGCTGAGCTGGACTTCGACGGGGTAGCTACCAGGTATACAAACAGACCCACCATTGATATCACCGAGACGAGCGATCCGTATTTAGCCAGCAACCTCTGCAACATTCGGAACACATTGCGAGTTTCACTTCTTTAGTACTATGCTTATACTGTAACTGTAAATTGCACATCAGGAGGTCACCTTGGCCTGAGGGGTATTTTGGCAGCACCAACAGCAACATGCACAAGATAACAAACAAAGTTATCGAAGACGGAATGAGGGGTGAGAGTAAACGATTGAGAGAAATGTAGAGTTTACCCAGTCAAACTTCTTTGCTGGAGGTCTCTCAGACAGGATGTCTAGAGGGAGTATCGGCGTTGAGTACGCCTCCTACAAGCAATGAAATCGGACTACATTACATTGTCCAGAGGAAAAATGGTAGTAACCTGCCTGCTAAGAGAGGAATGGATGCTAAACAGAATGATTAATTGAGGATTAAGAAGCTCAATTCCATTAATCAGTCACAGAAGGTTCTCTTTCCTTTTCATTATCATTAGAATTCATTGCATAGAGGATATGACATTAGGTTTTACGTGGGTTGCCACCTACAACAACTCTCCTCCTTTAACCGGGCATGGAACCAACTAAACATGAGCTGACTCAATCAATGCCTCGGCGGAGTGTTCTTTTCCATTATCCTATACAAAAATCTTATAACTAAAACTAGGGTCAAGATGGAAGAACATCCAAAACCTGAAGAGCAGACTTTGAAGGGATGCGGAAAGTAACCACAGCCGAAGCGCCGTAGTAAATTCCTTTCGCCTTGGCCTCCAGTTCGAAGGAATGAGACAGAATACCTCCTCTGCAAGCAAATTGGGAATATGGAATTGGCAAGAAAAAGAAAGGTGAAGCAGCTGTAAACCCATTTAATAACAGTAACCAAGAGCAGGATGTAATGGAACTCTCACGCATCAAGTCTTTCCCATGATCTTGAAGTGTTTCCGCTAACTACTTCAAACCTGTCTTCATCCCAGCCATTATCTGTCACGGTCACATCATACGCCGTCCTGAAAATATATATGATTCTTTAGTAACAATCAATGACAGAGAATCCTTCACTCTGATAGATCCATAACTGATGAACAGTTTCAAGCAGAAGATCAGAAGTGCGATTCGACATTGAAACATCGGAGCTGATGATTTTTAATCCAAAGAAACAAATTTATTGAAGTTCTTTTGCAAGCCTGAAGGGTGTATCCCAAATTATGTCCCCGTAAGAAAACGACTGCTAAATCAACATCTGCACGCCTACAGGATGGCCAGTACAACCAAATCATATTGTTCTCCGTGTAGTTACCATAGACAAAGATCCTGACACATGCACTATGCACTTGGCAAAATCTCAGGGGAACAATCGCCAGACACCACCGATAATTAACAACGCATTCCGTTCATGCAAGAGGTTTTGGCGAGATTGCTAGAAATTAACAGATAAATTAACACCCGATCCAGAAGAGGGAGGGGGAAACTACAGATCAAACAGATAACCAAAGAGGAAGAAGAAAACTGACGAGGATCCTTGGTTGAAGATGTCGATGGAGACGGAGACGCGTTCGGCGCCGGATTGAAGCCTGTTGAGACTCGCCTTCTTGTGGACCACCATGAAGGGCACTTCGGTGGTAGCAAGTGAAGATGAAACAAGCATCAAGACCGCCATGGCGGATATCAGAAGCTTCGCAATCGGGATCGCCATTTGTCCGTTTTAGGGAAAAAAAAAAATAGTTGAAACTGGAGGAAGAGGAACCACTGCAGATCGATCTACCAATGTTTCCTTCTTCCGTTTGTATATTTCTCCGTCGAGGGGGAAAAAGATAATAGGCCATTGGGCCGTAACTGGCCCAACTTGTAATTTGATCATTTCGGCCCACTTTTTCAGCCCGGATAAAGAATAATACGTTTATATATAATAATAATAATAATAATAATAATCTTATTTTTTTATATAATAATATTAATCTTATTATTGCACATATGACCATGAATGTCAAATTGTCAATGGCATACTGTGCAACAAAACATTACATTATATCTAATATAATAACTTGGTATGTATTTTAATGATATTTATATATGGACATAATTATCATCAGAAGGTTGTCGAATTATTCAGCTTAGGTAACGTTGTAAACTGTGAAATTTTCAAACGGGAAATTTACCTTCGGATAAGCACGTACATATACGTATTCGCCGGAGGACATGACATGTCGACATGCTCATGGATATATGTTGAAAGCATGTACATATACGTATGTGTTGGAGGACATGACATGTTGACATGTTCATAGATATGTGTGTGTTGGGAATGGGAGGAGAAGGAGCGGGATTTAGTCTTTAATTGAGGTTGTTGTCTTTTTGTGGGTTGTTTTTGTACACATAGAACATGGTGATTGGTGAGCATGTGAGCCGTGTCGAGGATTTGGGCTCTCATAATTAATTAGTGTTTTAATATATATATATATATATATATATATATATATATATATAAATACCATTACATTATACACGTTAATCTCCTCTGTTTAATTGTTTAGATATATAAATCTGAATGAGTGTATGTATGTATGTATGACCATGTTCTTGTTATGTTCCCACTTTGTTGTTCTAATGAAGCTCAAAGGTTTTTTGTCTTTTTATTGTCTACATGAACAACCTAATTTTGTTTTGATTTATTTCACGAATACACCACACAGACAGACTATGTATGAATCATATTGGATAGCGTATCTGTAGATATATATACATATATGTTTGTGTATATACACGTGCATACACCGATGAGATAAAAGAATCTTGGATTCATCCAAAATATATCAAGTTGAATTCCAACTCTTCTTTTGTCTGCATCTCCTAATTTGCTATTCCCAACATTTAATAAGAAACCCACATGAAATATCAATCTTTCTAAACAAAGAGAATCGACTTCCGATCTCGTGTGAACTTCCATGTGAAGCCTCTTTTCCTATATACTCAGATATCTATAATTAATCATAAATATATATAATATATATATTTTAAAAAAATTGTAAGATACTTATTGTAAATTTGGTCAGTAATTATTTCAAAAAAGGTTTTCTATTTATTTCTTAACTATATACATATATGTTATATATATTATAATAATAATTATAATTATCAAAATTTACATATCTAGAAGTAGGTTATATTTTATTTTAGAAACACACAATTATTTTTTAAACCATAATATCTCATATTGTTTGTTTTCCTATCCTTGGCAATACCCCTTTTGGGAATTAGTTGCACCATTATAATCAGTGAAAGAAAAAGGAAAATATTATACATGGAATATTTTTCTTCTTTTAAAAAAGTTTCTCATAGAGATAGAGTTCATGAAGCACAGAAAAGAATACCTCTTCTTCTTCTCAAGGCCATTACAGATTCCACTGATGAACAACAACAAGATTTTTCATCTCAATATAAGATCAGAATTGGGTTTCAATGTCCAAAAGAAGGGACATAGAACAATGCACTGTCAATTCCTATGAAACACACAGCTTTTCTCAGTTGGATCTCCCCTGTCTTGTCCTTTCTCTGTTCCCCTCGGACATCTGATTAGGTTAGGGTTAAGATGACGGCCCCAGCTGAACTCGGAGGAGGAGGAGGGATTTCACCGGCGGATTCAAGTGTGAAGTCGATGCAACTAACATGGCCATCTCTCTCTCTGCTCCTTACGGCCTTTGATCTCCTTCTCTGAAACACACTGTACACTGCCCACTCTCCACTCCCCATACCAAACATCTGCAAGGAAACCAAAACCCACCAGTTATTTTCCCTCTAATAAAGGGAAAGTCCATTCCTTTATCGATCATCGATATGTTTTGTATACCTTTGCTATTGCTGATGCAGAGCCCACAAGGCAATACTCTCTCATGACCCATCTGGTTTTGTTGCAGTTAATCGGAGACTTGTCCGATTCGAAGAATGCAAGAGTCCTCCTCATTCCCACCGTTTTACCAGAAGCAGTGATCTGTCTCTCTACGCCAGTAGCTTTCCAGTAGCCTTCACAGGCTGACAATCTGTTGCTCAAGTGCTGCTTTGTCTTCCGGCAAAAGAAGTACCTGTCCTTCTCCTTCCCCTCGCCTAAACCAAATCCCCACAGTTCCCCTCAGTGTTAGCAGAAGAAAGTCAAAGTAAAAAAAAGCCTTGTCCATTGTCCGCATAGCTATCACTATCAGTTAGACCCTGATGATGATGTTTTTGTCCCAAACGGAATGTGGGTATTTGAACAAAACATATAAAAAAAGGAACAGTAGCGAGAAAGATCAAAACCCTGTGGCAAAGTTGAAACCTTTCAGAGACCCATTTGAAAACACATACATACATATATAGACACACACACATATGATATATATATATATATACCTGTGAAATTTCGAGGGTGAGAGGAGAATACGTCGAAAACAGGGATGACAGAAGCAGGCAAAGGAAAAGCAAAGGCCTTTCGGAGCAAGTAATGGACGATTAGCTCCTCATCTGTCGGACGAAATCTATACCCAATGGGCAATTCCACGCCTCCTTTCACCACTTCCCTCTTCCCTGCCTCCATTCCTGTCTCCATCTCTTCTCCCAAACGTTGATGTATTTCAGTTCAGACCCCAGAAAAAAAAAACAAAGAAATCTAAATCGGATTTAAACACATTGATGATCCATTTAAGAAGAGCGGAGGAGAGAGAGAGAGAGAGAGATGGGATTAGGGATTGGAGGAAAGGCTCGCTGACTTCCTGATTCGTGGGCTTTGCAGATGTCCCACATATATATATATATATATATATATATATATATATATATGTATGTATGCGCATTTACATATATAAGGTAGAACTATTCATAATTTAGTAAACGAAAAAGAAATAATGGACCCACATTTACTTGAAAAGTTCTAAAAATGTATTTTTAACTGAATTTCAAAAAATATTAACGGTTAAAAAAGAATTTTCATCTGTATACATCATATGTCTGAATATAGAACCAGGAGATACGCTGATAAATAGTAAAGATTGTCTGGTGTAAATTTTGAATTTATATTATTATTTTTATTCATAATAATTGATGGCGGTTTTTGGCCAAAAAGAAAAGACAGTGCCAGTCTGACTTCTGAAAATAAATAAAATATATAAACTATTTGGAGAAGTTGCCTGTTGGGAGAAACGTGTCAGGATCGGCTATCTACTTTGTCTTTCGGCCCCGACACTACATGAATTATATCGATGGTCAATTTTAATTTTAAAACTTATGCAAATATTTTTAAAAATTATTTTAGTTTTTTTAAATAAAATTTTGATTACTAAATGTAATTGTAGAAAAATAAAATGCGGAAATAAAATAAAACAAATAGAAAAGAACGGAATTACTTTTATTACTACATCTCTTCTTCTTTTTGTCGAATTACAATGAAAATGACTCACATATTTATAAGAAAACTATGAAACAAATAAAAAGGAAATAGAAATAAATAAGATCGATACACAATATTTGATATAATATTATGTCCATTATTATTTCTAATCATATATTAAAATCAATATTTCTTTCAATCACATATTTATTTTCCTATTTCAATATTCCCCCTCAAGATTGATTTTGAAAGAATGCAAAAATCAATCTTGAAAAGATAATGCGATAAAAATCCATAGACATTTTCATTGTCTTTTGAAAAATCCATAAACACCAAATTTAGTTCTTTTAGAGAATATTACCCATGTTCAAATCACTTCGCTTGACTTTGAAGTTCTACCTTTAACTCTTTTGTCATAGCACCTTGCTTGATTTTAGAGTTTTTAGGTTTGACTTCTTTTTGTCACAACATCTCGTTTGATTTTGGGATTTTTACTCCTATTTGAACGATTTAGATATATGAACATCCAAAACTAAAAAAAAAAGAGATTGAGAAAAAAAAGAAGATATAGAGCAGATAGAACCAGACTCTGATACCATGTAGAAAAATAAAATGCGGAAATAAAATAAAACAAATAGAAAAGAACGGAATTACTTTTATTGTTACATCTCTTCTTCTTCTTGTCGAATTACAATGAAAATGATTCACATATTTATAGGAAAACTATGAGACAAATAAAAAGGAAATAGAAATAAATAAGATCGATACACAATATTTGATATAATATTATGTCCATTATTATTTCTAATCATATATTAAAATCAATATTTCCTTCAATCACATATTTATTTTCCTATTTCAATAGTAATACCCAAAATTATTACTAAAATAATTAAAGTCATACCATCTTTACTAAAATATTTCTAAATTGCGAAATAATTTGTTTAAAGTTTCGTATGCACCTTTCAACAACACCAATGAGTGTCATTTTGTCACTAATCGTTTAGTCGATAATTGTTCGATTTCAAATAAATAAAGCATACGAATCGGATGGAATAATCAAGTTCGGAGATTATGGTTAAATTATGAAACCCAAGAGGACATTTAATTTGAAACACAAATAATTCGTATATATTGTGTATACAAATGCCAAGTGACATTTAATTTGAAACACAGCACCTCCGGGTTGCGTCTCTAAACGCACATTATATTATTTTATTCCCTTTATATTATAAACCACTTAATTAATTAAATCTTCAAATCAGCACGATCGATGCTTTCCGATTAAAACTTATTCATATCCTCGTCATGCGACCACACAAATAATTCGTATATATAAATATACATATATATATATATATATATATAATAATCAAATAATGGACATTCGTAATTGACTATATATTTAAGCATTTTAAAAAGATTTTTTTTGTTTTGTTTTAGGAGCTGGCGACATGGATCGATCGTTTGTAATGGATTGCCATGATTTTAATTACCCTTGTCCGAATGAAAACATACAGCATAAAAATAAAAATAGTTAGCGTATAGTAGGGCTGGGCACAAATACCCGAAAATCGGGTATCCGTCGGATACTCGTCTCACGGATACCCGATTTTAGGGTACTCGTAATTTTCAAATCCGAATCCAAATCCTTATTTTTCAATACCCGTGAATCCGGATCCAAATCCGGATAATAGAATTTTTAAAACCGGATATCCGCGGGTACCCGCGTATTATGATTATAAATACAATTATTTTAGATGAAATAATTTCATATTTTTTTAATATTAATTAAAAAAAATTAAATTTATTATTATTTGTCTCTTATTATCTCTTTTGTCTTATATATTTTATCATAATTCATCAATTTTTATAAATATATCTTCATGTTTTAAAAATTTTATATATGAATATTGTTGTTTTTCTTAAATAAATCCGGATCCGGATATCCGCGAGTACCCGACTATTATTCCGGATACCCGTACCCCGGATACTCGTAAATACCAAATCCCGGATACAAATCTCATAGTTAAATACCCGAGCCTCCCGGATCCGAATCCAAATCTCTCGATTTTCCCGGGTATCCGACCCGTGTCCACCCCTAGCGTATAGTTATAGACAAAGAAGACGCGGAGGTGGATTTCTAAACATGGAAATGTTTCATAATATAAAGAACACGGTCAGTCCATTCTCACTAATTAATGTGTAAATTAACTTTTAAAATAAAGGCCCAGGCTACAATAACAGAAGAGGAAAATACTATTAGGCCCATATAAACGACACAGACCCACATGTGAGAGCCCAAATACTTCACGGCCCATGAGCTAATTACGTCCACTTTCTTTTTATTTGGCAATTGATTTTTATTTCATTCCATTTTTTTCAAATTTTTATCCATCTAAAGAAAAAGGGGGAATTTTTTTTAAAAAATTTGAACTTTCTTAATGCGAGAAAAGTATGCGATAGATTCAAATCGTTGGGTGACCAAATCAACAAAAGCTTATACGTTATGCCAACATGCATTTAAAGGTGGATTTGATTATTCGTTTCTGGTTTTGTTGGAAGCAAAAAGAAATTAGGGTATGATGATGAATGATCCATTTCAGACAAGAAATAAACCACCCGCCGCAAGACCCAGAAGAAATCTGTACAAAAAAAAGACAAAAGACAGCCTAAAGTTGGGAAGAGAAGTAAGGTTAGCCTAGTGTTGGATTAGCTGAGGGATGAGCTTGAGAAGAAAGGAGAGCTCTTTGTCAGAGAAGCGAGGCTTGAGCTTAGAAGGATGGTCATGGTCATGATCATGGTCATGGATCATGCGGGAGACGGCATGAGAAATCTCGTGGACATGGTCGACGATGACTCCGTCCACGCCCATGAGGTGCTGCATATAGACAGACTCGACCACGTTGTTGAGCTTCCCGTAAGTGAGGAGAGAGAGGTTGGATTGTTTGATGATGGTGACGGCGGCAGGATTCCTGAAAATGGCCTTCACCTCCGACACTATCCCTTGAAACCCTCCTTCTTCGCTCAGCTTTATCGCCTCCTCCAGCGAGTTCCTCCTCTCGTCCTTGTATATCTCCGTCCCTCCGTTGGTCAAGAAGAACACCTGCCAAGAAACAAAAAGCAACTCTTTGCTCAACATCGTCTTAATCTCAAGTTTACTTGGCATCGATCTCTTTTTCGAATTCTATCTATCATTGTCTGGTTGCACATCAATCCGTGTAAAAAAGGTAAGGATTGTGACGTAAAACCTAATGCCATATTCCTCTAAACAATGAATGTCGGATAACTTACAGGATAGGATGTCTGCAGTTTCCTGACGAGCAAGGCGGCATCTGGTTGGAAGCTGGAGAAGATGATCGGTCTGTCCTTGGCGTGATCAGACACCACCTGCAAGATCGGGCGGAGGAGACGGGAGAGATGATCGTGGGAGTAGACGAGGTTGTCGTCAAACTTCAGCTCGATGTTGAAACCGAGGACGGGGTCCACTTCCTGGAAAGCCTCCTGGAGAGTGCAGAGCGGGTCGTCGTCCGAGTCGATGCTCCACTTCACTATCTTCCCTTCCTTGGTCTTCCTCATCAATGGCTTCCCTTTCCTCTCTTTCTCCTTCTGCCCTCCGTACGACCTGAACTCCTCCAGGCTCAGCTCTGTCACCCTCTTCTCGTACACCACTCCCTGCCCCATCAGAAGAATGCTTCTAAGATCCGATTTTCCTGTTTGATTTCTATTACTTTACACAACAATATTCATGAAACGGTGGCTTACGTTTTCTTCGGAGCAGATGAAATTGTCGTGGAAAATGACCGGGCACCCATCGCTCGTCACCTGCCACAGCATAAACCCCATCTTTTAATTTCTCCGCGAAATTTTACGATTTTCCTCTCCAATCACTTTTTTTTTTTTGGGGGGCAGGTAAAGTGAGAAAGAAAAAACAATATGAACGTTACGGAAAACCCTCCCACGTGGTCGAGGCCGGCGGTCACGTGGCGGACGCGGCGGCAAAGATTTGAAAAAAAAAAATAGTGTCCGTATGCGGCGACACGACACAGAAATCGTGGGTTCGGGAAAGTAAACAAAAAAAATTGATTTTTGAAATGAAAATGGAGGAGGAGGAGGAGAAAATGAAAGACCTGAACATCGAATTCGACGAAGTGGATGGGGAATTTGGCGGCGGCGTTGAAGGAGGAGATGGAGTTTTCCAGGAAAGTTGGAAAGCTTGGGTCGGGAGAGGGCAAAAGGTTCATGCCGTGACCCCTGTGTCCCACCACCACGAACGACGCCGTTTCCACTCCGCCGGAGAAGGTGACTTTCTCCGGGACTTTGGTCAGGCTGGGGACGTCGGTGACATGAACGGCTTTTAGCGCCATTGATGCAGACCACCGAGATTCTGTGTTTTTTTCTTGTCTTTTTTGTTTTTTTTATTGCGGGGATTTTGAGGCCCGAGGGGTTGAAGAAAGGTATATATAAAAAGCACCTCCATGGATCTGAAATCAGAATATTCCCTCTATTCTCCACATATGCCTTTTGGATATTCCTCTCTCTCTCTCTCTCTCTCTCCCCTTCCCTGTAACCTTCCTCTTAGCTGCCGTTGCTTTCGTGATTGACATCCAATTTGCAATTTTTTTTCCTTTTATATATATATATGTATATGCATATATGTAAATATGGAATTATAGATTCTGAAATTGTGTATATATTTAGTCAAATAATTTGGGCTACTCATTACATTGTTCATCATGGAACGCCATCACGTGCAACGTCACCCACTATTGTGTCTCAGGAAAGATCGTTGGCCGGCTTTGACCAATGACGAGAGTGATTTGTTCCCTAAAATATATTTTTAAAAGTATATTCATCAAGATCTTTATTTTCATCATAAATTATATTGATAAGTGCGAAAAAAATATCCATAAAATGTAAAAGTATTTCAAAACGGTATGGCATTAAATGGTATAACTTGCACCGTAATTCTATCAAGTTGCCCGAAATTAATATGGGAAAACGCATATTCTTAGAACATTCAAAAGAAAAACCGTTACATTTGTGTGATAATATAAACAAAAAAAGGGTTATGATTTTGGGGTAGGATGCATGGTGAAACGTGGTGAATGATTGCATCCATGCACGTCGACGAGTAGGGCCAGAGAGCGGCACGTCACAGCACACGGCCTTTCCCCCATGGCAAATGTCTTTGGTATTATGAACGAATGTCCAGTTGAAAAATATAATGAATGACGAAATCATGTATGTAAATGGTTATATTTCATGTAATAGAAAAAAAAATATATGATATGGAAAGAAGCATGTGCATGACACGACGTCGCCATTGCCGCATGGAAAAGTCAAAGGTCAACCTTTCCCGAAAAATAAGGCCTCCTGATCATTCTCTGCACCCTTTCGACCACAAACCTTAACGATCCTAAAACGAACCACAAGGCCTAAAGAGGAAAAAAAAGAAGAAAGAAAATAGATGGGACCATCGACGAACGTTCCAATCCTCTGACGAAACTCGACAATCGGATTAAAAAGATGAACACCGAGAACAATGGAAAAGATGAGGAGGCGGAGATCAGAGGCGACGCCGATCTGCAGGGAAACGGCGTCGATTCGCCGGCAGAGAATAAAGAAATGGATGACAAGACAGATGCAGAAGCAGAGAATGCGGACAGGGAGGGTGACAGTGTCGGAACGGAAGAAACTCCCCCAGAGGATATCCATTACACGCTAGAATCCTTGTCGGAAGAACTCGACCTCTTTCTGTCGACATTGCGGAAAGAGGGAGAAGAGGAAGGAGAAGATGATTATATACAGATCCCTCAGAATGTAGGGAAGTATTTGGATGTATTGGAGGAGAAACTGAGCAAATACGAATCGGGGGAGAGGAAGATGAGGTGGAGGGAAGAATCGGAGGAGGTGGGAGAGGTGATGGAAGGGGTGGAGAGAGTGTCGAAGCTGATGGAGACGAAGTCGAGATTGGATCACCATCACAGCCATTTGATCAATCACGCCGGCTCGATCCAGCAGCGGGCCATGGCCTTCTTGGAAGACGAGTTCCGCCTCCTCCTCGAAGATGATTACAACAGTCATCAGAACGGCGACGAGGGCGAGGAGGAGAAGGAAGAGGAGCCAGGGAAAGACATGAACTATCCAGGCTACCCGGACGAAGTCGTGTCAGTGCTGAGGAACATTGCTGATCATTTGACGAGAGGAGGCTACGGGTCGGAATGCAGAGAGGTGTATATGGTGGCGAGGAGGAACGTATTGATGCAGACTCTGAAAGATGGAGAGTTCGAGAAAGTGAGCATAGACGAGGTGCAGAAGATGAGTTGGGAGACGCTGGAGAGAGAGATTCCCATTTGGAACAAGACTTTCAAGGACTGTTCCTCCCTCTTTTTCCCTGGAGAGCTCAATCTTTCCAACAGCATTTTCCCCGGGGACAATGGCAGCCTCTTCTCCTTCATCACCCATGGCTTGGCCATCCAATTCTTGGGTTTCGCTCAGGCTGTCGCCATGACCAAGCGTTCCACCGAGAAACTATTCAAGATTTTGGATATATATGAGACCCTCCGGGATCATTTTCCTGCCATGGAGGGCTTATTCCCTCAAGAGTTGAGGGACGAGCTCAGAAACGAGGCCAGCAGCGCTCGTTCTCGCCTCGGCGAAACCGCCATCTCCATATTCTCGGATCTTGACAACTCCATCAAGTCTGATTCCAGTAAAACTCCTGTTCCTGGAGGAGCTGTCCATCCCTTGACCAGATACACCATGAATTACCTCAAGTACTCGTGTGAATACAAAGACACTCTGGAACAGGTTTTCAAGCAGCACTCCAAGATCGAGCGGTCCGACTCCACGAGCCGGGATGATAACACAGGTTATCAGCATCACGAGAGTGGCGATGGTTCAGCGTTCTCGGGACAGCTGATGAGAATCATGGACTTGTTGGATGGGAATCTGGAAGGGAAGTCGAAGTTGTACAGGGACGTATCGCTGAGCTGCATATTCATGATGAACAACGGGAGATATATAGTGCAGAAGATAAAAGGGTCACCAGAGATAAACCAGGTGATGGGGGACACATGGTGCAGGCGGAGATCCTCAGAGCTAAGGAACTACCACAAGAACTACCAGAGGGAGACATGGGGGAAGTTGCTCGGGTGTCTGGGCCACGAGGGTCTGATGAACAACGGGAAGATAGTGAAGCCGAATCTGAAAGATAGGTTCAAGAGCTTCAACGCAATGTTCGACGAGATTCACAGGACGCAAAGTTCATGGGTGATCAACGACGAGCAGCTTCAGAGTGAGCTCAGGGTCTCCATCTCCGCAGTCATCATTCCAGCGTACAGGTCCTTCTTGGCCAGGTTCTCTCAGTACTTGGATCCTGGAAGGCAGACGGAGAAGTATATCAAATTCCAAGCCGACGACATTGAAGATCTCATTGATGACCTCTTCGATGGCAACGTCTCCTCCTCTTCCACCGTCGCCACCAAGAGAAGAACCTAGGCGTCTGCCCCTACTATGTCCAGAAGCAGAAACTACACAACACTTAGACAATCAAATACATTCTTTTATATATATTTAATTACTGCTTCTTCTCGCATTGAACTTAACTTCCCTTTTTTCGAGTTTTCCATGTACTTTTTTTTGGGTTCTAAATATACAAGGGAAATCTCCTTACAATTAAAAGGTTTCACGGAGCGGCAACGCCTCACAATTGTCTCAGCAGTACTTCCTGGCTGCTTTCCTATCGAAAAAAGGTTCTAAAACCTCTGTGTATTCAGCAAAAGATTGAGAGTTTTATCACTTGAAAATATACCTAGCAACGATACGAGCCTCACATATTCTTCTCCATGTATTTGTTGCTAGTACAGGCGTTTTCTGCAGGCTGTTGCCCCACAGTAGCACGCAAGCTGTTTTACCTTCCCATCGGGACCATAAACGCTATCAATTTCGTACCCGTAGTCATATGTCAGTTCCTACAGTTTGAAACACGAGAAATGCTTGGTCATCCCTACAGCTCAGTTTCTAGGGACAAAGACCCTGCTGAGAGATAAGGCAGGAAGATGGACTTACCTGTAATGGTGGTATGTTATCTGCTGCGAAAAGCACCACCCGTGCGAGTTTGAGATCATGGTGGGAACTCAAAACGCACTGAACAAAAAGGTTTGGCTCACAACTGTGATTTATGAACCTTGAGATGTTCCCTTTTGAACCAGCATCAATGCAGAACTCAGGCGCATTCTGATCTTCTGATCTCTGAATGATTTTGTTAACCATAGGAATGGATACATCCCTTAGCCTTCTCTGTTTGCAAAGAAATCATAATCAATCCACATAAGCTTTGGTTGCAAAACTAACATACAAGATAATTGGATAAAGTAAACAAAAAGAAACTTGTGCACATAGATATTTCCAAACTCCATGAGTGATTTAAACATGGTTTGCCAATATACCTCTCTTCCACCAAGGCCTTGCATTGTTTGAAGGCAGTCAATCTCAAATATATAGTTGTTGTCAGAAACACTATCCACATCGTCAGTTCTTCTGAGCACTCCTAAGTACTCGCATACTGGAGACCCAGCAGGTATGTAGTCCCATGATCTAACCCCCCAACCCTTCTTTGGCGAACGAAACACCTATTTGATCATAAGAAGAAACAACACAGAAAAATATTCTACTTTTTATGATGCATGATGTGATTAGAAATAGCTCGACTTAGGCGTTAAAACTATTAAGATGTTGCTTGATCAAACACTAAATTACAAATTACCTCTAGATGAAATCTCAATCCTTTTTGAGAGGTCCTATTGACACAACCAGGTCCACAACCACAGTCTGGACCACATTCAAATATCACATCTCTGGGCTCAACCAATCTGAAAATGAAGGATGAAATTTAAACCCATAAGCTAAAGATGAAACATAATTCCTAACAGTCAAATATGTAGTGACGAATTGATTGCAGAGAGAATCTTACCTGCCATCGTTAAGTTTAACATATGGAAAGTCCCCACCGTTGAACTTGGCGCAGGCACATTCCCTAGGGTCAGAGCATTCGTCTAGACAGTTACACCCAGATGCATTCCTCGGGATCTTCATGTTGGATTCAACTTTCAAAGAGTTGATGTATGTGAACCCTGAAACACGCAGAAAAGAGGCTAAACCAGCTCATTTACCAATATAAACAAGTAAATATTGTCACTACTACTTTCTACCACTTAAACTTGCCTGTTGGTGCAACAGGTGGATCATCAACACGGTTCGTAGCAGGAACAGGAATAGTTTCAAGGCCTCCGGTTATGTCCTTGCACACCAAGCTTAAAAAAGCTGATGTTAATGAGTGCTGAAGCGCAACTAATTGCACAATATTACACTGGTAAAAGTGTTTGAGACCTACCCTTGAATCTCTGAAATAGACTGAGGGACACGTCCAAACACAAAGTTAACCTGCAATAGCAAAAAACGAAAGTGATGATTGTGCAATAAAGCCAAAATGATTTAAAGATATCAGATACATTTTGCATGCATGACAGGATAAAAACATACTAGACACTGCAAAAGGAAAAGAGAGAATTTTACAATTCGATAGGGCAAGAAGTAATTTCCAGAAGGTTTGGATAAGCAAAATATTGTGTCAACTCAGTCAAATGTGGATGCTCCCACTGGAGAGCAAGCCACACAGTCGGCGTACCTTGGAGCACAAGTCTCTTAATTGGTAACTAAAGAATATAAAAGCCAATAAGACATGAGGTTTTAGAAGATAAACGGTATTCCAATAATCCACAAGCTTTAAGAGCCTCAGGTAGAAACCTTCGCTTGTATTAGCTATATTCTGAGTTCCAAACATGCAGGGCAAAAGAATTCGGAATAAGTTACACCAACCAAAGAACAACCATACTTCCTCACAAGATCATCAGACTGATGGAGTACAAAACCAGCTGCTACCATCAATCATGGTTCAAGAGGTGGGATATACCAATTAAGCTAGATAAAAATCACTGACCGACGTAACAAAAGTAAATACTCCCATTTTTTTTTCTTTTTCTGTTGGTGAAGTCCATTCACACACACATATCTCCACGGGTATGTTTTGACCCCATGATCGTTGGGAGGTTAACAAGAATCGAGCCACTAGACCACATATCTTGTTTCCAAATTCAAACATTGAATAATAAATAAAAATCAGATATTAATAAACCTAGGTCTAGAGAAGATATACCTGATTAGTCATCAGTACTGGTTGCCCTTCCAGTCGCTTTAGTTTGTATTTATACACTGTGTATCCTGAAATTCCCTTCTCTGCCCAGTATCGAACAACCTAGAGGAGACAGGGTACAGAATTAGATCGAACTAAGGCGTCAGATGAATAATGAAAAGTACTAGACATATTGTCTCTTGCAGATCTGACAATTAGGAAATCAAAGGTAAAATAACAGATAAAAAGCACAAGACCAAGCTTAAAGGATAGGTCTGCACACATACCTTGTACAAGCCATCATAAGTGTATACTCTTCTGGTATAACTATTTGTGCACTGGTGACCACGGATAACTCTTACAGGCACATTGTGCTCAATACAGTTCTGAAACGAAGAAACATACTATATAAATTCCATATGGAAGACCTTAAAAAAAAGAACACAGAAGAGCACGTATAAGAGGGACTAACATAACATGAGAAAAAGAATAGAGAAAGCCATTAAAGAATATTAAATGAAAACAAGATGTGTGACATTACTTGTTGGGCGCTTCTCATAGTATGGTAGATACAGATTACAAGCAATGGAAAAAAGGAGACAAGAAGATTTAAAAATAAGACCTTCAAAGCCAAATTGCCGCGAGTTAATGTTTGATCCTGAATCTGGCGCTTGTTACCCGTTAAATTTTGCCCTCCTTGACCAGTGTACACAACCTCATCCGCATTGTCCAGATCATCCTCATACATGCCCGATATAACTATTGAAACGGCAAGCGGTAAAGTGTAGTGACTATACTCCTGCAATAGGAAACAAAAATAGAACTACTAATAGATAAAAATCAAGGAATACACTAAAACACGAGAGATGTATTAGGAAAGAAGGTGTATTTTATTACTCCTTTTTTGTAAGCAGACCCCATAAAATCTATGCCATTGAGCCAATGATAGTGCAAGCCCAAGACAACCATTTCAGCTCTAGAAAAGAATCGGTGCCCGACCTCAATACCTGGAAACAGGACCATTGTCAGAAGGTAATAACAGAAATTTCATGCAGGAGTGACTTGGGCAAAACTTATGGCAACTTCCAGCCAAAATGGGTGGAAAACAAGGTCTTTATAAACTCAGTAAAAAGCGGGATCGACCAACCTGGAAGATTCCCTATCCTTTTTTCCGGATACAATATCTCATTGGCATCCTTCATCTGACAAAATTGTTTCAAGTCTTAGGGCAATGTATGGCGAAAATGAGAGAATGCAGCATCTACAGACCATAATGTTTTATAATCCATCTTTTTGGAAGGAAGAATTAAATGGAAACATGATATTATTCACCAGATGTTGTCATATCTTAGAAAATCTGATAAGCTCACGATAGATTTGTACCATGGGCTCATCTCGGAAGCTCACAGGCGGATGGACTCACGGCGAATTGGCACCGGATGCACCAATTAACACATTTGTAAACTTCTATGCAATTTCATGTGTTTTACACACGTTCTACGCATTACTTTAATACATGTTTGAAATGTTTGGCATCTTATAACATTTTGATAACAAAAGATAACAAGTTGCATCACAGAAAAAATTACAAAGTTCACATATTGACAGAAACGGCTTCATCAAAACCGTGACAATGCAGAAGCACAAAACCGAAGCATAACTCAAAATATCAAAATCTAGAAAATGAAAAAACTAGCAACACATGGTCGAGTAAAACTCAAAAGATTTAAAGACTTAGACAGCAATGATGTGGAAAATCTGCAGCTTGCGGGAACTGAGTAGCAATCAATGGCAGATATGGTTAACATCAAAATACTAGACATAAGTAGATGGTGAATCACTACATGCCTTAGTTAACGCCTTCAAATCAGGTCTTCTTGCCTTGGGTGCGTCCTCATCAGACGCAGCTTTGTTCTGAACAATTTTCTTACATCATCCATTAGAGAACTGAGCCTGAAGCAATAAGATATTGGATAGATCAGACAGAAGATAATTTTACCTTGGTACCCTTCCTCCTACCGCGTTTCCCTTTAGATTTGGAGGCCACCACAATTTTCTCATGTTTCGCACATCGCTTTTCTTCTTCCTGAGAGTATTATGATTTCTCGATGAACCAGTTTTGACACGAATCTAGAAAGGGTACTTTGCAGGTCAAGGAGAAGATGTGGTAATGTACCTGGACAAAATGGAGATAATGCTTGTTGAACAACCTCAGAGTCTCCCTCACTTTGAGGTGAGCCGCCTTCTCGATATGCTCCGAACTTCCATTGCTGTCCGTCTGACCCCCGTCTCCATGAGAAACCGTGTGCGTTGTCTTCGTCTCTTTGGCTGGGGAGCTCACACTTCGACGCGGAGCGCTGCTCTCCGGAGAATTCCCACGCGATGCACTGTCATCGTCGAGAAGCTTGACTCTCTCAAGGACCAACTTCTCCTTCGCTTCCTTCTGTGCTTTGAGTTTATCCTGGATCCTAAGGCTCGCTCTTCGCTCCGTATCGCCTTCGCCCTTCTCTCGCTTCCTCTTCGCCACCATTTCTTTCCCGTTTCCTGCTATCACAGCAGGCGGGTAAATTTCTCGTCGCATTTCGCTTGTCAGCTTCGGATCGACCGAAAACAGACCATTTCTCCCTTTTAGCCAGGAATTGCAACAAGACAAAACAAAAAGAGAAGAACAGGTAGGTAAGGCTTTGGCGGAGAACAAACCTGGAGCCGGAGAGAGAGAGAGAGAGCGGCGAAGAAGACGAATGCGAAGCGCAACTAGAGTATGAGATCGTCTCCCCCAAGTCCACAGAGACAGAAGAGGGAACGTCCTTACTGTTTGGTCTGACTACCAAAAAGAAATTAGGGGTAAAAAAGTAAAAAAAAAAAAAGGAGAAAAAGGATTGGAGGGTATTCCCTCAATTTTCTTTTTCGGTTTCCCTCCTAAAACTTAAGAGTCCAAAATGGGCTTCCCTCTGCATTCCGAAAGCCCGCGTCGTTTGATGTTACCGGCCTTCCATTCTTTGTTCCGACATAAATTAAAAAAAAAAACGAACGGAATCAAACCAAATTAAAATTAAATCAAATTCGAATCGAATCCAGTAAGATTAGATAACCATTACCAATGAATTCTCAAGATTCAAATAAATTAACCATAACCAAATAAACCAAAGCATTCATCTATCTGACTGATCAGTAGAATTGATATAATGGAATTATTTATATAGTTTGATGTGAAGAACGCCGTAGTTATGAAATAATCAAGCATGTGGAGGCTGCAGCGCCACAAGTTCGGTCATCAGACATCCAGCATTTATATAAATAAAATAAAAATTAAAAAATTAAAAAGAGTTGAGAGGACCGACATCATAAAACCAGAGCAGCTAGAAATGCGGGGAGAATTCAACATTAGTAATGTCGTAAATGGGTTTTTAATCGAAAGAGCTTCGTGGGTTTAATTTCATGCGTTACTCTTTCACACATTCTTGATTCTTGATTCGAGATTCGATCGTTTCTTCTTCTCCTTAAATCTTTGCCAGTTGTTCGATTAGGGTTCTGTAGAAATCGGCTGTGGCTTTGCGGTTAACAGACGAGTAATGGCGGGTCGGAAGAAGGATGTGATTCGTCTCGAGCGCGAATCTGTCATCCCTATCCTCAAACCTAAGCTCATCATGACCTTGGCCAATCTCATCGGTCAGTTCCTCCATTTTCTCTCCTTCTCGATTTGCTAAACCTATCCGCGCGCATTTGGGTTTGCCCCGTGTTTCTACGTTCATGGCACCATCGAACGAGAGAGGAAGTCTCGAGAATGGTTTCTCTTCATATGCGCGTGCGGAATTCTTTGAACGATTTCTCTCTTCGAGAGCCTAAATTTGATAATTTTGTTGATGTTTCGAGATTTACTAAGATAAACGTTTCAATCTCTTGCAGAAGTTTGCGTCTTTGGTAATTCTGATAAGTGACCGCTTATTTTCCTGTTCTTCACTGAATCTTATCAGATAACCTCTGAACTGGCTTATGCTTTGCAGAACATAGCAGTGACAGACAAGAGTTCCTCAAGCTTTCCAAGAGGATTGAGTACACTGTCCGAGCTTGGTATCTTCTACAGTTTGAAGACCTAATGGTGTTTAACTCTTTTTTCTCCGAACTAGTTTTCCTCTTTGTTAAACTTGTCTATTTGTTCCTTTTCTTGATAATTTGTCGGCTTTTGCGTTTGTAGCAACTGTACTCTCTATTCGATCCAGTTCATGGCGCTCAGAAACTGCAGCAGCAAAACCTAACTCCTGGGGAAATCGATATTCTTGAACAGAATTTCTTAACTTACTTGTTTCAGGTTGTCTGTTGATTAAGTTATCTGATCCATATGTACTGTAATTTGGCTCCTCTGATGTGCTTATTTTCTTTGCAGGTAATGGATAAGAGCAACTTCAAAATAACGACAGATGATGAGATCGATGTTGCACACTCGGGCCAGTATCTTTTGAATCTACCCATTACAGTTGACGAATCAAAGGTTTAAATGAACAGCATTTAGTCAGTGTCGTTTTAACTAATCATACAGCGTCTGAGAGTTGTGTTGGGTTATCGTTTTCCGGATTGTTATAAACAAATTTTCGGCTTTGGTGAAGCTTGATAAGAAGCTGATGAAAAGGTATTTTGAGGAGCATCCACATGAGGATCTTCCAGATTTTTCTGATAAGGTATTGTTTGAATCGTCCTACATTTGAAGGCTTTAAACTTTTTCCTAAGGAATTGATTATGGCAGCAAAGAGAAAAATTCATGTCTATGTAAAGAAGATTTATTGTGGTTATCTATTTTTTTTCTTAGTATGTCATTTTCCGGCGTGGTATCGGGATGGATAGGACAACAGATTTCTTTTTCATGGAAAAATTGGATGTGATCATTTCACGATTTTGGTCCTACCTTCTGAGAATAACTAGGTAAGTTCTAATTGCAGTTTCCTTTTCTTTTATCTGTGTGCTTGTAAATGTGGACACGAGCTTAAGATACCTAGTAATATTGAGTTACTTTATACAGGATTTTTGGCTCTCGGCATCCTTCTTCTCTGTACTGCTTACTGACGTCATGAATTTCAGGTTGGAGAAACTATTTACAAAAAGGTCTAGCAGACGTCGTAAGAAAGATCCCAAGAAAGATGATGAGACAGACCCTGAAGGAGACAATGATGACTTGTATGTGGAGCGTATTCGCCTTGAGAATATGGAACTGAGGTTGTTCTCTATATCCGATGTCCTATCAAAATCATGTGGCCATAGTTTATTAATTTGTCTTTCACATATGATTGTTTGCGTTTGGCACACTTTGGCTGGTTTCAGTCACTAAATATTTACACATGTACCTTTTGGTCCATCTAATAGTTTTTTCTCCTGACCCCAGCTTCAAGAACTTCTTGAGCAAGGTCACAATCCAAGAACCTACTTTCGACAGAATGATTGTTGTTTACAGGTAAGGTTTAACTCGTCTGATATCAGGTAGTTATTTCTGGTACTATAGAAAGTTGGAAACTCTTGTTGTGGAGCGTATGATGATTGTATTTCAGACGAGCTGGTACTAAAACGAATCAAGAACGAGGAATTTATGTTAAGCATTTCAAAAACATTCCTATGGCTGACATGGAGATTGTGCTTGTAAGTTTTTCTCTCTTCTTTCTGTCTTGCTCTCCTCGCTTTGCTCCAAATGCTCTTTGATTTTAGAAAATGCCTTTTTGTTTCAATAAAAATTCCGATTCTTGTTTATTGCAGCCTGAGAAAAGAAATCCTGGACTGACTCCAATGGATTGGGTCAAATTTCTCATATCTGCTGTAGTTGGTCTGGTTGGTCTCCTTGTTTCCTCTCTCTCTTTTCATGGGTTATCTGTCCGTCCAGGTTATTTGAATTTTGCATGGTTTATTTTACTTTTTCTTCAGGTTGCCCTGGTTACTTCAATTGAGATGCCTAAGGCAGATATGTGGGTAATTATCGCCATTCTCTCAACAGTGGTTGGATATTGTGCCAAGACGTACTTCACGTTAAGTGCTTTTCTTCTTTCTTCTTTTCATTCTTTCATCAAACTGATGATAACCTGCTTACACTAGGCATAAATGGCTTTCGTCAAATCCAAACCTCAATCAGAAAGGTCACCTTGTTGAGGAACTGCAGATTTGTAGAATCACCAACCAATCCTTCCCATATCCCACTTTGGCTGACTTTGGCCTTGCCAGGCTCTTTTGCTTCAAATCCAACTGTGAGCCTTTGGTATCGAGTGCCTCTGACACCAACTGATAAGAACCATAACGATACCTGAATCATTTGTGACGGACCCATTGAATACAACTTCAAAATAGGAGTCAGGGGGCCATGGTGGTCTACTATGATTTTGCCCACTTTGGCCTTCTCATGTTGCTTCTTCAGCAAAATAGGCCTTTGCATATGGTGGTTGTTGTAACATGATAAGAACTCATTTTATATCAGACTAGTATCGTCGTTACAAGTTCATGGGCATGGCTCAACTCTAACGCCAAGCATGTTGGACTACATAAACTTATAAACCAGCAACCATCACCGTGCCAGCATCCTAACACAAACAATTCTGTGAGTTGTTTTCTTTCAGGTTCCAGCAAAACATGGCTACATACCAGAATTTAATTACACAATCAATGTATGATAAACAACTTGACAGCGGGAGGGGTACACTTCTACACCTGTGTGACGATGTAATACAACAAGAAGTAAGTCTCCTGCTTAATCTTGATAATGAGGATGGTTGCTACTATTCTTTATTTATCAAGATTATCGGAGACTGGTTCATTGGTGAATTTTGACTATAATGGATCTTTGCTATCCTGGTTTTTATGCAGGGGAAGCTTTCATATTGTGGTATTTGATAGTGATATTTGATGCTTTCTCCACTCTTATGCTTAGTGATATTTGATGCTTTCTGCACTCTTATGCTCAATATGATAGAACATAACATGTCCAAGAAGTTAAAGGATTAGCATGTTGATCATATTCCTTGACAAAATTTAGCCTACTGACTACCACAGGCTGGTTCACCTGTAAAATAGCAGAAAAATGGCAATGCCTTTCTGCAGAAGCAGGCTCTTGCAAAATCTCTCTTTAACGCTGTTTCTGTTGGGTACAATAGTATGTAACATGTCCAAGAGGATGAATAGCCCGCACGTTGTTCTTTCAAACACGCAAAACACTCATGTAATGACTTATCTTGTGCACAGGTTAAAGAAGTGATCGTCTCGTTCTACATACTGATGGAGCAGGGAAAAGCTACATTGGAGGTGCATAAACAATTAAACACCACTCTCTTATAGTCTCTCTTGTGATGTGTCGTTCCGGCAGCATCAGTGCTATCTTGTTGAAAATCTGAAAACTGTGAAACAGGATCTGGATCTGAGGTGTGAGGAACTAATCAGGGAAGAGTTTGCCGAGAGATGTGATTTTGATGTGGATGATGCAGTTCAGAAGCTAGAGAAGCTGGGAATTGTTGCCCGGGTGAGTAAAACCGTTCAGAAAGCCTTGTTAACTCCATCTTTTGCTGCCCGTGTTTGGGAAAAGACACGGGCTTTCGGGGTGAATCAACGTTAGGGTTTGTTGTTGCAGGACACGATTGGACGGTATTACTGTGTAGGGCTTAAGCGGGCGAACGAGATCATAGGAACCACAACGGAGGAGCTTGTGCTGAAGGCCAGACAGGGAGTAAGCTAAGCCCTTCTTGGTGATTCCTCTGCTCGTGAGATTTCTACTTTTTTGGCTAATAATTTCTTTAAAGTGAAGGGTGGGTAGTGTTTTGGCAATGTTCCCTTGGCGATCAAACTCTTGCTGCTTTGTCGGATGCTTTTCTGCGTTTCTCTCCGATTACCGTTAAAACAAAAATAACGTCCTCCTGCATTTGATTATCGCAAAGAAAATAAAAGAGAATATTTGTATTGTATATATGTTAGCGTTATCGGTTTCATATATATATATATATATATATGGGCGGGCCCAACTCATTAGTTGTGGGACATAGGTTCTTTTTATTAAAAAATAATTTAATAATAAATTTTAAATAAAAAATGTTAAATGCCTTGTAAAAAAATTAAATTTCTTTTCTTAAATTATAGTAATTTTATATTGCCTCGGTAATTATACACATGTAAATTTTTGGGTGTTATCAAGTTCTAGGTTTGATGGGAGGGGAGAGATATAATTTTTAGACCAAAATAGTACATATACAAATGTTGGTTTTGGGTCTATGGTGGATATAGTCTGGGCGAAAATTTGGAAAACTATCCTAATTATCAACAACAAAAAAAAAAAAAAACTTTTGTTAAACGATAGAGAAAGTAACCACACGGAGGCTACTTGGGTTTCTCTCTCGTGTTTGGGTTTCGCTCTCGTGTTTCTTCTGATGGAGTAGTACATAAGAACGTTACAAAAATATACGTGGAAAAGGGCGTGAGGATGTTGCCTGAAAACCGAATAAGGAAATACGTCGTTTTTTTCCATCCCAATCATCACGTCGACTTGGTTTAGCTTCAGTTACGAATAATTTCTTCACAAACGGTCCAGAATCTGAGTCGAATCCCTCCCTTGTGCGCACGTGTCGATCCAAAGCTTATGACGTCGTTAAATCCCAAGTGCTATACAAACACACGTCACGTGTTGCTCGGAGATTCTTCAAAATACAAAAACTATTAAAAAGGGCTCTCTTTCCCGAAGCATAGATGAGATAACGGCGCCCGGAAAATTAATACAAAGGTAGAACGTTACTTTTTTCAACTGTAACCGGTGCTAAACAAATCAATCAAAGCTGAAAAATCAAAACCCTTAGCGTTTTTTTTTTCTGAATTTTTCTTGAAATATGGGGAGATGGGCTTAGAATGGAGAGCGTTGATGTGATGCCATAAAAAAAAATTAGGATAAAAAAACCGAGAAGATTATATAAGATTTGATTTTTATATTTTATATATTTATATCGATTAAATAAGATATATTGTGATTTTATTTTCTATATAAATATTGTAATTTTTTATAATAAATAATGAAAAATCAAATGAATCTCCACTATTTTTCTATTATAAATAACAAAATTCATAAGAAAAAGATGCACCCAAAAAAAAATATGTTTACCAAATGCATCTTTTTTTTAAATGCTTTGTAAACAAAGCGCTGATAAATAAAAGCATCCCTATTTCTTATATATAATTAAAAAAAATGGTCCTAAATTCAAACCAGTCATCAATGTTTTGTTGGTAATGTCACATTCGCCAATACTAGAAAGACAGTTGAAGGAAACAGGAGGAAAGGGAGAGGTGGTAATGTGAAGGGTAATTTTAATAACTAGAACGAATAAAATTCTTAACATGTGATTTTTGTTTTGTTTAATCCATAATTTAATTCCCTATGTATTTGCAAAATGAGTCCTGGAAAAGAAAAAAAAAAAAGAAACCGAAGAATTCAATCATATTCCCATTTCATTGCCAAAGGAGTGACGAGCACAGACATAAGAGCATGAAGAGTAAAGAGACAAGGCATTAACAAAATCCTTACACAAATACCATATGGAGCGTCCCCAGTGGAGACATGACACATCGAAATCCTTATTTAAGATATTAATATTGAGATATTAAGAAGCGGGGGATGATTGGATGGGGAGACTGTGGAGGACGACGGTCTCGACGGTAAGACCGGGTCCGAAGCCGAACAGCACTCCCCAGTCCAAGCCCTCTCCGGTGGTGGCGGCTCCCTCTTCCGCCGACTTCCGACGCATTTCGTCCAGGATGAAGAGGACGCAGGCACTCGACATGTTGCCGTACTCGCTGAGGACGTGGCGTGTGGCTCGCATCTTGTCGGGCTTCAGACCGAGCTTGGCTTCCACCTGGTCGAGGATGGCCGGACCACCGGGGTGTGCGATCCAGAAGATGGAGTTCCAGTCGCTGATGCCCAGTGGGCTGAATGCCTCCGAGAGGCTCTTCTCGATGTTCTTGGAGATGAGGCCAGGCACGTCCTTCAGCAGGTGGAACGTCAGCCCGACCTCCCTCAGGTGCCCGTCTATGGCTCCGTCCGAGTCCGGGAGGATGGTCTGCGCCGCCGACACCATCTCGAAGAGGGGCCTCTCCCCGGCGGAGGTATCGGGGTCAGCGCCGACGATGACTGCAGCTGCACCGTCGCTGAAGAGGGCCTGGCCGACGAGGGAATCAAGGTGGGTGTCGGAGGGGCCACGGAAGGTGACGGCGGTGATCTCGGAGCAGACCACGAGAACGCGAGCGTGGCGGTTGTTCTCGGCGAGGTCCTTGGCGAGGCGGAGGACGGTGCCGCCGGCGAAGCAGCCCTGCTGGTACATCATGAGACGCTTGACGGAGGGACGGAGGCCAAGGAGCTTGGTGAGCTGGTAGTCGGCCCCGGGCATGTCGACGCCGGAGGTGGTGCAGAAGACGAGGTGGGTGATCTTGGATTTGGGCTGCCCCCACTCCTTGATGGCTCTGACCGCCGCTTCCTTCCCTAGCTTGGGGACCTCGACCACGACCACGTCTTGGCGCGCGTCCAGAGAGGGTGCCATGTACGCGCACATGTCGGGGTTCTGCTTCAGGAACTCCTCCGTCAGGTGCATGTGCCGCTTCCGGATCATCGACTTGTCGCCTGAGCACAACCCACATGCATGCATGAGGAAGGAACGTGCGTACGTATAATCAACAAGGAGGAATATAACAGTGAAAGAGGAAAGAACGTACACATGCGCTTGAACTTGAGCTTGAGGTCGGACATGTGGTCGGAGTTGGTGATGCGGAAGTAGTAGTCAGGGTAGTCGGCCTGCAGGACGGCGTTGGGAGGGTTGGCCGTGCCAATGGCCAGCACAGCCGCCGCCCCATCCGCTCTCTGCCCCTTTCTAATCTCCTCCACCGTCGGCGCCATTTCACTTCTCTGGTTATATCGAAACACGCACACCGACTGTTGAGTTGCGAAGGACGATCTACCACTGGTACGTTACGTGTTGTTATAAGTTATATATATATATATAATATAAGTCAAATAATAAATCAAAAGATCACGAGGAGGTAGGTTAGATGGACGGGCGGATGAAGACCACGTGGCGGTGAGTTAGGTTGGTTTTGTGGTTGCCAAAATTCATGTCTAGAAACCACACCACCTCTTCCCTCCCCATTCCCCATTCTTTTATTGAACGGTGGTTTTGCCTCTAACTAATAGAGGGCTGTGATGTGATGATGCAAACACATACACATGTCTCTCTCTCTCTCTCTCTCTCTCATCAATTAATCCACAGTTAAAAAATAACGTTTCTCTCTCTCTCTATATATATATATATGTATATATATATATATATATCTGCACCTAACCCTCAATGTATGTAGTCACGGCAATCCTCCCCCCGATCCAATGTTATCGGTCCCATGCTTTGTCGAGGCAACTATACACGCCAAGATCTCGGCCCCTGTTTTTTAGTTCCTTACACTTGTTATATTATATATGGTTGGTTCGTCTTACCAAAAATAAAATAAATGGGATTTTACAAGCTTAGAGGAATCATCATGCCCTGATTATCGTTTCTTTCTCTGATTTGGGATTGGGATTCGGTAATTTGCCATTTTCTTTCACATGTACAACCCCACACTCACTCTCTCTCTCTCTCTCTCTTTCCCAAACAAGGGTTGATGTTACAGGACTTTGGGCCGTGTTGGGGATACCACACGTTGGGCTTTCGTAAATAGATGCTTCTCCTATTGGGCCACGCTATTGACGGGCCCACCAAACGAGCGAGCGAGCGAGCGAAAAACAAATTAGCTTTTAATTTTAACTCGATTTGGTTCGGTTCTATTTTAATTCCGAACTCGATTTTTACTGATAAATATATCATTTTTTAAATAATTTTTTTAGTGTTTTATTTACTTCGGTTCGATTTTTTCTTTATATTATATTCGATTCGGTTATATATTATTCGTTTTAAATCGGATAAGTGATTATGTTATTAACCGAATTGACCGCCTCTCAAAAGAATCCGTTTTTTTTTTCCTATGTAACAATAACTTGCGAAGAAAGCAAAGAGGGCACATGGCCCATAAAGAGAGAGGTGGGTAGGGAGGGGGGATTAATGGGTTGATTAGGTCATAATAAGACAAAATCTAATTTCATAGTATATATAAATAGACCATTAAGCATCCATCGTAATGCGCTTACACGTTTGGCGCACATGCGTGCCTATTTCTCTCTTCATTGTTCCTTTTCTATCCGTAAGAAAGAGAGAGAAAAAACCAAGTAAAGAAAAATACGCTTTTTAACAAGAAATAAAAAAAAGATATCCATTAATTATGAGGAAGCCCTCCAATTTTAAGGACGATCTCTTTGCATTGAATTTCGTGTAATAAAACGTAAATAAATACGAGAGAGAAAGTTTTTGATCCAAATCACAATGTCTTTGATTAATTTGCTGGTTAATTTCTTAGAGTTAGTATAAAGTTAGGGAGCGGAAAGGGAGGTCATCATTCTTCAGGTGGGCTGCCTCTTAAAACTCGAGCGCTCTTTCTAGGGCTCTTGACCTATACATTCGCTATATCCCCGTGCATATACATATAACCCACATGGGATATACCACTTTATATCAAAAATACCCTCCATCTACTATTTTAATTTCAACTCATACACTTTCCGATCATACATGATCACATTGTAGTCGCATTGGTCGTAACGTTAAATTTATAATAATTTTATCAAATTATTAGTGTGATATGTAAGAGGTGAATTAATGCGATCGCTATAAATTCAACGTTATGACCAATGCGATCACCATGTAACTATATTATAATATCAGTCACATGATCGAAAAATATATGAGTTGAAATCAAAATAGTATATAGAAGGTATTTTTGATAATGTCCATTCGATACTATTCCGACGTCGATTTCCTCCTTCCGGGATTCAGCTCTTTGCCCTTCTTGCCAAACCCAACACCAAAAATAAATGGTTCTTCCCTGCAAATACAGAATAACAACGTCCTGGCTATTTCTTTATATAACGGATTGGCTTGTAACACCATGCAATGTTTAATTACTATAGGGAAGAAAGGGGAATAAGATCCAAGGGAATATCTTGGGAGAGAAATTAAGGCCAAAACAGACAAGATTCAATGGACCAAAATGCATCGTAGAATATAATAATAATGGTCGAGAGAATGGGGAGGAGGAATTAGGTAGGTCGTAAATCGCAATATATAGGGTTCGTTTTCCCCCATAATTTAAATATAAAATAAATAGAGAAACTCGAAAAAGCGCCATTACTTGTTCATTTGCTTTTTCCTCCTCACATGCCCCCCAACACGTACACGGTTGCTCATTGTAGATAATCGAACGAATCCTATAACATGGTCGGAGCGATTATTGATTATATTGGCTAATAACGATTCTTGGATTATATTTGTACAAACAAAGTAATTAAAGATGGATATTCTTTGGTTTAGGCGATGCGAATAGTTTAAAATCCAAGTGATTAAAAGCTGGATAACTGGCTGCAATGATTGATTGATATGAATGTGATATAAGCAATGGCGCATGTTTTATTTCAATTTTCAACATACGATGCTTTTCTCTCTCTCTCTCTCTCTCTCTCCATATAAATGTAGAGAGAGAATGGCGTGGAGCTTATCATTTGAAATTCAGCCTTTTTAAAATTGGGTGCACATGCTTCCCCTTATTCTATCTATTCTCCGCTTAGCACCCACGTTATCGTCGTCATGTGTGGGTATATATATTCATGCATACGTACATACATACATACATACATACATACATACATACATACATACATACATACATACATACATACATACATACATACATACATACATACATACATGCATACACAGATAATCATGTAAACCATAAACACATATTACTTGCTCCCACTGCGAGTGTAACATAACCTTTTCATTTGATTCCTTATATTATATTTCATTATTACCATTACTTTAACAATTTCTGTAAAGTCCCTTGAGAGACGAAAGAAATACCATCTTATGTATGTGTAAAGTTTTTTTTTCGTCATGTGTGGGTATATATATACATGCATACATACATACATACATACATACATACATACATACATACATACATACATACATACATACATACATACATGCATACGGCAGTAGATATATACGACCCACCGCTTATACACGAATAAAACTATGATATTTTAGAATCCGAACCATCGAAGCTTTTGCCGTAATTTTTATCTTCTCGGCATATGTAATTAAATGCATGCAGATACGTATATCTATGTACATAAACACAGTACTTAATTACGTACGCACGGTCTGACACATCATTAGAAAGGCTACTTGGATTTGGATACTCTGACAGCATATACTGCGAGAGTTGAGCTTCTTTCTCATGCAAGAAGATATGCTTCCATTGCATGGTGTTAGTTTTAATTTTCACTCAATAACCATTTTTTTTATTTGTCCCATTTTTTTTTTTTGGTTTCGTCAAATCCTCGATCGGCAGTTGGGGAGACTTAGATTTAGCTAAATTAATAATGGCGTAATTATCATAAGCATTTCCATAATGGGATGATCATGACTTCGACGGCCACCGAATCTTCAAATAAACTCTTTATTTCCCTCGTTCAATTTCGAGTCATGATGACCATCTCGACAAATCATTATACATTTCTACTATTTCGACCCCTTTTCTAGTCTTTTAGCAGCTATATCATTAGTCATACACATATACACACACATATGTATGTATATATATATATATATTATATGCTTGTACTTGCGTTTAATTTGACGCACACATCTCTGTTTTTGCTAAACGAACTTATCATAATTCTATAGATATTTGTATTTACATGTGCATTCAAAATGTATTCTCATAATAACTTGTGCAATGGCTAAATTTGATTCCATATTTTCCTCCTCTTGCTTGAGACAGTATTCTATTTCTTTTTTTCAACACATAATCTCTGTATATCTATTGTTTCACGCTCATTATTGTATATGACTCATAAATATATCGTATGTGTGTGTGTGTGTATTGATGTATTTATTTAGAAACTCCGACGTTAGATATTGGATATAATTAGATACATAATTAATGGTACATTTTACTTTTAATATTAGATTTCTTGTGGAGAGTGTATGATTAGAACCGTCGTTCATGCACATTCCATCATTTGAACCGTCACATGCAAGTATTTGGACTCATTATATCCTCCTATGTTTTTTTTTAATTTGATTATTGCGAAATTTTTATCATTAGGAACATGCTAATCATGACTGTTATGGTTCCTCGGTTTCATGTTTAATTTATTTTACAAAACTGCTGTTTGACACACACACACACACGCTGTTTTTGTAATTTTTGTTTTTTGTTTTCACTTGTAAAAATATATGTTTACGTCAGTTAGTCAATTAATGTACTGATTAGTATATTTTTTTTATTTCTAAAGTCATTTTGTTTGGTAGAAACTAATTAATCTAGACACTTGTGCAATTGCATAATAAAACAAATAATGCGAACTAATATGTATGTATATATGTATATATATGTGAAAGAAGATAAAGGGGTTAACAGTGAGAAATACAAAAAGGATATAAAGAGTGGTAAATAAACATGGGAACTGCCTTACATTATTTTATTCAAAACCATTAGACTGTTCCTTCTCGTCAAAGCTCTTATAAAAGGAGGAAGCAGGGAGGGATCCTTCTCGTCACCACCCATCCCTTGTCCTCCACTAATCGATATTAAGTAGTTTTATAATCATCATCAAAAATAGTTCCACCTGATCAGATTAAGACCATGATGAACACATCATCATCATCAACTCATGCGAGGAAGAGCAGTAAGAAGAAGAAGGAGAGAGAAGGGCAAGAGCAGGGAGGCAGTACGAGGTTCCTGGGAGTGAGGAGGAGGCCGTGGGGAAGATACGCGGCGGAGATAAGGGATCCGTCGACGAAGGAGAGGCACTGGCTCGGGACCTTCGACACGGCCGAGGAAGCGGCTTTGGCTTACGACCGAGCCGCCAGGTCCATGAGGGGCCCACGCGCCCGCACCAACTTCCTCTACTCGGATATGCCCCCTGGTTCCTCCGTCACCTCCATCCTCTCCCCCGACGACCACCACCACCACCAGCCTCCACCTCCCCTCATCTCACCTTCCACGACGATGTTCAGCCACCATGATGACCATGTCAATAACTACATGGCATCAAACGACGATTACGTGGTCATGGAAGGGTCTTCTTCTGACTATAACTACGATCATCATAACTCGAGCTGCAGCTGCTCGTCCGAGCTGCCGCCCTTCCCCAGCGACTTGTCGACCGCACCGTCCGGTTACTGGACTGGCTCCTCCTCGTCCGATGCTTCCTTCTTCGACGTCGACAGTCCATTGTTCAGCACTATGCCCTCTGTCTCCGACTCCCTGCCTGACCCGTTCCACCTCGGATCTTCCCCCTCCTTCTTCTTCTGAGCCAACATCTCCTTTGTTTATCTTAATCTCTGCAATGTGTTTGCCTTCACTTCTTTCCCTTTGTTTTTTTTTTTCGAGTGAAGCTAGAAAGTGTTTATGTTTCGTGCAGTCAGCGCAGTCCTTGGTCTCCTCCGACCAAAGTGACTGTTTCCGTCAATTGTCCGTTTTCCTTTCTAATAAAAGCCTCTCCATTCTCCCCTCCGGACATGTAGATATATGGGCCTGTGACCAAAGCCCATCTACCAAAGCATTATCCGGCCCAATTGCATATTCACAAAAAAAATAAAGGAATATAATAATAATAATAGATGTATGTTCTTTAATTACGAGGAGGATGATATGCTTACGACAAATTTAACTTCATTAGCTAATCCCATAAAGAAGAACCACGTATAATAAGCTCATTAGCGGAATGACGGAGGGAGGGTGGGTTGGGTAACTGTCAGAAGTCGGGGTATTGTTTGTAATTAATTAAATCAAAGATTAATTAAGGATCGTGGGTTTAGTTTTAGCAGAACTCGGGGGGTTTTGTCGCCTCTACTGACAAAATCTGATGCGCATCCATCGTTGTCGAGAGAGGATTAGTCGATGTGTCTGGGGTTTGATAAGATTGATTGGCTGGGTGTACAGAGCTTGGTGGGTGGGTGCGTGATCATTATTACAGAGCTCAATAAGCTGAAATTTGACAGCACTCAATCCGAATCTTAGGGTTGTCGCGTTGGATTGGTGGTTTTAGTCACTTTTCTCGAACGGAGCAGCTCTTCGGCTATGGCGACGGAATCCGGAGTCTCCCCGCATCGGAATCCTTCTCAAGTTAGTTCATTTCTTCCCTCGCTCGTCCATGCTTTGATTTTCCATGATTCCCCCCCTCCCAGCTTGTTCGCAACCCGAAATTCACTTGTGATTTTTTTTTTCTTTCTTTTTGGGGGTGAAGGGTATGTGTCCTGATTTTTCCTTTCAAATCGGAAAGATCAAATCTTGTTCATGTATTTGAATATGAGATCTCCGAATTACGCTCTTCTCCTCGTTATATTGTTTTGTTGATTCAACAGTTTTTCTTGAGGACACCCTTTTCAGCTTTCGTGGGCGAATCTGCCGAGGAACCTGATTCTGGCGTATCAGAGCTTTGGTGTTGTCTACGGAGACCTGAGCACATCTCCTCTCTATGTGTATTCAAGCACCTTCATCGGCAAGCTGCAGAAGCATAAGAACGAGGAGGCTGTCTTTGGTGCATTCTCTCTGATTTTCTGGACCCTTACCTTGATTCCCCTCCTCAAATACGTTCTCGTCTTACTAAGCGCTGATGATAGTGGAGAAGGTGCACTATGAGGAAAATCGAATGGAGACAACGTCTTCTTTTTTCTTTTCTTTGGTTTCAATACATATGGAATGACTGACGGGCTTTGCTGTTTTGCGTCCCAGGTGGCACGTTTGCTCTCTATTCGTTGCTTTGCAGGCATGCCAAGTTTAGCTTACTCCCTAACCAGCAAGCAGCCGATGAGGAGCTCTCTGCCTACAAGTATGGTCCATCCATGGACAGTGGAAATTCCTCTCCTTTTAAAATATTCCTGGAAAAGCATAAACGGCTGAGGACCGTGTTGCTTGTTGTGGTGCTTTTCGGTGCTTCTATGGTCATTGGAGACGGTGTTCTTACTCCAGCAATCTCAGGTTATGTGTCTTACACTCATTCGAGTTGCCATCACCTGTTTCTTGGAATTGAAATCACCACCATGCTGATGATTGAATCTTTTCATCAATCATTCATTCGTGTTTGTGTCCATCATTTACTGACGTATAGTGTAAACTTGAAACATCTCTTGGTTTGCTGCAGTGCTATCATCCATGTCAGGTCTCCAAGCCACAGAGAATAAATTGACCGATGGTATGTAATGTGCTTTTGTCAAGTTTTGATTAAATTTTGTCTATGTTCCTTTTTGTTACAAAATTTGACAATCTTCTCCCCAAACCACAACAGGGGAACTTCTGTTGCTTGCATGTGTCATATTGGTGGGACTGTTTGCTTTGCAACACTGTGGCACCCACAGGGTGGCATTTATGTTTGCACCCATTGTTATCATTTGGTTGGTTTCAATACTCTCCATCGGTTTATACAACATCATACATTGGAATCCAAGGATAATAGGTGCTATTTCCCCGCTTTACATCATCAAGTTCTTCCGAATAACTGGTCAAGATGGCTGGATTTCTCTCGGAGGGATTCTTCTCTCTGTCACAGGTAGTTTCGTATATATACATCAGCACATTGCTATTGCTATTTCTGTTCTGCTTTCCATCGCCGAGGTGCGGAGTCTTGTCGTGTCCTTCATTCTTGTTCTCTGAGCTTCATTATGATGCGGTCTTTTTAGCTGCCGATATAAGTTTATGCAGCTAACCCACTGATTATTTCTGTCCCCAGGTACTGAAGCTATGTTTGCTGACCTTGGTCATTTCTCTGCCTTGTCAATTAGAGTAAGTTGAGAGGAAACTGTCTTTATGTCTCTCACAGTATGTATAGCAGCATACTTTCTCTTCTTATATCCTTCTTAGGACACCTCCTGCCACATTGCTAGTTAGCATTATGCGATATCTTACCCTCTAACGTGTTGATGCTAGCTGTGCATCTCACTTTGTGACACTTTACTTCTTTTCCTTCTCTGCAGCTTGCTTTTGCTGTTGTGATCTACCCCTGTCTGGTAGTACAATACATGGGTCAGGCAGCTTTCCTGTCAAAAAACCTTGGATCTATCCCCAACAGTTTCTACGATTCAATCCCAGGTCTGTTTACATCGGCTGTTACATGAACTATATCATTAGCTCTTTCTCTGAGTTCTCACCTGTGTAATATGGTTCTGGTTTTGGATGCAGATCCTGTTTTCTGGCCTGTCTTTGTTATCGCTACACTTGCAGCTATTGTCGGGAGTCAGGCCGTGATAACTGCGACGTTCTCCATAATCAAACAGTGTCATGCCCTCGGATGTTTCCCACGTGTCAAAATCGTCCACACTTCAAAACATATGTATGGACAGATCTATATCCCAGAGATTAACTGGATCCTGATGATACTTACTCTTGCAATAGCTATAGGCTTTCAAGACACAACTCTCATTGGAAATGCCTACGGTAAACTTTTTTTTTCTTCTATTTGACACCTCTGTGTTTCATTACCATCTATTATCTCTCCTGCTTGCTCTAATTGTCTGATTGTGATTTTCTCATCTCTCAGGACTTGCTTGCATGACAGTGATGTTTATCACCACATTTCTCATGGCTCTGGTCATAGTCTTTGTTTGGCAAAAAAGCTGCCTTCTGGCTGCACTGTTCCTTGGAACTTTCTGGCTAGTCGAAGGTGTTTACCTCTCAGCCGCTTTCATGAAAGTCCCCCAGGGCGGATGGGTGCCTCTGGTGCTTGCGTTCATCTTTATGATCGTCATGTATGTCTGGCACTATGGGACTTGTAGGAAGTACAACTTTGATCTTCACAACAAAGTTTCGCTGAAATGGTTGCTCGGCCTAGGTCCTAGCCTTGGGATTGTCCGTGTACCCGGCATAGGCCTCATATATTCAGAACTCGCAACTGGAGTCCCTGCTATATTTTCTCACTTTGTCACCAATCTCCCCGCATTCCATAATGTTCTGGCTTTCGTCTGTGTGAAATCAGTCCCTGTTCCTCATGTTTCCCCAGAAGAACGCTTCCTCATTGGCCGTGTTTGCCCAAAGCCATACCGTATGTATAGGTGCATTGTAAGGTATGGGTACAAGGACATCCAGCGCGATGACGGGGACTTTGAGAATCAGCTGATACAGAGCATAGCAGAGTTCATCCAGATGGAAGCTGGCGACCAACAGGCTTCTGCTTCCGAGTCTCAATCCTATGATGGGAGAATGGCAGTGATAAGCATGCAGAATGATTGCCACCCGAGCCCAGTGCTATCGGTTTCAGAGGTAGAAGACTTTGATTTTGCTGAACCCACAATACAAAGCAGCAAATCCATTACTCTGCAGAGCCTGCGTTCAATGTACGAGGACGAGTATCCACAGGTGAGGAGGCGACGTGTGAGGTTCCAGGTAATGCCGAGTTCTGGAATGGACCCTTCTGTCAGGGAAGAGCTAACGGATCTGATACGTGCGAAAGAAGCTGGTGTTGCATATGTAATGGGTCATTCTTACGTGAAAGCCAGAAAGTCGTCGTCGTTCTTGAAAAAGCTCGCAGTTGATATCGGCTACTCTTTTCTCCGGAAGAACTGCAGGGGCCCCGCTGTAGCGCTTAACATCCCTCACATCAGTCTCATCGAAGTCGGAATGATATATTACGTTTAATCCCTGCTGTTATTATATGAACACATGATCTCAAAGAATAGGAATAATGTGAACAAGATGTACATGTGTTTTTTGTTGTTAAGTTTGCAATGATAAGGGAACAGGGTTCTGCATCCAGACCTCAGCTTCTGGACATGCAAATGTTTCAGATCTTTCGTCTTCTAGTAATTAGGGTTGATAGATATGAATGCTTTACCAAAATTGATTTGTTGAAGTCAATTACCAGCGGTGATACGGTAGGTTTGACTGGTGAACCGTATAAACCTGTCCCCAGAGCTGGCTACCAAACTCGGAGGAAGGGTAAGTACATAAGTTGATGTCATGTCTTAAAGCCAGGGAAGAGAAGAGAAAGGGAAGAGTGTTGTAAGAAAGAAAGATGAAGATGGAAGTGAAGTTATTGTCTTGTTTCTATGCAGTTGCGGTTTTGGTTATGGCGAAATCGGCGGTCCAGACAGCCGGTCAGACGGCTTCGTGCCTGAGACAGCTTGCTCCGTGCCTCGGTTACCTGAATGGAACAAAGGAAGTGCCCGAAATCTGCTGCGATCCGCTGAAATCGGTGATAAGGAAAGATCCAGAGTGCTTGTGCCGTATGATAAGCAACCGAGGGAGTTCTCAGGCGGAACGTGCCGGCATTGACGTGAACGAGGCTCAGATGCTGCCTGCGAGATGCGGAGAGCACGTGAACCCCCTCGCCTGCTTAACCGGTAACCCATCTTTGCCTCTCCATTTTCTTAATTTCCACGTCTTTTTTAGAAGCTTAATAGAATCTCTTTCTCAACCTCTGTGTGTGTATGCAGGAGCCAAAAGATCAAGAAATTCCGACCAAAGCTCCTCCAGTGCTGGCCTCTTTATGGGGTTTTACTGCATTATAGCAGCCGCTATTTCCTCATTTGTTCTTCAGATTTGTTGAATGCCATGGCTTATTATTACCATTCTTCTGTCAGAAAATTTGATGTTGGTTGATTTTACTGTTGCTGCTCTCCCTTTCTTGTCCTCCTCAGCTGCCATGGCTCCACTTCTCCAAAAAAAAAAAAAAAAAAAAATACCACGCTCATAGACTGAACATTAATGGCCAAAGCAAAGACAACCAACTTAGAGTTTCACTTTTAATCCGATCAATATGCCTTAATGCATTTGGGTAATGATGAGTAATTTTAAGATCGAGAGGCAAGGAGATGTGTATAGAGTCAGATTTTTTTTTTTTTTTTTTTTTTTGAAAAAATCTTTTATTGACTGACATTAACAAAAGCCTCCATTATAAGTGATAGAGAGATGGATGTGTATTTTGCGTTGACCAGATTGTTTCTGAGAGGCCATCGCATAGGGCAGAAAGCCTGGGTTTCTCACTCGCGTTCTGAGAGGGATAAAGATCCAAACTTTTCTTTTTTTGGGTTGGGTTGAAACCCCATGGGAGAGATGATGTACAAGCTCTTCGCTTCGGCGTCTCTGCTGAGCCTCGGAATCTACCATCTCATCTGCTGTTTCTGCCATTTGATCAAGAGTCCTCAGTCGTACTCCGCCAAGCCTTTCCACGGATTTTCCCGTCTCTCCTCCTCCCCCACCACCCATCACCGCCTCCATAACCTACCCTTCTTCCTCCTCATCCTCTCCCTTGTCTTCGCCTTCCTCCACCAAACCCTAGTTTCCTTCTACTCCGATCCTCTTGTCCAAGGAAGCACTCCCGTCCACCGATTCTCCTCCCTCAACTCCGCCGCCGTCTTCTTCCTCTTCCTCCTCCTCGCCCTCTTCCTCCTCCTCTCCGAGTCCTCCTCTTTCCTCCCTCTCCCCTCTGACATCTTCTTCGCCCCCGCCTCCGCCGCCTTCTTCCTCCACTACTCCGCCGCCTCCTCCGCTGCCTCCGTCCAGACATCGGATCTCCAGGCCCACTGCGACTCCCTCTCCGCCCGCATCTCCGCCCTCTGCTCCCTCCTATGCTTCCTCCTGGCCTGCCGGCCCAGACTGTTCGCGGCCGATGCCGCCCTCGCCTCCGCCATTTGCCTGCAGGGCCTGTGGCAGCTCCAGACCGGACTCTCCCTCTACGTCGAACTCTTCATTCCCCAGGGCTGCCACCGTCTGCTGGACGTTGAGGGCAGCGTGGAAGGGTCCACCAAGTGTGATCTGCAGGAGTCGAAGCTAAGGGCCGTCGCCATCTTGGATCTAATGTTTGCCCTTCACGCCGTGCTTGTCGTGGTCATCTTCTTTGTCACGTACGTGATCGTCTCCAAGGCCGTGGGGATACGGAGAATGGGTTCGTACGAGGCTTTGCCCACCAATTCTACAGATTCGAATCACATTCAGATGAAGGCTTTGACTGGCACCCAAGCCTGAGGTTTGCCTTTCAAGATTTAGCTTCTTTTTGTTTTTTGTTTTTTGGCTGTTCTACTGCTATATGCGCACTGTTCAAACTGCTGAGAGGGTGTCTGTGCTCTGTGCCATTTGTCACTCACTCCAGTTCATCAAAGTTTCTTGCTTTGCAAAAGGGTTTTCAACTTGCTGCCTAATAAGCACCGTCTCGGTTTTCCTGGTCCTGCTGTTTTGTTCATGTCTGGCCTTAAGGTTCTAAAGCTTGGGTCTTTAGACACGGAATGAAACGCCCTGGGCTGAGTAGGATCATTAAGTGAGAATGGGTTGGCCACTGAATCGGCTTCAAGGATTTCCCTTTTTGTCTCTGAATGGATTCTGCATCTTTCATAGAGGAGGTGTATAAATCCGATGGACGATGATGCTCCATAGATGTTTGGTTACTTCAACCGAAGCCTGCAATGGCGTAGGTTTTAGTTTTTTGAACTAAACAATGGGAAGAATGATCTTCACATGATGTTTTTTTTTTGGACTTCAATGGTGTTGGTCAAGTCGTGGTGGCAGGCGTCCATGGTTGCGTATATTATGGATGCCCCCGACTTCATAGAACCAGAGCCCCCCAAAACCCTTGTCCATAGCAATCCGGTTTTTCAGTTTACAAGGACAACAAAACTGTCCTTAGATCTGTTCAGAACCAAAGGGGTGCATTAATTATGTAGTAAGAAGCCGATCGACGTGGCCCTGCCCCCAACTGTGGTTGGGTTCCGACAGTCGCTCGCTTTCAATCCAAAGGTTCCTACTTGTTTTCTGCTTTATCCGGGTTTTTTAATCAAATGACCCACTTGGGTCGCAACTATTTTACGTGTACACTACAAAAAACATAACACATTAATTTTTTTTGAAAAGACGAAATTACCCTTAATGAATACACGATATTTATCCGTTTGAAAACAACTTCGTTATTATGACTTCGTAATTAATTCTAAAAAAGGTTGCAAAAAAGTTACAATTGATTCTAAAAAAAATGACAAAAAAATCATCCGTCTTATTTTAGTTGTATATCAGTTATATGTTAGTCGTAATAAGGTTGCAAAAAATAAAAAGAAAAAGGTATTTCGGACTTTTTTAACCGAAAAGTGGGTTAAAATTGAAAAAAAAAATTGTTTTTTTTCGGTGGTGTATACTGTGCGACCCAAGTAGGTCAGTAAAATTCCCGCTTTATCCCTCTCTCTCTCACCGCATGCTCCATTTTATAAAAGTTGAAATAAATCAAAAAATAGATTTTTGTCCAAAAATAAAATCTTATTGGAACTGTCCGTTCAAAAGGCCCATTCCCCCCACCAGAATACATAGCGGGCTGGCTTTGATTTTGACATTCGCGTCGGCCCATTTCATATTCTGCCTATTATGGAAATAGTTTGGAATATCCGCAATTTAACGGAGTGGATTGGATTAAAAAAAATGAAATATCGAGTGAAATGAATTGGATAGTGAATACTAAAAAGGCTTTAAATATTTGATTAAATTTATAACTAAATCGGAATTATGGGTGTGACCAACAGTAATTAGACACCGATATATTTGCTTAGAAAGCTATGTTTGGATTTTTGTTTTGTTTTTTGAGTTAAAAGGTACAATGAAATCATTTCAATTTAATTAATGATACTTCCACTTTAAGAATTAAAGCCTAGCTTTTTGGGTCATATATGATTTTACTCCACCAAAAAAAAAATATCCAAACGATCCCGTGACGCGGTATTCCCTTCATTTCCGGAGAACAGAACAAAACATATTGTCACTTTTATGGCTAATTTTCACATTATTAAATCTTACTTTTAATACAATTCTTTTATATATTGTGGTGTGGTCCTCTACATTTCAAAATTAAATGTAAAATAACAAGAGAGAACTAAAACACTGGCGATGTGTGGAAAATAGAATCGATGAATCAAACATTTATATAACAAAATAAAAACTGTGTTATAGATATTTATATGAAGTTGTAACTTGTAACTTGTAACAATTAATTTCGATGATAAAGAATTCTCCTTAAATGGCAATATAATTTATTTAGGGTGAAAAAAAAATCAAATGAAACTTAAAAATAATAGGGGTCCATGCAAAGGGTAAAAGGAAAGAAAAGGAAAAAACATCAGACGACGTTGACGGGCTTGCGAAGGAAGGTGAGAGACGACGGAGAAGGCGATGGCGCGTCTCCGAGACACGCGCCGCCGACGGAGAGACGTTCGTAGTAGTCGACCGAGAAGAGGGAAAGGGAGAGCTGGAGGCGGGTCGACAGTTCGGCGCGTAGTGAAGGGTTGCGGAGGCGCGTAAGGAGGAAGTAGAGGCGGCGGGAGCCGGTGCATTGTAAGGTATGGGTACAAGGACATCCAGCGCGATGACGGGGACTTTGAGAATCAGCTGATACAGAGCATAGCAGAGTTCATCCAGATGGAAGCTGGCGACCAACAGGCTTCTGCTTCCGAGTCTCAATCCTATGATGGGAGAATGGCAGTGATAAGCATGCAGAATGATTGCCACCCGAGCCCAGTGCTATCGGTTTCAGAGGTAGAAGACTTTGATTTTGCTGAACCCACAATACAAGGAGAGGGGGCGGAAGGCCGCCGAGGGAGGAGACGACGGAGCGGAGGGATGGCGAAGGGGGAGGGGACACATGGCGAAAGCAGAGGTCTTCCCAGATGGAGTGGTCGCCGGAGATGACGATGGACCAGAGGCGGCAAACGCAGGCGGCGGAGCATAGGGTTGGGCCGTCGAGACGCCGGAGAATCTCCAAGAGGATGTCGACGTGGTCGTTGATGTTGAAGGGTAATACTTCGTCGATACGTTGTAGTCTCTGTCTCTTTGTTTCACTTGTGATCTGTGTCTCCGACATCTCCTGTGGTGTCTCTCCGAGTTTTTTCTACGTCAGAAGAGAGAGAGAGGACGAGAGGAGAGAGATGTTTGCGTGTGAAGAGAACAGATACAGCTGTTGGTATCACACGCACAACAGCGTATATATATGTGTGGGTGCGTGTGTATGTATTTGAGTGTAAATGTGTGTGTTTATGAGTGAGAGAGGGAGAGTGTGTGTGAAGCAGGGGAGTGATGTTATATGCAATCTGTAAAGAAATACATAATATATATATATATATATATGTGTGTGTGTGTGTGTATGCGTGTGGATTCAGATATGACTCAAAACTATATTATATGTTATGTTTTTAGGTGGGAGAAAAATTATGACAAATCTAGTTTGTTTTTACTAATGTTACATCCTTTTTTTAATTCTGAGCAATAAAGTTACATGTATATTCATACCAAAAAAAAACTCATACCAAAAAAAAGTTACATGTATATAAAAAAAAAATTATATTCAATTAATGATTGGTGCCAGTAGAAAAAAAAAGGAATCCAATGGTATTTGATCATCATATTTTAATGTTTCTAATAAATTCAACTAAGTTACAGCTGGTAAGAAAAAGAACAAGTAGGCCAAAAATTTTGAAAACAAAATTATAGTTAAACTAGTCCAATTAAAATATTTTACATATACATATATTGAATTTACATAATTATATAAAAGGTAAAAATCAGTGAATTCAATGGAAGATTCCGTGCATGGAGGGAGAAATTATTAGTATAATGAGAATGGCCCCGTCTTTTAAAAAAACAGAGGGGTCTGAAACTTCAAACCTAATCCAGACGAAAGGGGACGATTAAATGTGTATGTTGGTTATTCATCATTGTAAATTATAATTATATTTATGAGATGGAAATATATTATGTTTTTATTTTTATTTTTTTATATTTAATTAAAATTTGATCAAAGTTATTTAAAAAGCCTAATTCAATTGTCAAATAATTTTACTTTGAATATAACGAAGTATTATTGCATTTAATCATGTTTTTATAACTAAATTAAATTACAATGTTGACCTCTGGATTTGACTGGGGGGAGAGAGAGTCCTCGGGGGCACTGTAAACAGAAATAGAATCAAACAAATATAGTCAAACAAATTGCGTTGACTATTCATTACAATTAAGTTTATATATATATATATATATACGTATATATGTTCGTGAGCTATATATTGAGAGAGAGAAGATGTGACTGGGAATCGAGGTGGGGAGAGGAAGGGTACAAGTAAAAGCATCCAAGAGAGACTGCAATTCCGATGCTCTTAGATTTTTTTCCCGTTCAATTTATATATATATATATATATACATACATATTATTTCATTTCTTCTATAATTAATGTCTATATCTACACTCATGCACATATATATATATATATAGGGTATGCGTGTGTATGTATTACAATTTTCTCGATGTAAAAGACGCATTGTTGTTCGCTCTTCTTGTTGTTTTTATCTTTGCTTTTGTTTCTGAGTTCTTCCATACGTCCTCTTCGCGTTTCGTCTTTCTTGTTTCATGGCCGTTGTACAATTATTTACGCCTATACATACACTCATACATATATATATATATACATATACACATGCACATATAACAGACACAATTTCTACCGTTTGCGAGCATGCATGCACGTGTAACATATAATTATATTATATTGGATTCTGAAAGATTCAACATTGTGATATTTGATTGAAATATGGAAGATACATCATGTACTTTCGACTCATTATATAGATTTGAATCTGTAACTTATACTTCGAATATTTAAATGTCCTTCACTTTGTTGACTATATGTAGTTATATATATATACATATATACGCACACATTTATATATTTATATACATACGCACGCAAACAGTTATATATATCTAATATAATACACGTGTACGCCCTAATTTACTGTATAGGGCAGACAATAATTTAAACTCAGGGTAAGCATCAAGGACCATGGAATCCTAGGAAGGGGATGCCTAGGGTTCGGAATTACTTCGAGTATATAAACTTATATTAATTTGTGTATATAATCAATGTTTTATAACGGTTGCTAATTAATTTATTGTTCGATCTGTTAATTTATAATCATTTATATTATGAATATGTTGTGCTTGTGGTTGTTCCTTTACACAGGCAAGCTATGTGGGCATATTTACAGTATCGCATATCTACCTGTATATAATTTTCAAGGTAAATACAATATTTGTAATAAAAAAATCACAATACTGCATAATCTCTCTTAATCGAATCTAGTTAGAATCCTTGCAAAATTATATTAAAAAAAAGGTAATTGAATGTGATTTTTAAAATCAAATTAATCAAACCGAGGCGGAAAAATATTTTAAAACTAAAATAAAAATAGCTTTAAAAAATACTTTCCTGTAAGATATCAAAATATTTTAAAACGTGAATATGTTTAGTATAAACACGGATAGAAACAAAATGGAATCTAAACAAAACGAAAACCAACAGCAAAATTAGATAAATATAATGTTATCAAAACTTAAAAAATTTAAAAAACCTAATCAAGGATTCAAGATCCATCCGACCCCAAATAACATTTATTTATTTTTTATTATTATCATATTAAATTACGTTAATTTACCAAAATATGGAATGCTTTGCCTTGCCATCTATGAAAGGAAATATATAAGAACAAGCAAGAATTATGCACGAAACATTAGCCTAAGGGACAGCAACTATCTGTTTGTCTTTTGGGGTTGGGTTTTGGTCCAAACAGGAAACCCCAAAATTCATTTCCACTCTCACACTGTCAATGTGTATATATGTGCATATATACCAATGAGCTACGTACGTATTATGTATATATACATACGATACATATATACACCCTAATATAATTTTCATAATATATTATACATTGGTATATATATACACAGCTTTTTCAATCTCGATAATAGATTCTATTCGCCCATATAACGATATGCAAATTTATATTAATCAAGATAAAATCATCTGAAATAAATTTCAAATGCAAGAAGGAATTGCTTTTACCATTCCTATATTACTCAATTATAAATAATATATTACGATTAAAGTTAATATAACAAATGCAATATTATTTTTGTATGCTTTTTTTTTTCTATTGTCAACATTTCACTTACTCTTTCGATGACTGTCGTTTGTAATGTAGCTAGTCGAGCATGTGCCACATGAAAATTAGTCAACCATTTTATAATTCTGCTGGACTGTAATTATTGTATTGACTTTGGAATCACACAACGTCTCTTTATCTTTTTACAAGATCGATTAATTTAAGATATTTTTTCGATAAAAATATATTAAATTACTACAAAACAAAAAACATATGGAAAATAAAAATATTTTTCTTGTTTATTTGTTAAATGGGAAAAATTGGATGTTACATGTTTTTGGTTTATAACTGTAAAATAAACAAAAACTGTATGGCATATTAATTGTGTTATTTTCATAAACTAAAATCAAACTCCTAATTTTTGCTTATCTAGATAGATCGTGATATATAGATTAAACTTTTACACGTCTTAAGAAAAAATATTAGAAACATTTATTGTTTTTTTCTATTTCAATAAATTTAAATTATTTATTAAAATTTCTAACGATAAATATTTAGTTTAACTAAAAATATAATAATATATAGATTTTAGATAAATATAAATATATTACTATTTTAATTACAAAAATATTATCTTATTCTAAGAAGAGCTTATAATGTAAAAATTACGAAAAAATCACACAACACAAATTTATGACATTTAAGATTATGGTCCATATTTAGAATAATTTATTATTGGAATCAATAATGAAAAAATAGAAAGGCTTGTTTGATTTTATTAAATAAATGCATGTAAAATTTTATATTAATCTATACAAATTAAATAAAATATGAAAATTACTATTGTTGGTACTAAATTAGATCCGTGATATTAGGTCCACCCATATTTAGATTGACATAATTGGTACGTACCCACACGAATATTGATCCCGTAACGAAATCACGAATCAACTAGAATATATACGAGGAAAAGGGTATTATAGGGTGAAAAAAGGTTTTATATTTTATTTTATTTTTATTAATATTAATAAGGGGCAAGCCCAAAACACAAGACAAGCATTCCGTCAACCGTTGGGGTTAAAAAAAAATCAATAAAGAGGTATTAAATTTTTTTGAAAATTTTGTTCCAATATTAAAATTTGAGTATCTAAATTTTCAGCCAAAAAATGATCACTTAGCTTTGGACATCCCGTTTAAAAATCATTTAATAGTAATTTTATAATTAATTCTAATATCAATTTTTTAATTATTGTGATAATTTTGTAAACAATTCTGATAACAAATTTCCAACTTAATTTTGTAAATAAATTTAATAGTCAGTTCATAAACAAATATAATTGTCAATTTCGTAAATACTTATAAAAACTCTGAATAATTTTTTTAGAAAAAAAAATATAAACTGATATCCGATTTTTGGAGGAAAAAAAAAAATCCTAATCCAAATGTGCATGCATTCTATATTCGTTGCAAAAATCGGATCCGAATAATTACGATATCCGAATTTAGCATATTCTGGTTTATATGTCCACCCCGAACGTGGATAATGCAATGCGAACAATGTCAATGAAAACAAAGCAGATAGAGCGTGAACAGAACACATCTCCCTAAAAACAAACAAACAGAGATTCACTGCCACATGCATACATTTGTCTAAATCACATTTCACCAACATATATATATATATATTATATTTACATATATATAGTCACCAAGATATATACAAACATATAATCATACAAATAAATACTTGTTTTCCTCAACCACCCTTTGTACTCAATTCACCAAAATTGTAGTTGGTGGGTTTTACATACGTTTTGAAATAATTTAATTTCTAAGCGAATGATGTTTTGTTTATTTATTCAAGAAAAGAAAAACTATAACTTGTCACATGCAATTAAGAAACGTCTAGATTATGCTTATTTTCTCAATGAGGAATTAATATTCACGTTTTATTATATTTTATACAAAAAGGAGATGTACCTGTGATTTGACCAAAACTCACACGCCAAAACCAGTCAGAAATCTGGAACGTTTTTCTCACATTTAAACAACACGCACTCCGTCCATCTAAAATAGGGACGGTGGGTGATGTGTAAACAAACAAAAACCATATAATTTGTCAAAAAAGAAAACGTCTACGAGTTATTGAACTATTATTTTAATCTATAAATATTTATTTTTATACTTTTCCATCAACACATTTACATGTACTATTCTGTTCTTTGATTATCTACGTTTACAAATTAAAAATCACAAAAATTTTCCAAAGTAAAGGGTCCAATGCAGGACTCGTCTTCTCGGGCCTCAGCTGCTGATGTTTCTGAATCCAATTGGCTCGTTAGCATCTCGGTCACATGCTTGGAAACAGATATCAAGTCAAGTTGTCAACAATGATGCTCGGGGGTCCAAGCCAATGCCACCCGCAAATATGACCAGCCTGGTTCACGGGTACTGACACAGCCGAGCTCATTTGGGATTCAGCTTCCGATGTTGTATCGACTACATAATGCTTTCCTGCCTAGAAATCAAAGACACAATTTTTAAAATTTCTCCAAAGGGTGGAATTGAGAGGGTGAAAAATCGATACTTTTGTTAAAATGTCACTATAATTGGAAAGGTGGAAGTGTCAAACTGTAGATGCTCTTCGTCGCTGATCTCAATCCCCGGCTGTTCTTCATCTGGCACTTCGGCTGATACTTAGGCTCGTGGGAGAGTGTTGTTGCCTGTTGGTTAAATCAGCCTACGGGAAACGGTAAAGAACATAAGTACAAGCTTCTTCACACTATAAACCAACAACTCTCTCTCTCTCTCTCTCTCTCTCTCTCTCTCTCTCTCTCTCTCTCCCAGCCTTTAGAAACTGAAAATTCAGGACTATATTCTAAGTTTGCAACAGTTCATAAAGCCACTAGATTAATAACATGGAGCCTTTTCTAGTTTATTGGATGTTATTGGAAAAGAACCCTTCTCTTTTCTAGAACCATTTCTATGCCCAATGATCATGATGAATTCAATTTTCTCGTTCCCACAAAGTAAGCTGGAAGCAAGGGTAAAGAATGGCCAAACGAGTAAATGATTTCGTGATTACCTTAATGGCATTGGCAGCATCTGAGGCATCCAACAGGTTCCGTCCAAAATAACAACGAGCCCATCGATGTAGAGATCCCAACAAACTTTTCCTTCTTCACTGACAAGCGATGATAAATCTATTCCCGCGTTGATACAGAAAATGAATACCGAGAAACATTAGAAAATCAGAGCATGAGAATGTCCAGGTATAAGTTTGCAGACAACATGAATCATGTGCCTGCTCCACTTTTGGCCCCTAGCAGACAACGTTGAAAGAGCTAGACCTGCAAGCTCAGAACTCGGAAGACAAATTCTTCCTCACCCCCCCTCTGCCCTGATGCAACAATAATATGTCTCTTTAATATTATTATTAACCACCAGAAAAAGTTAGACCTGCCCTGATCCTATTCTGATCTCTAAAAAACTCAGAACTAGCAAAATCCTCACTCCAAATAGAGAAAGAGAGACCGTGTTATACAAGATCAAACCATCTAAATTGCTAAGTGGAATCAAAATCAAATCAAATCCCAAGAACCTCACCCCGAATGTCGGTTCTGCGGTTGGACTGCAAGTCTGCAATCAGTAAAAATGGAGACTTTAGCCTATATCCGAACTCGGCCTCCCAATTTCAGCCTTTACAATCACATTAAATCATCAAGCAACACATACATGAGCACACACTAAGCTTCTCAATTCAACGCTAAACTATTGAAAACAAGTACCTTTACACTGGGAACTACATCGGTTCCACCAATCCTGACCATTGCCGAACCATTAGCCTATATCCGGAAAGCAAGACAAGCCAAAAATGTGGCTCAAACGATCTCAGTAGCCGTGTGAAATCGACAAAAGAACAAACCCCCATGATCACATTACCTGAGGAATAATGCCGGTTTCGACATGGATAGGGCGGTAAGTCAGCCGTTTCCGACCATCAGATCGGAAATCTTGAGCAATCCTTCCTTTAACGAAGTGTTGCTCCCCAACAGAAAGCTCCACCATTATTACAGTACAAGAATATTCAGGAATTAATAAAAAATGTCAATCGCAGAAAAAAATTTCACCCAGAAGGAAAGTTTACAGCTTATGAATCAGCGGAAAAAAAATATCTTATATACGTATTGAAAAAAAAAATCGGCCCAGAAAACTTCATTACCTTGCGAAGATTTGGGAAGAATACACAATTCGAAAATTTCCGGTGACCGGCGATGGTGGATGCTGCCATGGGAGAAGCAAAGTGTGACTGCGAAACGGAAGGGGAGGGGAGGGAGGGTTTAGAGGTGGCATGAACGTAATTATGATATCAGTTTAAGGGTAATATGGTCATTTCAGGAAGCTAATATTGGCTAATTTTGAACTTTTATTCATTGTTCGTCGCTTCCAATCTCTTCCATCCGCCGGGAAGAGCTGCGGGGTTGATGTCGGATGGGTCGATCAAGAATAGTGTCGCGTCCTGCTGATGAAGATGCGAATCCTGGGTTCGTAAAAGTGTCTTCTTTTCCCGGATTTTAGCTTGGTTTCGGTTAACCCTTTGTACGTCTCTAGTGGTTAGGGCATAGCGTTGGAGAAAGTTCATGGATTTTGCTCTCATTCTCAGCCGTTTTCCCGCTTTTACTGTCCTGTCTTTCCCAAAACTTGTATGCGATCTCTGATAATCAATGCAGTGTCCGTTTCCATTTGTTTGATTATCCGTAGCGGAATTCTGGGTTGTCAGTTCTTGATTTTCTAGTTGTGTTCGTCTCTGTCTTGTTCCCTTCTAATTCGCTGGAATAGTTGTTTCAGAAAATCGAAAAGGAAGAAAACATCTCCGGGCCCTGAGAACGCGGGGACTGCGATTTCAACCGGTATGTTTCCATTGCCTTGTCTTACATTTCCATTTTTCTCAAGTTGTGTGAGTTTAGGGATCTTAAGAATAGAGTTATGTATGTGTTTCGATGTAATTGAAGCTCTGATTCAGTGATTGCATGCCGAGAATTCTTCATTTTGGATATTGTTTCGTGCTTTTTGTATATGCAGAGCTCCTAGGTACACTAGGATGTATGTGTCGATAGCATCTCATTGTTTTCTGGTTTAATTTGTGGCCCTTATAATGTGTTGAAGGAAATGAAGTTCTGAATGAGAGGAAGGCTGGTCTGTATCACTGTAACTACTGCAATAAAGATCTGTCTGGTTTGATCCGTTTCAAATGTGCTGTATGCACGGACTTTGACCTCTGCGTGGAATGCTTTTCTGTTGGAGCTGAGCTTAACCCTCACAAGAGCAACCACCCATATCGGGTTATGGTTAGTGTCAGATGTCAATCAGATTTCTTTTCTAAATTTAACAAAAAGTCTGCTCATATGAAAACATGTTTGTTTCTTAAGTTGTCAAACGATGGAAAGTGTGAGGGGTGGTTATCATGTTCTCTGAATCTAGTCTCATGTGACAGGACAATTTGTCTTTCCCATTTGTTACTCCTGACTGGAATGCAGATGAAGAGCTACTCCTTCTTGAGGTAATTTTGTTTCTTAACCGATTCCATTGGAATAGATTTTTTCATAGCTTCTCAGAGGTAGTAGTGAACGGCCTCCTGTACTCTCCTTAATCCGCACCATAGATTCCATTTGATTCTTATGGAGTATATCTATTGTTTTAGGCCATTTCAACATATGGATTCGGAAACTGGCAAGAAATAGCGGATAATGTTGGGAGTAAGACAAAATCAGAGTGCAGTGATCACTACCATTCAGCATACATGAATTCCCCTTGCTTTCCTTTTCCGGTAAGGATGGTGAAGAAACATGTGATCTTTGTTCAACCCATACTTGATTTGGGATTTTTACAAAAGTTGTTCCTAATCTCTAGGATTTGTCTCATGCCATCGGAAAGAGCAAAGAGGAGCTTATCGCTTTGGGTAAAGAGCTCACAATTAAAAAAGGTCAGCTTTGAGTTTTTTAGGTTAGCTTGTGGAGTTTGCTTATGTCAAACTCAAAAGTGAATGATATTGCTCAATTGCTTTTGCTACAGAAGTACCAGTACTGATGGAGCCATCTCCGAAAGAAGAGTTGCCGATGCCAGCGGAAATCAAGTATACACTTATGTTTGATACAACTATATCTTCTTCATTGCAACAGTTGAATTCTCATTTTCGCGATACTTTTGCATTGACATGGACAGGGATGAAGCTTCGGGGAAGGAAGACGTGATTGATCAATCATTGCCCAACTTAGCAGGAAGTATGCAGCATTTTCTTCAAATGTTATTACTTACTGCCTGAGATTGGTTTTTGTTCTTTGTCCTTATCGGATCAGATTTATTGTTAAAATGTTACTTTTGGGTTTTAACCTCGGATATGAACTCTTGCATGGTTCAAGCTGTAAAGTATTGCATTTCTCTTGACAGTTAAGAAGAAAGTGAATGGACTACAAGCTAAGGAGAGCATCAAGTCAGAAGGTTTGTTATTACACAAGATATTTGTTGTACCCTAACATGAAAACGACTGGAACTCGGGAAAGCTACTAAACAACGCATGTCTGTCCTCAGTTGCAGATCAACAACCTGACAGAAGTGTTGGGGAGAAAAAACCCAGACTTGCTGGAGATCAAGCTCTGTCAGTGACAGAATCATATGGCTACAATTTTAAGAGGCAAGAATTTGATGTTGAATATGACAATGATGCTGAACAATTGCTCGCTGACATGGATTTTAAGGAGTCAGACACAGATGCGGAGCATGATCTAAAGTTGCAAGTTCTTCATGTTTACTCGAAGAGGTATCATCGTTGCAAAAGCATGAACTGTAAATCAACAGAATTTTACAGTGGGAAAATGTTTACAGCCCACAATATAATACATATCTGAAGAATTGATAAACCGGTACAATAGCTGAGAAGCAAATACATTTTTGAGTTTCTTGTCAGACTTGATGAGAGGAAACGGAGGAAGAATTTCATTCTGGAGAGAAACTTGCTTTACCCTGATACATTTGAGATGAGCCTTTCACCAGAGGAGAGACAAATATACAAACGCTACAAAGTCTTTGCACGATTTCATTCCAAAGAGGAGCACGAGGAACTCCTTAAAACGATCATTGAGGAGCACAGAATTCTCAGAAGAATCCAAGATCTTCAGGTTTGATATTTATGTGAGTTCAGTACCATCATGTTTTTAGTATGGGTGCTTTGTTTCTCACCACTCTTGGTAAAAATCACTGAAGTAGTGACTCGGAAACTGTAAAATTATGCAGGAAGCTAGGACTGCTGGTTGTAGAACTGCTTCAGAAGCAAACAGATATATAGAAGAGAAGAGAAAGAAGGAAGCTGAAGAAACTGGGCAGCGGCTTATGCAAGGTGTACCTGGCAGTGTGGCTGGTAAAGCATTGAAAAGTCCAAGGGGGTTACCGAAAAGTTTGCAGCCCTTTGGTGCTGAAACATTGTCAAAGGTCACGGGTCCAATAATATCTAGCTCCCTGGACAACTGGGATGTAAATGGACTCCTTGGTGCTGATTTACTCTCGGAGACTGTAAGAGCAATCTTCCACATTTGCAAGCAAATCTCAGTTGATTTTTCTTTTCTTTTTTTTGGTGGGTCGTTCTTGTTGTTTCCAAATCTTAAGCTGGGATCTGTGCAGGAGAAAAAGATGTGCAACGAGATCAGAATACTGCCTGCGCATTATCTCAAGATGCTGCAAACCTTGTCAATGGAGATCAAGAATGGTCATATAAAGCAGAAGTCTGATGCTTACACCCTCTTCAAAGTAGATCCATATAAAGTGGACAAAGTCTATGACATGCTTGTTCAGAAGGGAATAGCTCAATCATGACCCATGTGGTACCATTTCAGAGAGCACTCGCTTATTATGTGAGTTTCTCTTTTGGTTCATGTAGTCTCAAATTATGTTAGCCATGTATGTACATATGCATGAATGAAGCTTAGGATGATAGGAATCATGTAGTGTCGTATCAGATGGACAAAGGAAACTTCTTCAAAGGAGAGAAATCTACAAAGCTTTAATGATACTACTCTTTCTGCTCTCTGGTTGAATCAATTCTCCGAAAGGAAAGAAAGAGGATTAGCATCTTAGGCACCTTACAGCCACCCTTTATAGGTTTTTATGCAGTATTTGCCTAAGGAATGAGGATATTCTCTTTGAGTAGGAAGTCGATTAGATGAGAAACCCGAAACCGGATTCGGGTTCGATTTTTATTATTTCTTGACGGATTATCTTACGGATACTTGGATATTTAGATATTTATTAAAATATCTTTGATTATTTTGAATTTTTGAGGTATTAACAAAAATATGTAGGCCTATTTTATTTTATAGAAAATGACTCAAACGTTCGAGTGTTCTTCCATAGGCATGCATATTTTCCAGATTCAGGTTATGATGCTGTTCTGGGTTTTGGTATAATGCTGTTCTTGGCGGTGTACCGACATGCGTGACCAAGAAATCAAGATAAGCTAAAAAAAACAATTTCAAAAAATTGGACAATGATTATGTTTCTGTATGATTGAAAACCTGTTCAAGGAACACTTGTTGCATGCATGTATGTCAAAGTGACATGTATGTGCATTGCATATGCATGAATGCGGCTGTCATAAAAGGTGAAACTCTTTTAAGTGTATGAAAACTTGTCCCAATAAAAACGGAATATTTCTATTAAGTGTCGATTGATATCAGAATACGTCTTCTAATAGCGTAGATGCGAAATTTCTATGCCATACTTATTGATGAAATATCAATACTTGTCTTTGATTAGCTTCCAAGAATATTTAATATAATATAATAATAAATGTTTTTAATTGGTTAACTAAATCGTGAACGGTAAATCTTCAGCATTCTCGTCAGTCATGCGGAAAATGTGATCCCGCGGGGCGCGGCGGTTGAGTGTGAGTCCATCATCACCCCGACCACACAACGTATTAATTTAATATTGATATATTATTTTCTTATACATAATTAAATTATTATTAAAAAAATGTAGGTTTTTATTTTGTCACACATGAAAACATCCAACAAGGGCTTTAGGTGAGATAATTGGCATACCGTATACCTATTATCAAAATATTAGTAATTATACAAATAAATTAAAACAAAATTAGTTAATTTCGAGTACATAAAAACTCCTTAAAAATTCAACATAATTTATTTTTGGATAATCCATCATAAAGCAAACCCTTCATATTTTAAAGGAACACTTTTATTTTAGAGATTGTCACGACAAGACTTCACACCAAGAAAACACTTAGTTCGTCATTACAACTAATGACATACACAAACACACAACGACTTGAGTTAGTTTCCACTGTCCAAAGACGAGAAACTGAAGAAGAAGAGATCATCAAGGCGTTCATTGGTCGGAGAATTCCCTCCATGGATCACCATCCCTTCTTCCCCGTCCTTCTCCCCGGCTGTGAACCCGAGCCACCCCCGCAACCTCGGATGCTCCACCTCTGCCCCGACCGACGCACCATCCAGCATCTTCCACGACAATTTCTCAGTATCCAACGCGTAAACTTTCCCGCAGAATCTCCCGGCTCCCATATGCATCAACGGGCTCGCCTCTAACTCGCCTCCGAATATAACAATGTGCTTCCCCGTTGCCGCTATCGCGAAAACGCTTCTCCCTGCTGGCACGTCGCCCGTTGTCTCCACGAAGGTCGTCCACTTCCGTTCAGCGAGATCGAAGCAATGGATATCGTCGAACGTAGTATACCCGGAGAATCCGTGCACAACCCATACTCTCCCCTGAACCACTGCGAGTCCCGGGGCACCTCTCGGCTCACAGGAATCCCCAGGGGACGGGAACTCAATCCACTTCTTGTTGACAATGTTGTAAGCGTGGAGAGTGTTGACACGTCCATTCGCGGTCACGCCACCAAAGACGTACACATTCTCATCATCCGCAGCCATCGAGTGGTAGCTACGGGCGGGAAGCCCCTCGTCGGCGGGTGAGAGTAGCTTCCACTCGTTCGTGAGAGTGTCGTAAGCGTAGAGACCGTTGTAGTTCTTGTCCTCGTCCCGACCTCCGAACAGGTAGACGGTGGTTCTGATGGCGACCATTGAGATGCCGAAAGAGACGATGGGGATGTCTCCGGTCGCGGAAGAGATGGACCATGTATGGGTCTTGAGATCGTAAACGAAGAGATGGTTGTCGACGGGGATGGTCGGCTTGAACTCGCCGCCAAAGGAGTAGATCTTGTTTCCCACCATGGCCATGGCGTGAGAGCTTCTTGCCCCTGGACCATCTCCTTTCTGATCAAGCTGATGAATACAAATACAAAACACCCAAATCACAAAAACCGCAAGCACAAACAGAAGGACATGGCATTTTGATTCTTGTTTCTCATCTCAAATTTTGTCAGCAGCTGTCAAAATCGAGTAGGGTTACCAAACAGATTCAACGAATTCATTAACGAAGGTGTGAGACATATCAAATGGGTCCCGTATCGAGTTACACTGTATTCGTAAACCTATCAGACAGAAAACGAAAGATTCTGTCGAAGGTGCATGCAGTCGCTTGAACACGACATGCAGCAGCTCCGATCAATGTCATATGGGATCTGATGATTCGTACCTATAATCAATGAGTCGTTGAATCGAACAGTTAAAACCCCATTGAAGACATTTTCCACCCTACTGACCCAGAGAATCTAGGAAGCGATCAGGATAAACCCTAATTACCTCTTCTTCCGTGATCGCGGAGACTCAGGAATCAATCAGAAAAAACGGTTTCTGGGTTTCGAAAACCAACATAACAGAGAGCGAAAAGACGAGTTACAGAGAAATCGAACGAGTGTGATAGGAGACTTTACCTTAACCCATTTGTTCTGCAATTCAGGAATCATGGCTGCAAACCTTTCTCGAAAGTGCCGTTCTTCTTTTTCACGTCTCTCTTCTTCCTCTCTTAACGCAGCGTATAAATAGGCTCAACTTAGAAAATAAAATAAAACGTAAATAGAAAAAGTAAATTCCACGTCATCCTTTTATAGAAATATTTTAGTTGTTGATTACTGAAATCATGATAAGGATTAGCCCCTTTCTGATAAGAACTTTTAAGGGAACAAAATCCGATACTGCAACGCAATTAGGGTATAATTGCTACAACGTTAGGAAAATTAATAAAAGAAATATATTTGGCTTTTTATATAAAGTATGCTTATTGGATTGAGTTAAGTTATTTCTATCCATAGGCCACGTAGATGCAACGGATCTCCAATTTAGTAAAGTCAACTGGATCACACATATAGAAACAAACTGTAAACAGTTTTCACTTTTCAGTTTATATATATATATATATATATATGTATATAACCGTTTGAATGCTATATAATATTATTATATGTGGATAGTATTGTTTTGTTGAATCCAAATAATATTTAACCAATGTTATTTTTCATGCATTCCCGTTTGCAAACGTATATCAGTTCGGTTATACCAAACTTAGTAGTTAGACCCAATGGCTCAGAAGAATTTTGTAACGGGGACAAATAATAATAATAATAATAATATATCATACAAAAATATTAATAAAAATATATGGTATAATTTTTTATTTGATTAAAAAAGAAAAAGAAAATTTTAAAAATGGAAAATAAGAAGAAAAAAAAGGAAAAATATAGGAGATAGAGATTTTTTTATTTGATTTGCTAGATAATGTTTTAAGATACATTCAAAATTAACAACAATGGAATCCACAACTAAGTTATAATGGGGTATTAACTGTATTTTTTCAAAATTCTTTAATAAAATTTATAAATATATATTAAAAAAAACAGTGGGGGAAACGTTTGTCCTGTTTCAAATTTAAATTTCAAATTTGGAAAAAAAAGTATATTCTAAATCTTATGGTTGGTCTCCAGTCCGAGATTAGTGTAATTCTTGTATATTTGGTTATCGGAAGAAAAAAAGCAGTTTGGTTACTTTAATATCAAGACCCTCTTGTTCCCTCCAAAGGATCTCGGCTCCTCTAAAGCTTGAAGCCCAGGTCAAACCATTTTACAATTTTTGCATATTGCAATTTTTTTTTTGCGATTTGATCTCCGGTTTGCTTTTAGTCTTTTTATTTATTAATTAATAATTTCGACTAATACTACTGGATATTAATAGAGATAATAACATACATTAGGGATAAACCATCTGTCTCTACGGACGCGGTGATAAACCATCTGTCTCTACGCAATAGCTTGCAAACCACTCAAAGAGACAAACTCGCAAGTGAGAGGAATCGAAACTACGACATAATCATGGACTACTCAACCAACTTACCTGCTCCATTTGGGCGAGCCCAAACTATATTTTAAAACGAATTCGAAATATGGAATCAGACAGGAGTCGACATTTCGTTATTCGGTGAATATTCGAAATATTCGTTTTTTTTTTTTGTATTGATCGGTTATCATGTTAACGGTGAATATTCGAATTTTGTTAGAATGGGCTTGGTATTTACCGAATTTGATTCGTATTCAGCTGCACAGCAACTATATCAAGAACCGGTTTTCGGTTTGATTTTGGAACCGACACGCTCAGAGAGAGTCCTACAACGTGGAGTCTTGTACGAGGCGTGGCGTAGACGCAAGGGACCCGTGAATTCAGAGCAGGGAGGGGAATGCTTCACATGCCGACAGCGAGAGGGATGCAACTGAAAAACGGCCGAGATTCTTCATTGGTTGTATGCAATTAATCAAAGGTTCTAAAATCAGTAATCAATTAACTAAATGGTATCTGATATTTGATTAATTCAGGATATTGATTCTGGTTATAATTTGATGGGCTTTTAAGTTACTGAAAGTAAATTGAAGAAGTGAAAAAAATAAATAAATAAATTGAAGAAGTGGGCGCTTCTACACCACAATGTCTCACATCTTCTTCTGAGTGAGACTTTGATATTTTCCAAAGGTGTCACATACATAATTATATATATATATATATTACATACCCGAAAAAAATTAGAGATAATAATTTATAGAAAAATAGATTTACGAAAATGACATTTTTCCATTCGTTAACTTTTTTTTATTTTTTATAATCAGGATGGTTTTCCGAACCTTCGACCCGACTACATCCGTCCTAAACACAGAATCAGCTTTTGTATATAGATCATTTTACTCCAAAAATTATACCATTTTCACCAATAAAATCGAACTTAAAATTTTGAGAATGACTTTATCACCTGTCAATTAGTGAGTTTGGGTTCCATTAGTTAACTTTAAATTATATACACTGTTTTTTAGTTTATAAAACACGTTTTCTAGATTCGAGTATGAATATGTTCGAATTAAATCAAATTAACCTGTACGAAGAAATGTAGGAAAAAAACAAACGTGACAAAAAAAAATAAAGAAATAAATGAAATATGTAGTCAGCAGTCCACAAGCAGAACGTGAGAAGGCGAAGCCGGACACGCACCACCATGAAACAACTGAACGGTTGCAGATGAAGAAAATCATCGTTCTCTCATCTCCTCTCGTCCCCAAATCAAGGAAAAAATTTTCAAAGACAATTGAAAGAAAAAAAAGTCTGAAAAATACACCAAACAACAACCGAGGGCAAACAACGACATCAACGTTGTGTCCTGCAAGAGAGGAGGACACGCCACGCAAAGTGTCTCCACTCCTTCCTCTGTGTGTCCCCTTCATTGTTTATCTCTCCGCTTTACTCAAGGATTCGAAACTTCTTCGATCAATTTCATGAATTAGCACTGACCCAGATTCCAGAATCCGGTTACGAGTAGTGGGTCGAGATTCGTCCAAGGTTAAAACCGATTTCAGTGCTTCAGATAGGTAAGACATGTGATGATCCTGTTGCGGTGATTGTGCCTCAGTTGGATTTAGGAGAAATCAAGGGCAAAGACTGTCTAATCAATCATGTTCCTTTCGCTTGTAACACAGTCTTTTTGTTCTTCCGGGTTCCATTGTTGGGTTGGATATACTCCGTCTCGATATGTATCGATTGCTGATTCTTTCTTTGTTTTGTCAATCGATTGGTGAATTATTACTTTGTTAATCATTTTGTTCTGTGAAATTATAGTGGGCATTTTTTTATTGCTTCATCGATTCTGGACTTTTTTTCACCACACACTCATACAGCATATGCCTGCACAATTTTGGTCGTTTGACTTCAATTCTGTACTTCTTCAGGTTCTTGCTGTCGTTGATATGGAACTTTGTAGTTTGTTTGGTGAAATGGCGACGTAGATTCTGAAGCTGCTGTTGTAGTTCTGTCACATATATACGCACACACACACAGACAAACTTGCGTAACATTCTTGGCACGAGTTCAATTGCAAAATCTTAGTTATTTTCTGTTTTTTTCTGCTTGATAGGGTTCTTGCTGCTCTGGGGAAATGGCCGCTCTGTTAGCTTCTCAGAGCTGCTATGGCTGTGAAACCATGAGAGCCACGAAAACCCCTCATCAAGATCTCGTCAGCAAGCCAAAGAGATTTCGCATTGTGATGAGACAGACGGAATCGCCCTCCAAGTTCGGTTCCAATGGGCGGCCCGTCAAAATGGTTCCCACAAGTGAGGTTGTGAAAAGGAAAGATCCACCTACGAAGAAAGTGAATGGATCCGAGAGAGTTGTTAATGGAGCGAGTTTGGTTCGTAGAGATATTAATGGTGCATCATCGGCTTTGGTTAAGGCACCGAAGAAGAAAGGATCTCAGGGATTACCGCCTCTCGAGGAAGCTAGAGTTCTTCCTTCCGATGAAGGTTTCAGCTGGGCCGACGAAAATTACAATTCGCTAAAAAGGAGCGTCGATGTTTGGTCCTTTGTTATTTCCTTGAGGGTCCGTGTCTTGTTGGACAATGCAAAATGGTCATATGTTGGAGGATTTACAGAAGAAAAGCAGGTAACTTTTGGTTCAGTCGAGTCGAATCCGTTTGTTTGATGCTCGTTTTATTTTTCCGGATTGGTGCTTACGACTCTCGACTGTTTCTCTGTCATCAGAAAAAGAGAAGACGAGAAACCGCATCATGGCTGAGAGAGAGTGTCTTGCAGCTTGGTCCAACGTTCATCAAGCTTGGACAGTTGTCCTCAACAAGGTCGGATTTGTTTCCGCGAGAATTCGTGGACGAGCTTGCCAAGTTGCAGGTGCGTCACTACTTCCATTTTTTGCGGATTTCAATATAAAACATCACATTCCATTCAGGTTTCTTGAAATTTTCTCTTCTTCTTTTTCCTACTCGGGCGTTTCAGGACAGGGTCCCAGCCTTTTCACCAGAGAAAGCAAAGCGATTCATCGAGACTGAACTCGGTGCTCCCATCAGTATAATATTCAAAGAATTCGAGGAGCAGCCCATTGCTGCAGCTAGTCTTGGTCAGGTGTTTGATACTTTGACTCAATCTGCTCGTTTTGTATATCTTTTTCGCCTTCCATTTACATGACGGTGCTGAGTTTTAATTCCGAAAGCATCTATGTACAGGTACACAGGGCCGTGTTGCAGAACGGAGAAATCGTTGTAGTGAAAGTACAAAGACCCGGGCTCAAGAAACTGTTCGACATTGATCTACGTATGTTTCTCTACTTTCATTTACATATATTTATTGATAGATAGATAGATAGATAGATAGATAGATAGATAGTCTTATTCTAACAAGGGCCTCGAGAGAAGGGACTACCCGGGTTCTATTGGTAAGAAGATTACTGATTCGCCAACTTCCCGATCAGGAAATCTGAAGCTAATTGCAGAGTATTTTGAAAAAAGCGAAACCTTTGGCAGCAATGATTGGGTCGGTATTTATGAAGAGTGCGCTACGTAAGTACTTAGCAAGCAGCAGTTATACCTTTCTATGCTATCAAAGCTGTTTTTTGAAAATAGCTTATGGAACTAAGCTATGGTGGGTCGATATTTTCATTGTTTTCAGGATTCTATACCAAGAGATCGATTACATAAACGAAGGGAAGAATGCTGACAGGTTCAGGAGAGACTTTCGGAATATAAAGTGGGTCCGAGTACCTGTATGTTTCTTTTCTAACTAGACTGAGATATATATGCATACTTGAATTAGTCACTTCCCGGAATTATTATCTGTATATGAATTTGTTCGGTATTCATTTCCTTTTGCAGTTGGTCTACTGGGAATACACTGCCTCAAAGGTATTGACGTTGGAGTATGTACCAGGTTCGTGTTCAAACCGCCCGATATTTTGGTTCGGCTTTTATTCTTGATATCACAGTAAGAAGTCTCTTATGATTCGATCGTGCATATCGTCATAGGCGTCAAGATCAATAAGTTAGACACTCTAGATTCACGGGGCTATGACCGTTCAAGAATTGCTTCACGGGCCATTGAAGCATACCTTATCCAGGTGAATAAATATCGATTTGTCGAACCCCGTTATTCCCATTCTTGTTTTTTTTTTGTTCCGGGCTAAACTCAAAATTGTTTTTGCGGTGTTCTTAGATACTCAAAACCGGTTTCTTTCACGCGGATCCCCACCCGGGAAATCTCGCTATCGATGAGGATGAAACAATCATCTATTATGACTTTGGAATGATGGGAGAGATCAAAACATTTACTCGGAAGAGATTGCTCGATCTTTTCTATGCAGTGTATGAAAAAGATGCCAAAAAGGTATATGGACCGTTTCAAATTATTTCGAGTTCTATTCTCACGCTATCCTTACACTGTGCGGAAAAAAAATCTATACGTATCTGCAGGTCATGCAAAACCTTATCGAGCTCGAAGCACTTCAACCCACCGGAGATTTGTCATCGGTACCTCATCTTTCTCTCGTAATATAACGATTTATGCGTTATTTACTCGTTGATTGTTGTAAAAAACCGTTCTTGTTTTTAGGTGAGGAGGTCTATTCAGTACTTCTTGGACAACCTATTGAGCCAATCACCCGACCAGCAGCAGACTTTGGCAGCTATAGGAGAGGTACTGATCGAAATTTGCCTCGACTCTTACGGATCTTTCAAGCTTCGTTCTATGGAGAAAGCGAGGGACAGTGTCACGGTTGGGATTGGTAAATCAAGAAAGTTTTTTTTTTTCTACTTTTTTCCATGTCAGGACCTGTTTGCAATTGCTCAAGATCAGCCATTTCGCTTCCCGTCCACTTTTACATTTGTCCTGCGGGCGTTTTCCACCCTCGAGGGTATCTCTCCCTTTCCTCTGTCTCGCTAAAATCATCTAGAAAGTTTGAAAATTTGGTCGGTTGAAGTGAAAAAGTTGTCGTTTTTACAGGTATCGGTTACACCCTCGATCCGGATTTTTCCTTCGTGAAAGTTGCAGCACCTTATGCTCAGGTTCTTGCCCATCTTCTCCACTCGGAAAACCCGAAAACTTAACAACCGTTCCTTTCTTTTTGCATCGAAGTTAACTCATAAACGTCCATGAAACAGGAACTTCTGGATTTAAGAACAAAGCGGCCTACAGGAACTCAGCTTGTTCAAGAAATAAGGAAACAAGCTGATGATGTAATGGACATGCTCTCCCGTGGTTTAGATCGTTTGTTCTTTGCATTGTTCCATGTTTCTCGTTGAAGAGATTGAACAGAGCTTCAAACTTTTCAGGCGAGGTCTTCCACTCTATCGATGCCAACCCGGATTCAACGTATAGAAGAATTCGTAAAACAATTGGAATCAGGCGACATGAAACTCCGAGTCCGGGTTCTTGAGGTAAAATCCTCTCACGCTGGAATTTTTTTTGTGATATTTTCTGCTTCAAGGTCACATAATCTTTACTGAGAATCAGAAGAAATTACCAGAAAGGAAAAGAAAAAGCCTTAGCTTTACTGCTAGTAATGGAAATGTCAAAACCTTTGAGATATGGCATGAGAATTAAATCACTAAATCATTATGATCAAGAACTTTGGCAGCTGTTATATATTCTCTTTTCTCCCTTTTCCAGCGTTGTGAAAACCAGAAACCTTGAATATGTTTTACCAAAATAAAAAAAACAAGTTTGTATGACTTAAACCTTGAAACCCAAGTGCTTCAAAACAAATCTTGGATTCTAAAGATCAAGAGAGATGATGTTAGATGATGAACATAAAGCATTTAACCCGGGAACTTCTACTCTATAGCTATCGCTTGTCAAAGGTTCGGAAGGAGGAGAACCGAGTTAGAACATTTTCTTATGGTTTTCGAGAAATAGTTTTTATCATATGACCCGAGAAAAATGATGCGATCTTTTTTTCTTTTCTGCCCTGTTTGATCAGTCGGAAAGAGCGGCCCGAAAGGCGACGATACTGCAGATGGCGACGATGTATACAGTTCTTGGGGGCACTCTGCTCAATCTTGGGGTGACATTCAGTAACCAAGGAAGTCAGGTTATTGCCAATGGATCTTTCATCGGTGCAGGTACGAGTCTAATTCCGGTGTATATACACGTATATTCCGGTGTATATACACGTAAAATTGCATGTGTTTGGGATGAATTCTCTTGAAAAGCTTCCTTCTTTTTTGGTACCAGGAATTTTCATGGGTCTGATACTTAGATCTATGCAAAGGGTGAAGAAGCTTGATAAGTTTGAGAAAATGATATGATGATAGATGATGATGATGATGGTGATGATGATGAAATGGGGATGATGATAATGATGATGGTGATGGAATCTCAGAATCATTTTCATAACAAGGTGTAGCAAAATCCTTGAATTCACATTTTTACACCATTTTTAAAGTGTACAAAATTTTACTGTCATGCATAAATCAGTGTAACAAACAAAAGGGATATATACCAGTAACTAAATATGAAAACTCTTTTTTTTTTTTTCAGATTTCATGAATAAATCTAGTCAAAGGATATAATATTATATCCAATTTAATGCTCTTATTATAGATTATGTCACATCTGAAACCATTGACATTTAACCTTTCTTTGACATTGTGATGTTATTATGTTACATATAATATAATCATTTTAAACGTTTATTATATGACCTTATATCAAAGTTGCTGAATAGTGAATATTGTACTAACAAAACAAATCTGTAGTGGTGCAGTTACCGTTCGTCTTGGGACGTTGAATCTTCGACTTTGAAGTATTTTTTTATATTATTTTCTGAATGGACTACCAGAGTTAATTTTCGATTATATTTCAATTTGTTTTTTTTTTTTCGTTTTTTGAAATTATTATGTTTATTTAAATACGTTGCAGGGCCCATATAAGGCCTATATAGGCCCACCTTTTTGCCGTGGCCGAACTGTCTACCAAGTACCAATCCGTATGCTCAGCTAATTTGCTCTTATAATTTATAGTTTAATGATTACTTTTTAATTACAATATTATTGATAATGTTATTGATCCAAGGGTTTCGATTTGGATATTAAATTCATGTTTTCTAAAAATAAAACTTTCATATAATTGTCTTATCTTAAACCTCATCCAATAAAGTGTATAATATCCTAAACCGATTTCCGCCAACGGTGCATCAATTTTGCGACTTAAACTTACCACGCAGTCTAAAAATTTGAAAGTAAAAAAAAAAGAAAAATTAATAAATTATATATACATACACTGATACACATATATATATATATACATATATACTAAAGGGTATTAGTACATCTCGATTAGGATGTAAAACGAGTCGCGGATCGTAGAGTGACTCACGAGCCGATCTATATTTTTTCGAGCCGAACTCAAAATATTTGAACCCAGAAAAAACCGGACCAAACGAACCAATTTGTCATGAGTCGGGTTAGCTTGCGGATCAGAAAAAAATATTTTTTAAATCGTAATATTTTTTTATATATTTTAAAATATTTTTATATACAACTTATATATTTATTACTTATTTAGTTTTTTTTAAATTTTATTTTTTTATTATATTTTAAATATTAAAATTAGTTTTCAATATTTTTATATTAAAATTTTATTTTTAAAATTTGTATATTTGACTAGTTGGTCGGCTCTTTTGGTTCGTAAGACGATATGGATTGAGGTGATATATTTTTGGCTCGCTAAAAATTAGACTGGATTAGGTTATGCTAATTTTTTTTAAATCGAAACGAATCGGGCTGTGTAGATCGGGTCGGTCCATTTTACACCCCTAATCTCGATCAGTTGAGTGAGTTTTTGTCATTTTCACTATAAATAATAATGAACTAAACGTTATGAAAAAAAATCCAGGAAAAAAACAGAAGCTGGGTCGTGGGCTTTGAAAATCCGTAAGAGCCTATTTGGTCGGCCCATACTGCATTACTCAATTCTCCAGAAAAAGGAGAAAAAGGGGAGAGAGAGCCTCGTCCCCTCGGCAATCTTCTCCGCTCTTCGGCCATGGCGGTAACGATCTTTTGCTTTCCCATTGCCTTTCCGCGGATTGATTTATCTTTCTGATTCTGATTGTCTCTGTTTGATCCTTTCTTTGATTCATCTTACAATTTTTTACTTTTTGATTCGATTTCCAATTGTTCTCTTTTTCTTTTTTTGTTTATGGATCAGTTTGTTCCGTGACATCATCATTGGATCTATTTTTTTTAAAAAAAAATTGTATTGTGGATGCACATTTTGAGGGATCATCGCTCATCGAAGAGTTAAATCGATTTTAAGGCAATTTGTGAACGTATCATTTGGGTGATCACTCTCGTTTTGTGTCATCCATTTCCGTGTTTCGTCTCGTAGTCCCTGGGGTTTGATGGTCTTTTGGCGGAATTTGTTTTATTCTCAAGGATTCAGAATACGGGATGTTGTTCTTCTGCGTATAATTTTTTTGCCATTGTTATTGTTAGTACCAATCCATAATTCGCAGACGCTGATCTTATGTTTTTCATGCAATAGTCTGCGGGGGGTTTTTTTTTTTTCTGTGTTCTTGCTTGGTTGGATCCAGATGAAATTCAAACGTTCGTAATAATTCGTAGGGATGATGATTTGTTTATAGAATTTCCTGTGTAATTAGAAAATGAAATTGGGGTGACTCTTACATTCATCTCCATCTCCATTTCAGAATCATGGTTGCAGTTCCATGTTTTTTCTTCCCTTGTTTTGACATTTTCATTTGCTGCCTCCTCCATTGTAGTAGTAGCAATTGACTTGGCTTCTTCACTCTCCTTCAACGTGGGTTAAAGTTTTCTGGTGAATATTATATGAAACATGTTTAGGAGAAGGGTCAACCCTTGCCAAAGTTTGGTGAATGGGATGTGAACGACCCGGCATCGGCCGAGGGATTCACTGTCATATTCAACAAGGCCAGGAATGAGAGGAAAGGAGGCACCAAAAAAACCGAATCCCCCAACAAAGATTCTCGCAACTACAAAAGCACTGTTGTTCTTGGGAAGCCTCAGTCTGTAAGCCTCCATATCTTATAATATAACTTCTGTTTCATTTGCTGGTATATAAATAAACCAAGATTTCATAATCATGGTTTCGGTTTTCCTTTTCTAAGCGTATTCTGCGAATGTAGTATCTCAAACGTAGATTAAATTAAACTTTCGCAAAGTTTGCTGCTTCTGATGGTGATCCTGTATCTGGCGGTGAAATTGCAGAAACGATGGTTATGCTGTGTAAAAGCCGACCGTGCTGACTGAACTCGCAGCTGTAAGAAGCTGTTTATGAAAAGGGGCCTGAAGGCTTTTGAGCGCTAAGGAGAACCAAACAGCTAACTGAATAAGAATCTCAAAGCTGTTTCCAACAGATGGAACAAGTTGTTTTTTCTTTCTTCGTTATCTATCGAACTACTTTGTACCCTTTGATTATTATCAGTGAAGTTCTTCTCTTCATGTGGATTCTATTCTATTAATAAAAATCTATTTAATTATGCATATAAGATTTTCTCGTATCTGTTCAATTAAATTAAGGTCTTGAATGATGAACAACGTGATTATCTGTGGGATTTTGATTCTAGTAAGTCCACAAAAATGTTGTTGTCAAATGATAATTTGTTCTGGCGGTTCAAAACCAAACGGTAAAACTAAAACCAGAAGATATTATTTCTTAAATGAATCTGGAAAGAAAGTCTATATCAATGCTTAACACTAAACAGATTTGAACGGATCCAGAAATTGACATGTTCCAAACTTGTTGGAACAACAACAGTTTGACCGATCTTGTCTGAATGGATAGGATAAACACATAGCCAAGCGGCAAGCAGAGCTACATAACCAGGTCTGTGACATGGAACAAAAAAGCACATCCATCCACCAAGGAACCAACTTTGTGTCTGTAATGAAAGATCTTTGATGTCACTTACAATTTCTTTTATCATGGTTCAGATAAATTAAAATTATTGGTCTAAAAAAGCGGGGAAAAAAACTCAGATTTAACTTAAACACGAGACATGCCGAGTTTGCGTTCGAACAAGCGGCGGAGAAGGTAAACCTGAAGGACACTGGCTCCGATCAATGCAGCTGACTCGAACATTGCCTTGTGAATTGCCCTTTTGCTCATGTTCTCGTTCACTGCATATCCCCCAAACCAAGTAACACGTCACTAAACACGAATTCCGATGACAAAAATTTCACGAAATTCACACAAACCTAAGCCCGAGGGCGGAATTTCCAAACGGAATTTTTGGATTTTTCGTGTTTTCTAGAGGAAGTAGAGCTTAAGCTTATATAAACTTCAAGATTTGAAGTCAGCTTCGGAATGGGTTTCGGGACAATCTTGGTTCTGAGTATTTCGCATACGCGGATACATGTATATCTAATGGCGATTTCCCGAAAGATTTTGTTCTTTTTAGTATTTTGCATTGAAGGGACCACCAGTTCACAACCATCTCTTGATTCCAGGTACGAAGATACGAGAAATGAAATCGGATTTTAAAAACGTTACCGATAGCCTGTCGGTCGGTCTGAGCCTCCAACCAGTGTTGTTCAAATTGGATGTTGTAAAGGGCTTCCTCCAACTTGGAGATCTGCTCCATCAATGGTGTAAAATGCTCTGCAGAAATTCACAACAAAATGGTCTCAGCAAATCTATCAAATCTAAGAGAAGAAACTGATCAACCCTTCAACCGAAACCGAAAACGAAAAAGGAAAAATGAACGATATTACCGTCTTTTGCATGCTGATCGTAGTATGCAAAGTGAGCGAGTTGAACATCAAAGTCGATAGTTTCGTGGTAAGGAGACTTGTTCGTGAAGCAGAATTTGTATACCCCTTTCCTTTGGACAACAAACTCGTGCTTGCCACTAGTCTGGTCCCGGAAGTCGTGCACTTGTTCACCTGTCGGGCCATGAATCTGATACAACCAAAGGAACCTCATGTTAAGTACTAACAAGAAAATGACGGGATTTTTCACTAGCACTGAGATGTCCAAACATTAAAAAAATCTCAGAACTTTTACCATACACGAACATAGCGTAAAACGCATCAACACGATGGAACTGAGGAAAAACACGAGAAGATACCCCCTCTTTTACACGGTGAACCAAGGTATTTTCTACTAGAGAACATATATTTCCTGTTATTACATCTCTACTATATCCTATCAACCATGTAATGAAAAACAAGCAAGAACTAATCGAGTTAGCTAGTTGAGGAAGAAGAGACATATTACAAATTCATGTAATTTCTGGTCCAAATTTCTACAGGAAGCAATCGAGCTGAGAACTCATCCATCATCAAGCAATCAGCCGAAGATGCAAAGACAAAACAACCATTCTGTAAAATTCTAAACCAATTCATCATTACCAATAGAGGCTCGAAAAATCCAAACTTGCAAACACCCAGAACCTCAAATCCCATTCACCATTACCGATTCATCGGAATTCCATAGCTTCCAGAGAAATAGTACAGAGAATGTTAAAAAGAGTAAGGGTGAAACCCTGAAAAACAAGCGGGATAAGACGCGGAACATACCACAAGATCTACACCATCCTCGTTGTAATGCCACTGGGCATCGGACTTGATGACAACGAACGAGGCGTGAAGCGTATCGCCTTCGTATTCGGCTTTATGAGAGAAGCACTCTTCTCTGTCTATCACGAATCTTATCCCCAACGTAACCTGGAATCCCCACAGGAGCCCTAATACTACAATTGTACTCTTCAAGTCCATCTACCGCCCGAAAAAAAAAAAAGAGAGGAAAAAAAACCGCCATCGCATCATACAGAAGAAACCCAGATTACAGTTTCCAAAATTCGGAAACAGAAAAGCTATAAGCTTCGATATGGGGATGAAAACGCAGACGGAGAGAGAGGGGTTTACCTTCGAAATTGGCGAATTCAGAGGGTTATTCACGGAATTATTCGGTCACTGGAAATTGGATCTGGCCGCAGAGTAGGCGGAATCGGAGCGATCGGAGAATCCGAGATGCGGCGGAGGAGCGAGTTTCGTCAGAGAATCGGACACGAAGGTGTATTGTTTAGACGGAGGCGCAGTTTCGTGATCGGACAAGACCCGAGAATTAACTCTGAACGACGTCGTTTGTGCATCTAGAGCTGTTCAGTCAGATGTCTTACGTGGCGAATTATCATTGGGTCAGACCACGCCTTTTATACCTTTGAGATACTGCCACGTCATTATACATATACACGCAAACTCACATTGGTTATATATTTCTAGGGATGTCAATTGGGTTGGCCAACCCATTTGGGTCCAATCCATATGGATTTGAAGGATAAACGGGTTGGGTTGGGTCGACCCGTTAATAATAGTGGATGGATTGGGTCGACCCATTAAACCCGTATAAACCATATAAATCCATTTATATATTCACAAATTACTTATACATATATAACTATTTAATATGTATATTCATATAACCTAGAAATTATCATTTTAATATTCAATTCGGTTTATCGATTCAATAAAAATATATATAAAATTGGATATTATATTATATTCGATAGTTTATAAAAAAATTATACATTTCTTTAAAAAAAATAAGATTTTTTTATTTTTTTTAAATTCGATTCGATGTTTTAAAAATATTGTCGTTTAAATTTTTTGAACGGTTCGTTTTAAAAACGACACCGATTTTTTCAATACGATTCGATTAAGAAATGGTTCCACTTTTTCGGTATGATGTGTATTTTCGGTACGATTCGATTCGGAACCGTAATTTGGAAAAAGAAGGGATATTGGACAGTCTTAAAAACTTTTTCGTTACCGATTTTTTTATACGATTTGAATTTTTCGGCACGATTCGATTCGAAAACGACACCGAGTTTTTTGGTACGATTCGATTCGGAACGGTACCGAGTTTTTTATACGATTCGAATTTTTTTACACGATTCGATTCGAAAACGACACCGTGTTTTTCGCTACGATTCGATTCGGAACGGTACCAAAATTTTTATACGATTCGAATTTTTCGACATGATTCGATTCGGAAACGACATTCAGTTTTTCGGTACGATTCGATTCGGAATGGTACCGAGTTTTTTATACGATTCGAATTTTCCGGCATGATTCGGAAATGACACTGAGTTTTTTCATATGATTCGATTCGGAAACAAAACCAATTTTTTCGGTTTGATTCGGAACGGTATCGAGATTTTATACGATTCAAATTTTTCGGCACGATTTGATGCGAAAACGACACCGAATTTTTCGGTATGATTTAATTCGGAGCAGTATCGAGTTTTTCGTCACGATTCGAATTTTTCGATACGATTTGAAAACAAAACCTTATTTTTCGTTACGATTTGATTCGAAAACGATACCAAATATTTCGATTTAATTCTTATACATATATATAAGTATATATAAAAATATCTAAATATATAATGAATTTAATAGGTTAACCATTTAACCCATGGGTTTAATGGATCAAAACCCATTTAACTCATTTTAAAAAATTAACCAAATAGACTAACCCATTTGGGTTTATAAATGGGTCGGGTTGAGTCGACCCGTATAACCCGACCCATTTTTCAAATGGGCTAACCCATTTGGGTTTATAAATGGGTCGAGTTGAGTTGACCTGTATAACCCGACCCACTTTGACATCTCTAATTTTATGATATAATAGTGTGTGTTTTTTTTCCTGTGAAAGAAGACGATAATAATATCGTTTTAAACAAAAACCACGTGGAATAGGGAATTATATAATCCGTAGTGAAAGAAATATGGAGAATGGAAAATGAGACTCATTTTCCAACTTTGATATTTTTAATGAAATTTTGGTCAAAGAATGTTAAAAACAATGGAATATTTAAATTTATATAAATTAAATTAATCTTCTAACGTTTTCCTATCGAGTCTCGGGGTTGACTAGTAGATTCATTTCGAAGGCGAATAAAAAAATTAGATTAATTTGACTATTCCTAAAAAAAGTAAAAACAACACAAAATTAGACTAATTTATTTAACAATCTACAATAATTAAGATTTAAATTCTACATTAAGCTTTAAGTTATTAATGTATGAGCCTCTAAAAGTTTTTTTTTTTAATAACTCATTATTTCCTTCATCTATTTTTTTTTAAAAAATATTCATTGCGTATCCTGATTTGTTAAAAAAATAAAAGCCGTACAGAATCCTATTAAATGACAACTCATAACATGCTGATGCTGTTAGGGAAAATCCTATTAAAGCTATTAATGATTTATTGAGCAAACAAAAAATTCCAAAAAAAATAAATAAATAAATAAAAGGACAATATTTGGAACTGTCGTCAGAAGAACAAGTCAATCATCCTGACTCCACGTGACGGCGCGTGCTCAGACGGGAATATTACTCAAATAACCCACTTGGGTCGCAGCAATTTCAGTGTACACCACCGAATATATTTCACCATATGGAACGGGTTTTCCGACACATTTTCATCGGTAGGTTTCATAATTAAGAAAAAAAATTATTAGAACGATTTACATAATAAAATTATATGTAATAAATTACTCTTTATATTTCAAAATATTTATAGTTTTAGGTTATTTTTCAAGTTTCAAAATATTTGTCATTCTATATTTTTAAGATATTTTTTTACAATAATTTTCAATTTTATCCCTATTAAATTCCAATAAATTATTAATAATAACATTGTTTTTATTATTAGATAAGGTATATGTGATTTTTTCTATTTTTTCTTAAAAATTTTTGAAATAATCTAAAACAATAATTATTTTGAAACGGAAGGATTAACTGATAAAATTATTAATTAAGGGATTGAATGAATGTGGTTTTTAAAGTTTTTAAAATTCAAAAACTAAAAAAAAAATTGATAATCTAATTTTTTGTAATTTTTGTTTTTTAAAAAATTTGGAAAACATTTTAGTGAAATAATTAACTAAAAATTAAAAACTCTATTTTTTTTAAGATTTACAAAACTACAAAAATCAAAAGTGAAAATCTCAAAATAAAAACTTTACCCATTAATAGCCTAAAATTTCTGGATATGAGTTCCAAGTATTAACTTATGAATACAATACAAAGTTTATGAAGATCGGTTCCCATCTACTTGTGTGCAGCTGACAATGCCCATATGATGTTTTCTTCTAGATGTTTCCAGAGGGAAACTTAGAATAGTTCTGTGCCTATATAAAAATTCATATGCAGATACAGTACAGTACCTTATGAACATTAAATTCAAAAAGTTGCTGAAACTTTAAATGTATGTTTATTTAATATTTTTTATATAATGTTTTGGAGAGGTGGTAATGAATCTTTTAATATCTGATTTGACTTCTAACAATTTATAAAGAATTATATCTATTTAATTGTTTGAGGATTATCTATTTGGTTTCGCTAAAAAAAGAAATTCATCAAATTTAATCCACGGTAAATTCTAAATTCAATCTTTGTCTAAAAAAAAATAATGTAAGAAATGTCTCCCTATAGCAAGTGGGATAAAGAAGGAAAACAAAAGCAATGGAAAAAAAAGTTAATATTTTTTCAAAAAGGAAAAACACACAAAAGGAAGAAAAGTAAAAAAACAAAAAAGCCCTACGCCTCCAAATTCAATTCACACTGCATATTGCTCCTTCGTCTCGTCTCCTGGCCCGTCCTCTTCTCCCTCTCTGCTTCTTCGTCGGTCGTCTTCTTCCTCGTTACTTTTCCCAGATGATTCGATAATTCCTCAGTTACGCAGTTGTTTCGAATCTAATCCTCTCTGGCTGTCCTCGTGGCTCGTGATACATAACTCACGTGGTCGTCTATATACGTATATACGAACTGTCAGACCCTCGGTCTGGTCCCAGATTTGGTTCGGGCAAAGCAGAGGCGACGAGCGAGAGACAGTTGGAGAAGATGGTCGGCGGCGGGACTAGGGTTTCGATGTCTGCGAGCACGAGGAAGATGATCCAGAGCATCAAGGAGATCACGGCTGGAAACTATAGCGAGGATGAGATTCTCGTAATGCTCCATGAATGCGACATGGATCCCGACGAGACCGCCCAGCGCCTCCTTCTCCAGGGTATAATCGTGTTGCTCTTTTTTTTCCTCTCAATTGGGTTTTCCAGTCCTCGCCCTTATCTGATGCTGATTTGCTTGACTCGATCCATCATATGACAGTGGAATTCGATTTCGTGGGATTTCCACTTAGCTTACCGTTTGATTCGTCTCGTGTTTTTCCCTCATTAGGTGAATTGCTTAGGTTTCGATATGATTACCTTTTCTCTCCTGTTGATATTTCGGGGAGAAGAAAAGGCAATATCCTCTTCTTTTTGTTTATTTGAATCTCATGTTAATCGTTTTCCGTAAAAACTTAAGGGAATGATTAGATCAGAATTATCGTTTACTTCCTCTGGTAATGCTTTGAAGCAAGAACAACTAGCTTCTAACTGAAGGTTTTCCGAGTGATTTATGTATGCCTGTATGTGAAGAAAGTCATTAATCCACGAGGAGGATATTTAGGCTATGTCATATGTGAGTCGTAAACAAAGTTTGATGCTTTCTCACTGAAGAATCATGTTTAGAAATTAAATTCACGGGGCTGTTGATGTCATTGTCTCTGGATCTGTTTCCATGTTTTGGCTGCATTTACCATGTTCTTGTATTCACAGTTGTCTAAGGTTGCTTGTTAAGGCGAAAATTGTTTCTTGGCATGCTTATTAATGGTCTTGTATCAGCTCTCGTGAGAGTCTACGTATAGACGATGGCTGCATACCAATTGTAGCATGTTATTTGAAGCGATTCTGGGTTGTGATTTTCCGTGGTTTTAGCTTTTGTTGTATGAATTAATTGTTATTCTATCATTTGTTTCTGAGCTAATGCAAATATTGGGGTATGATTGGACAGACCCATTTCATGAGGTGAAGAGGAAGCGAGACAAGAGAAAAGAGGTATAGATCGATTGTAGTTCATCTAACTCTTGGGGTTCTCTTTAAAGCATGTGTAGTCTGCAATGGACAGCATAATTTGTGATATGTAGAATTGTAGATTCACACTGCAGGTCAAGTGCTAATATCAATTTTTCTTGATGTTGTTACAGAACCTTAGTAACAAGGATGCTGTGGAATCCCAATGGGGATCTAGTGGCCAGGGACGTGGGAACAGGGGTGGTCGAGTTAATTTTTCTTCTCGCCATACAGTTCACGGTAAACAACTATCTCTGGGGCTGCAATGTGTTAGATGTTGCTTCAATCTTCTTATATGATGTAGTTTCTCCCTGTAGCTTTTGTAGTTTGCCATGATAATCCCGTTTCTTCCGTTAACTAAGTTAGACCTTAGTAAAGGCTTATTAATTGTGTTTCTGAATAGGTTATGCTATATATGTCACGGTGTATTTTTTTTATCATGTGCAATTGTGTATATAGGAAGTATCCTGGAAGCAGTCCATGATTTGTAGCTTTTTTTACTGTGAATGGTTATGGCTGTTATAGCTGAGTGTTTAAATATTTACATATTATCAGATACTGGCAGTGCAAAGAATTCTTTCAAAAAGGAGAACGGCTCGAAGCAGGTCACTGATTCATCCATACCAACTTCTCAGAAGACCAAAAAGGAGGAATCTGCTTCAAGGTGATCATTATCGTATTAATATTATTTCTACCCTGCATCATTTCCTTGTCTATGTGGCATACAGGTGAATGAATACTATCCTTGCCAAAAGCAGGGGGTTTGCAATTTAGTTTTATACGGGATATACATTACATTCATGAATATGCTATTTGCATAATTCTTTATCTTCCTCTTTGAATATTTGGTAGCTTCCCGGCTATATTGGACAACGGTTCTACTGGTCTACCCTCTCAAACCTCCAGTGTTCAACATGCTTCCAACCTCCCAGCTAATTTTGGCCAACCTAAAGCTACGGGATCTTCTGTCTCGGCAAACAAGCTGGGTGAGGCAGCACCTTCTGTTGAATTGACCCAAAAAAATCAAGGTGCAGTATCTGGTTCTGGGCATTTGGCCACTGAGCAGAAGCAAGTTCACTCTCTACCACTCCCTCGTCTGTTTTCTTCTAAAGTTCGATACTCGTCTTCAGGTCCCAAACCAGGGAATGAACAAACACCTCAAGAACAGCACGCTGGAGAACATAGGTATACAGGGAGACCCCAAGGGGTAGGGAAGGTGGCTCTTTCTGATCCTCATGGCTCCAGGCCAACATCAGCTCATAGCAACAGCACAGGTAGTCGGCCTTCTTCCAATTACAGCAATCGGTTGCAGCAGACAGTTGGTCATCAAAGAGGTAATGGTGATGTATTTTCTGTTTTATTAAATTGCTGCTATCTGTGAAATAGCCTGGTTTTATAGTGAACGTTATCTTGATAGATCATGAAACTGTGCACCTATATTCTATAAACATATTTTCTTAGTAGAAAATCTGAACTTATTAGAGGTATTTTCTGAAAAGATGAAAACAAATGATACAGAAGATGTGCTTGACTAAAAATTTAGTATATTCCTGGTGAGTAAATTCTGCGTATAGATAAAACACTGGGTGTGGTTTTCAAGAGAAAAGCAGTTTGGCAGGTATAGTTCATCCTCATCATATGTTTTTTCTTAATTAATGCAAGAAAGCATTCAGCTGACATCTATATGTAATTGTTATCTTTTTCCGGTAGGTGGCTCTGTTAAGGAATGGAAACCAAAGCCAGTGAACCTTAATCCTGTCCAGGGTTCTGGGGCATCGGCTGCATCAGAAGTTCCTGCAGTTCCATCCGAGCCCAGTGAGAAAGCATCTAGTCAAGAAGCTCTTCCTTCAGTCGAGGCAACTTCAAAACTGCAGAAGCAGCTTGAAGACTTGCACATTCAACAACGTCAGCATGTTATTTTTCCAAATCATATTCTTGTTTCAGAGGCTGAACGAACCATGTTAAGCTTTGGAAGCTTTGATGCTGGCTTCTCTTTAACATCAAACATGGTAACTGGTCCCGAGAATGATAAGAGCTCTACTCCTCTCTCTCGGGCTTCTCATGATGCTGAAAGAAGCCTTGAAGAGGGTGCATTCAGGTATCAACAGCCGTCTCTACTTCAGTTCTTGTTGATGTTGCTGAGAATTCGTTACCTTCTAATTTATAGCCATGTGGATTTTAATTACAATGAAGCGCCTGGAGCTTCGTTTCTGGGTCATAATGTTCACACAATATGAATTCTTAGCATAATGCTTCAAATTTAAGCTTTGCATTTCTAACCTTTACAATTCAGATTCTCGAACATTGATGACGTGTCATATCCTATCTAGGAACTTTCTCTGCCTAACCACGATCATATTAATGTGGCTAAGGCCTAAACTGAATTTTCTTTTGAATCCAGTAACCAGAATGCATCAATGACGGAAAAGGAAGGGGATATTCATGAAAACTCTGAGTCACCTTCACAAGTTCAAGATGATTTGGCTGTTGATGGTGTTATCTCAGCTAGTACTGCTGCAGAGTACAATGAACCCAAACAAGAGAGCATTTCGGAGTCTGAAAACCATCAGAACTCCTCACATGATTCCCAAAATTATGGTATTGGACTTCCTCCGGCACTTGGGAGCCAACTTCCGCAATTTGAGAACACTGATCCTCAATCACGTGATGCTTTCCGTATTCAAAGCTTTGTGGTAAGCTTTCAAAACTAATATAACAGATGTGTTGTTAACTAATATCCTATGTCAAATGCTTTAAATTGTCTGTTATGCAAGCAGTTAGTATTCATTGAAAATGAAAATTTGGCAACTGTTCGTACATATCTATAGCAATTTTACCATTTGCATTGTTTTTCCACCCTGTCTTTCAACGTAATTACTGTCCTTTTCTTTGTTGTAGGTTCAACAACCAATTGATCCAGCAAGTTACTATGCTCAGTTCTACCATTCTAACTCGGACAGCGATGGGCGTGTTTCTCCCTTTATTTCCCCAGGGGTTGCCACCAAATTCAATGGCAGTGTTACAGTATTGCCTCCACATTCATCTCAATCTCTGCAAGAGGTTTGTTCAATATCATGGGTGAATCTAATGGTTTATAACACATCCGATTTAGATGGTTTTGGAAGTTTTATGTTTACCATCAAATTTCATCCTGGAACAGCAGCTGCAGCAGTAGTCAAAATAATCAGTTTACCCCATTTTTAACATCAACAAGATGGATGCGTGTATGTTTCTGAGATGCTCATACCTTTTTGTTTTGCAGGGTGGAAACACCTTAGTTATGTCCGCTGCTAGTCCAACTCCGCTGGTTACCCAACCTGCTGGGCTGATGCAGAACTCTGTACCTGTTTTCCGTCCTCCTGGCATGCATGTGTCGCCCTATCCGCCGAACTACATGCCATATGGACACTACTTCTCCCCGTTCTATGTTTCCCCACATTCAGTCCACCAGGTCTTAAGCAACGGTGCATTCCCACAGCAACCTCAAGCAAGTGGTGGTGTATTTCCCGCCCCTGGAGCTTCAACAGGAGGCAAGTACTCGCTTCCACAATACAGGACTGGAACTAATTCAGGAAGCTTGACATATGTCGGTACGCCAAGTGGCTATGGACCGTATGGTTCCTCCACAGCCGGTTATTCTCCCATTTCTGCTATGTCAACCGGGAACCCGACTGCTAATGATGATCTTAATACGCCACAGCTGAAGGATTCCAATGGCTACACCACTGGACACCAGGTTTGATGTTTCTTCGTATTCTTTGTTCCTGAAGTAACTCCTTGAAGATGTTCGGACATCCTTAGAGTCATCCAACAGCAAAATATATTCTGCATTAATAAAGATCGTATTCTAACAGATGAGCTTGCTTGTTCACAGGGTAAAGCTTTGCCTGTATGGATCACGGGAGGTCGTGATGTGTCCAACTTGCCACCAAACTCTTTTTGTAACCTACAACACCAGGGCCAACACATGGCTTATGCACCAACACAAGCTGGTCATATCACGTTTCCCGGTATGTATCACCCTACACAGGCAGTAGCAGCAGCGGGCGTTCATCCGCTCTTACAGCAGTCTCAGGTCGTGGCTGGACCAGATATGGTGGCACCCGGGCCGAATGTTTTCCAACAGCCTCAGCAGACACAAATGAACTGGCCAAGTAATTACTGAGGGTAAAGGAATTGTGTTAAAGAGGTTTCGAATCCAATCTTGTGGATTGTTCTTGGGAGCTCCAAAATAAGGATGAGAAGCTGAGGAAAAGGATAATAGTTATCAAACTGTAGAAGAATTGTGGCCCCTCGCCCCTCGGGTTGAAGAAGGTATCGGATGAGAAGGGCTTGACAATAATGATCGAAAAAAGCTCGGAAAGGTACCGTCTTTCCTTATCGATTGATATATAAAATTTATTTCGTAGTTTCAAGGGTTCTTAGCTCTCTTCAAGTTGTTGTGAACAAGGCAAGAACTTTGAGGATGAGTCGCTCTTTTCGCTATTATTATCGCCGGCTTTTGGTTCAAGTTTTTTGGAATAGGGCTCCAAAAGGCAAGTTATATAAAGAAGGGATTTCTGATCCTCCCTGTTTTTATCCTCTTCTATTTTGCCATGTTTCTCTCTTCAAATGTAAAGTGGATTTTTTTATAGCAAGAGAAAATGGGGAATGATGGTTGATGATGATGTAACACAAGACTCTGTTGTAATTGATTCCTGCATATTCTGATCAATTGTTTGAGTTTTATTGAAATGTATATTCATTGAGCCATCCCTTGGTAATAGAGCCTCGCTTGCATGTTCCTTCCTCACCCGTTTATTTGTCTCTTTGCATGTGTATGTGTCACCACCATATGACCAAATCCACACCTGTCGTGGAGAGATCTGATCATTATTGTATGGTGTTAGTTCTTGCTAACCCTCCGATTCAACCAGAGGAATATCTTGATTTAAGCTAACATGCTATGTGAGAGCTTGAATACCATTTTAGTTAGTACATCATATCACTTCCACTTTCATGCCCCCTCTGTACAAAAAACAACAACAACAGTATAATCCCATCTTCTGTACATTGGAAAACCCTCTTCTTCAAACCAAATGCTTCACCAGAAACACGACGACGAAAGCTCTTCCTGTGGGAGCAAAGGGTTCCGACACAAGGGGCAAGTGTTGTTCCAGTAATCTATCCATTTCTCCAGACACGCCTTGTGGAACACGTGCCCACATTCCAACTTGTTTATCTCTGACTCTGGTTCGAATTTCATCAAACAGACCGAACATTTCTGGTCGGAACGTCGTTGGCAACTACATATGCTCTTGAACTGAGTTGGTGGGTTCCGGCTCCTGAACTCGTCGAGGTAGTTACATTCCGAAGCGTAGATTCTCAGGTCGTATGCTTCGTCTGAGTATGTGTCAGATGGATCTGATGCTGCTGCTGCAGCAGCAGAGGATGACGAGAGGCGGATATTACCAACAATGTGGAGGATCGATCTGACTATCCCTTTGACTATGGCTATCGACGAGGCAGTGTTTACTAGTAGCACACAGAGCATTCCTTCTGACGGAGCAGGAAGACTAGACAGACCCATTTTTTTCTTTTTGTCTTTCTAGATACTGTCGGAAAGGTTGGTTTGTGGAAAGCTCGAACAAATGGCAGAACTCGGTTTCTGATGTGCTGTTCCGCTTCCTCCTATGTCCCTGTCCAAAAATAGCAAGGTCTAGACTCAGATAAGAACACATCGCAACCAGATAAAGTAACCAAGCTTTTCCAAAGTCTACTGCTTCTCACTGATCCAAATCAAGAACAGAAGCGTAGCTAAAAACACGTGATGCACATCGAAAACGAACCGGACCCAAATTCAAAAGCAACGTATTTGATAGACAAAACAAACAGAAGTGGGATTTATCAAATTGCGGGTTCTAACTCGAGACATCATTTCAGCCATGGGAACACGGCTTCAGTTCAGCCGCCATGAAGCAAATACAGATTTGGAAACCTAACCCGTTCAGAAGGTAAAACAAACATAGAATTTGATAGGTAAACCAAAGGGAGTTGCCCCAAATTCGGTTGAAAACATTACCAGAATCTTCAAATTCCTCTGCCGTTGCGTTCAATGTTCGATCACAGTTACACAAATTAAAAAAAAAAAAAACATAAACAGATACAAACCCCAATAAATTCTTACTGATCATTATCTATAGGTCCTAACAACATCAGTGATCAAACATATGGCCACATGTGTGGCTACAGAGTAACATATCTCCGGAACATAAATGCTTCAAAAGGATACCGTAAAAGCCAAACCCCAAAAGCTCAGATTTAGAATCAAAGTTGCAGGATTAGAACAAAAGAAACACAGAAATCATGAAAAACAAAGATGGAAAACATCGATCTTGCACATTTTCGGGCATAAACTTACCGAAAATTCAACACAGCTCGCGTGAACTATCCCAATCAGAAATAAAACCTCGGCTCTCAAAGAGCAAGACCAAGTATAAATCCGAAAATTAGGTGGAAGCACTATTTGGAATTTAGGGTTCTTACGGACACAAGATATCAAAGGTTTCTAATTTTGGTCTGTATCTTCTTCGGTATCTTTGCATCTCCGCACCGTTGTTCCTTCTTAATATAAGCTCCAACAACCTTTAGCCACGGTTACTTAACCATGGTTAGAATCCCGGCTAGCCTTTGTTAACCATGATTACTTTATTTTTTCACATAATGGAATCGGATATGTCTTCATCAGATCCTTTTGTACTGTTTTCATTTTTGTTATCTTAATTTTCGGTAATTTAAAAATATACTAATTAAAAGTGATGATTTTTTTGCCGGCGTTCTTTGTATTCGCAATTATTTATCAGATTTTTCCTTCATTTTAAATTCGAATAAAGAAATTTTTTCATATCTTTCTTTTGATTTTATTTTTGTTGGTAAAGACCCTTTCTTTTGATTCTAAAATTTAAATATTATTATGCATTTCTAATAAATTACATGTTCAAAATGTTTTTTTTAAATTTTTTATGCATACCTTTAATGATTTCATTTTTTTATTTTTGTAACCAGTCACATAAATTGTCATGTGGTATGTTTTCTTTCAGTATGATAGGAACATATCTACTTCTATAAAGACAAAAGCTTTAAATGCTTTCTGATAAATAAATAAAGAGAACAAGGGAGAAAGATACCCAGATATGTGACTACTATTTTCTAATATATACTATGTTGCTTGTGTACAAATAAATTATATATATATATATATATATTATTCTGAAATATAATATGGGTTACATTTGTCATTTTAAATTCCTATGGTTACTTTAGTCGGACTTATTTTTTCATATTAAAATAATTGATCATAATTTTTTATTCAAAATATTTTTTTAAAATTCAGTTATATTAATAAGAGATAAGATTGTGGGAAGTATAGTTGGGTAAAAGACCTGATCGGGTGAATTTTCGAATTATAAAAAAAAAATAATGCGTTTATATATTTTTATATTTGTATTGTTTTAAGATTTTCAATTTTAATGATATCATATATGAATATTTTAGGGGTAATAAAAGTTGGAAACTTGGGCTGTACGTATGCGTTAAAGAACTGACACTGGCATTAGGGTATTAATTAACCCATGATTAAAGAAGTGCCATCTTTGTTTTGTTGTCGTTAATTTGGCATGTGATTAGTTCCAGACATTAACTCCTAAAATCAACCGCAGAGCCCAAGTGACCAAAATATCAAATAAAATAGTAGCAAGCAAACATATAATATAGTTAATTTACCATACAAATAAATTTGAGAAGAAAATAATTATTGGCGAGTAAATTCGACAACAAGTACACGTGTCACTGAATATGAACAACAACAATAATTTTATTAATAATAATAATAATAATAATAATTAGGTAGAGAACTTGCATTATATTATATATACATACGTATATATACGGAACTTGTATCTAAAAAAAGTAACAAAATATGGAATTTGGATTCGTAACACACAATATATCCCCCCTCAAATGAATGAAACTATTTCAATATATATATATAGTAGGTACACGTGTGAATATAAATAAAAAAATAAAATGAATTAAATATAAATAAGTTTGGATTGAAAACGTTTTTTTTTAAATTGCATCAATTAAAATAAAAAATGAAGTTTATTATTGTACAAAACAAAGGCTTGGATTTGGCGTGTGTAAGTGTAACAAGTACTCTTTGACCATAGAACACGTTTTCTCCATAGGTTTGTAGTATAATACAGGTTCTGTATATGTTTATATATGACACACGTGTATTGATTTCTTCTAATAATAAATTAATATGAGCACTTTGATAGAGGCATTTTATGGGTGAAAATTAGAGTTGATTTATTTTTGGTTTCCGGTTTTAAGGTTTCTTAATATGTAAATTCTACTGATTCAATTTTACTAATAAAAATGATCTATTTTTTAAAAAAGAAATCTGCATATTAGGTTTCTCAATCAATTTATGATATACGCATTCGGTTACTTTAATGAAATGGTGCGATTTAATTTGTTTTTTTTTTTCTATATGATACAACATAACAAAATGAGCCTCTATCTACGTTGGCCCAAATATGAAAGCCCAATAAGGTTTAGAATCCTCTTCACGGCCCGACCCAGTGTTTTTTTGCGAAAGAAATTGAGCTCGCATGCTCCAATGGAAGAAAGCCGCTGAAGCCAAGGACTCGGACAAAAAAAAAGGCATCCCTCTTCTTCACCAAACGGTCAAGCTAGTATATTGAACTAAGATCCAAAATAATCTCGAGATCGTAGTTTAGCCATATAATTTGGAATATACGTCCCTTCTCTAAATTTGAAGTTCGAATTCGGGATAGTACAAACGCTTAAACTATCCAATTTTGGGTAATCTTATATTTTAGTTGAATGACATATAACTTTTGTTCCTCATAGTGCAAAAATGATAAAAAAAAGCAGAGTTGTATTCCTTCATTAATTTACAATCTCACCGTGGAGTGAAAGACAGTCATATGGACATACATACATACATACATACATACAAGCAGATTGTTTAAGCATCTGCTTATGTGTGTGCGCAAGGAGGGTACAAAACTCATGGGCGGGTTTTTCTTGGTCTCCCCTTATGCAAATGTTTCCAATACATACTACAAATGGAAAGCCTTTTCTCTCTGCAGAAAGACCATCCAAAGAAATAAACATAAATGTTTTTGTGATGTAAAAGAGACAGACCACTGCATCTCTCTTGATGAAAGTGTGAAGCTTTTGAGGCCAAAACTGGTGCGTGTAAATAATGAATGATGGCTAAGAGAATCAAGAACTTGACCTCTCTTCAATGCCAAAGTTGCCCACTTTGTTTCGTTTCTGTGTGTTTTTTCTTTGAGGCAGCTTCCAAATTCAGAACTTTCAGACCCCAGCATTGGAACTTCCAAATTCTGTCACCAATGGTTCCTTCTGTTTTTTAAACCCTGGAAAGGGTCAGGTCTCAGTAGCTTCTGGTTTGGCTGAGCGGGTCGTAGTCATAAGCATCGCCCGCTTTGACAAACCGCCCTTTCACCCGTCTTCTCACATCAGCTCTCGCCTTGCGAGAGGCATACCTCACTCTCTTATCAAACCTATTTCACCATTGAGAAAACCCGCAAAAAATGAATCACCAAAACGCTAACGGGTGATGAATTCTCAAAACGTTTTGTTCAGAAGGTACTTACTTCCGGGATTTTTTCTTCTCCTTGTAACGCATAACTGCGTTGCTACGGCTTGCTGCTTGTGAGGAAGCATTGTCCTGTGATGACGGAGGACACCATGGTGGCTCTCCCGAGAGACGAACAGATGAAACCCCGCAATCTTGATAATCCCCAGCACTACTTTCTCCAGTGATGCCGGAGAAAGAGATGTTTGAATGAGCTGGCCTTGATGTGAAGCAGATTATCGAATCGGTTTTAGCACTCATGAAAGAATCTGCGGATGCAGCATTGCTTCCAGCCGGCTGCATTGTGTTGCCCAAACCAGCAGATGAGCCCTGAAATTGAGTAATACAGAGCATGAAAATCACAACCAATGATTCATCTTACCGATTGTGATCTGATTAAAAAAAAGACATGAAAAGACCTCGGGAGCAGCAGAAGGCTTCTCAAACAGACTGTCGAGTCCACCATTTTCAAAGAACTCTTCCGAAGCATTGAAGGCTACACCAAAGAGTTCTTCGTAGTTCTCAAGAGCCAAATCAACTTCATCCTCTATAAGATTCCCGTAGAAGTCGTCATCACATACTCCAAGACCCTTGAATCAACAACGGGACAACCTTAGTTTTCGTTATGCAGACAAAATGTCCGGTGTTCTAAAGAAACATCCGGGATGGTAGTTGCCTAACAGGTGCCACGGTAGAGTTAACATAAGCCGAATGATATCAAATATATATAAATACCTTCGCCAATCTTGAACTTCCTGGTAAACTGGGCGGCGGATCCATACGATGTGCTGCAGAACTCGTCTCGGGAACTGACGAGGAGCCATCTGGTTGATCCACATTACCATCTTGGGCAATGGAGTTTTCTCTCAGGCCATCGGCTATACTCATCAAACCCATTTCTTGCTCACATGCTGACTGGCCAACTGAAGAGTTATCCGAGACAAAGGACCAGATAGAGGCAAGCTCTGAACTCGAAGGGCAACCCGAATAGCAGTTGATGGTTTGCCTTTTATGATGAGCAGAGGAAGGATTTGAGGTTCCGTGGCCTAACCACTCGCAGTTTTGACAGAGAGAAACCCTCTCTTCCTCACATCTGACTGATGCAGGCTGTGAATGGCACCTCTCACACACGAGCGTTCGGGAGTGACGTTTGGATAACGCATTAGCGGAGTGAACATTTCGGTCACAAGAGAGGCACAGACACGCTGCGTCAGATCGGCAATACACCATAGATCTTTGTTCACCGCAGAAATCACACATATAACCCATCTTCAATGGAATCAATCCTCTACTAATCTGACCCAAATCTGATTTTCTGCTCAAACTGTTTTATGTACTGGCGAAAGGAGCTTCCCTTGCTGTCATACCATTCACCATTTAATGCGTTAGTCCACAATCTTTATAAACAACGTATGGAAGATTCATATGGAAAATGCTTTAGTCAGCTGAACTTTATCTACATAGAAGAATTTCTATATGTGAAGAACCCAAAAGTTGCTTAAATAAGGTCAAAAGAGGCAAAAGATCTAACCTTTTAGAGTATTTCTCATTTTGGGTTTGATTTCCATAAACAGATGTGGGTTTAGTAAGGAAAGCAGCAGGAAAAAAAGGGGGAAATGTCTGCTCCAGATTCCCAGAAAAGGTAGCGAATCTGACAGAACTTTGTATGAGCAGAGAGACAAAAGCTATCAAATAGTAATTCTGTTTCTGAAATTCGTTGTTAAATAACTCCAGAACTATCAGAGAGCATCCAAGAATTGGAGCAATCTTGAAAAGAAAAAAGGCATCTTCAGGAAGATGAAGACGAAACACAACTATCATGTGAACAACAACAAGAAGAACAACATCCCATGATCTAAATCAAACTCAGACAACATAAACAACAACAAGCTCAAGCTTCACCTGCAGATCAACAAAATATCCACTGTTTCTTTTACCTGTAAGAAAGGATTCAAACTCCAAATTATCAGTTCCCGGGGAAAAATCTTGATCACTGAAAGAGAGGGAGAGAGAGAATCAAAACCCAGAAACAGAAGAGTGGCAAAGATCCATTCATATAACCAAAGCCTTGATCAAGAAACAGTGAGAAAAAAACATAATTATTACAGCTAAAAGAACAAGCAAACAAGAACAATTAAGATGGGCAAAAAGCAATCAAAGAAGGGGGGGAAACTCACCTTTGAGGATCCTTGACAAAACCCAGAAATCCAAAAACACAGAAAACAAGAACAGAGCCCTAGAAAACAGAGAGAGATTCCAGAACTTGGCTCGCAAAAAAATCTCTCATGCGTGTGGGGAAAAAATAAAAAATGAAAATAGGAGAGGTGGATGGATAGACAATGGGTGGGCATGTAGGCATGTGACATAAGCTGATAAAAAAGTGCCAAATAAAAATCATAAAAAATTATGCAAGAGAGAGAATAAATCTTTTAAAAAACTTTAAAAGTAAAACATATAATATTAAAAAATGATAATAAAATGGGAAAAGTGCAGAGTTGGGGGGTGTGGGGCCCGACTATATTTATAGTGAAAGGCAAAAACTTTTTGGACCCAACTGATGAATTTTAAGAAAAACAGCGAGGCTTTATGTATGCTCACGCGCCTGCGAGTCGGAATAGTGCGGTACTCGCGCAAGTAGAGTACCAATTGGCTGTTTTTGGTTCTTTTCGGGTTTCATGGATTCTCAAGGCATCACTTTTTGATGCTTTACGGCATATCAGAACACTGTCGCACACAAATATCTATTTATATACAGGCCTTTTGGTCAAATGACGACCTTACCCAAAACCAAAATATCTACAAACACATGGCTGGGATATATATATATATATATATATATGTATGTATATATATAGAGTGAGACTCTTAACTGTATGAATAGAAAAATAAAAAAAATACACAGAAAATATTATAATACAAAAAAATAAAATAGAAGGGTGTATAGATATTTATTTGCGCCTTTTTTTCTTCCTTCTAAATGCGTGAGTTAGGTCAGAGATGAACCAAACCCACCCTTTGGTTTGTATCTCAGACGGTGAAAGCGATTGGTCATATGATATTCATGCTCCGTACGAGTCGGACTAACAAGATCATAATTTCCCATTATTATTATTAATATTCATCATTTTCCAATTCCTAACATTAATAATTTGATTAAACTGACTTACATTGGTAACTATAATTTATATTCTCGATTACCCAAAAAAAAATATTTAAGATAGTTCATCTAAATTCTGTTTGAGCAAAAAGGAAGATAAGTCAAACGAGTAAAAGAAAATTTTAAAAAGAAAGGAAAAAAGGTTGAATATTTCAAATTTTGGACGAACTACATCCATCCCATTCAATTTTTTTAAATATGTTTTGAATCTAATTTAGTATTTGGTCGGATTGGAACTCAATTTTTTTATAAAAATATTTATTTTCTAAAAATCTTTTTATCATTCAATTTAATTAATTATTTTTTATATCAATCTCGAATTGGATTAGTTTGGCTTTAAAAAATTGTAACTAAATCAATTTTGTTTAGATTTGAATTCATGGCAATACGTTATTTAGCTTTATTTTATGTTGTCTATTCAAACTAAAATATCTATAGCTGTAAAGGATACCCACCAATAGGGAGAAGGAAAAAAGGAAAAGAAACTGTATTTAAGCAAAAATAAATAAATGATGCGCAAATCCAAGTTGATGGATAAGATCCATGTTCATACGATTCCCAACTTCGCACTTCACATCACAATCTTAGGAAATATATATTATATATATAAAACAACGGGCATCGAGGTAATGAAAGGCTCTAATTTCATAAGATAATATTAACAATTTTAAAAGAGTAGCGTTAGTGGATTTGATTGGTAAATTTTTATCATTGGCTGTGACAACAGCAGATCATCACATGAGATGGCCCATCATGTCCTTGAACTCTCATCATTCCCTTTTCCCGTGAGAGTGATATCAGAAAGAATATGGGGTTGAAGGGTACTCAAAACCATGGTGGTTCTTGTGAAGACTGAGGTAGATACCGCCGTAAAAACTCCTATTAGTGAGCTACAATCACACGGCTATTTCGGGTTCAGGGTTTAGGGTTCTGTTTTCTGGTTCTGTGGTGAGTTTCTCTACCAAACCCAAATTCCCAGCAACCTAAAGGAGAGTGGCTCAGCGACATGGATAGATTTTGATTCTGCCAGAGAATAAGAATCTTGACAAGGGCTAACAGGGCTGTTCTAGCGAATGGCTACATCGGATAAGAGACGATGAAGCATCAACGGGTTGGAGAGCGTTTCATCGACCAACAGGAGACAAATATCCATGAAAAGATCTGACCTGAGGATTATCCATAAAGGGCTCGCCAAGGCTTCTCTTCTTCTTTCCATGTCTTTGAAGTGTTCCATTTGATTTCGTTTCTCAGAGAAACACAGCCCTGTACTGTAGAACTTGCCACAGCGTCTCCAGTTTCATGGAGTACCTACAATTAGGACCATGCGAAATCATTATTCAGTAACAATCACAATCTAATAGAACTAACAGTTGGTATTGTGGATAAACTACCTGAAGCTCTTCCTCTAGAGCTTTGCTGGATATGCCGATACTTCTTTGCCCAATAAGAACAGAGGTAGGCAGCCCTAAAGCATTAGTCAGTTGAAGAAAGCATGATAAAGGTCCGTAATGGATCTGCAGTAATGGTGGTGGCTTTCTGGGTATGCGAGCAGCATATAAAACACTAGCCCCTGTTTTTGGACCAATTTGCACATGATAAAGACCAGAATGTTTGTTACTCGATGCAAGAGATTCGATTTGAAACTTTAACTTGGATGCCGCCACTAGAAAAGTTGCCACCCACCGTTGGAAGAGGCCGTCGACACTCCCCCTGTAATTTGGTCCAGTAGTTCATTCATTGCACACACTATCGTGGGAGCCTCACGGCTTTGGAGAAGCCATGCCGGCACCTTGAGGAAAAGAAAAATCAAAAGTAAAAGATCATGTCACTTATTTGATTCCTTAAAAGCACGTTCAGTATGAATACAAGGGCCAAATATTGGGTTTTTCTGCAATGTCATGATGCTGGTGAACAAACAATCATATAATAATAGCTTGGACTTCCGATCACCAAACCAAAAAGCCTCAAGTTTTATCATTCACCCTGATCACTCACACCAGAAGCAAATCTCATATCGTAATCAGGTTTCAACTTTGGCAAACAAAGACTGAAAGGAGGCATTATTGCTTTACCTCTAACCTTTCTAGTTTGAACTTTCTTTATTATAAGCTTCGGTTTTGGGGTAAGCCAAATGAAGAAGCAAATGGATACTACGTTGTTCAGGCATAGGTTTCTGACTTCACGAAGCATGAAACAGGAAAATAAAACACAACTGAAGAGATCAAACTCCAATGCACCACGACCCTTCAACTAACCTAGACCTTTGAGTTCACTTCTGCCCCCAAATCGAACAACGGGATCCATCCATAAGCTTTCACAAAATGTAGTTCGCAGCTCAATGTCTCCCGAATAGCATTTCCTTTTCTCCAACAAGGCACGCGATGATCCACAAAGGGTCTCCGCTTAATTTCCACCCACTTGAACAGATTCCAGAAAGACATACGCAGTTTTTTTTCGCGGCCCAGTCCACAATAAAGGGGAAAAAAACAGAAAGAGTATAAGAAGTTGTGGAAGAACCTGAAAAACTCCATTTCCATCGACGAAATGAATGATTTTCCCGCTAGCTCTGACACCTTCGATACCGTACTTATCCAACGGAAGCTCGAACGGTACTTCTCTGCAGGAATTCAAAGTCACGGAATTGAAACAAAAAGGGAATGGAATCAGAAGAGAGGTAGTGAAACCGAGGGAGAAAGAATGAGTTACAGTTTGCGAAGAGAGGAATTAGGGTTTGGGTTTAGAGCACCAGCAATGGCTGCGGCAACGCCATCGGGATCGTCCCAGAGGAAAACAATCTTCCCGGCTACATTCATTCCGGAAATCGATCTGGGTTTAGGGTTTTGTTTACCGGAGAGGAATCAAACGGACGGATTTCACAGTTTCTGATTCTATTTCTTGCGTATCAAGCAGCTGACTTTTTATTCGCATACTTGTTTACTTAAGTGGCATTATTTTCCATTTAATTTTTTTTAAAACTTGTATCTTTGAATATTTGGTCGATCGTCTACAAAAATTTGGGTTGCCTTTGTTTTTTTTTTTACAGATATTTAAATTTTTTCAATTTTAATTTGGATAATAGATTTTGTATTGTCTATTTGAATAGCAATAGCTTAAAATTTTCTAATATGTATCCAGTGTGTCTTTTATAATGATTAAAAAATAACCGCTTGCAAACAAACAATATATAAATTAATAATTTTCGAGTGTAGTGACACCCGACTCTTAACATTATAAAAAAAAAAATCGACTAAGATTTCTAAAAAATTTAAAAAAAATCTAAATGTGAAAAAAACAAAAACAAAAATATGCTAATATGATTCGGCTCACTCAAGTTTCCAAGCATAAAGAAACAAACAAAAGTCTTGCAAAGGCCCATACCCACTTCCTCCGCTAGAGGCGGAGTAATACCTACTCACCGGACTACTCCCTCCGCCGCCGCCGCTATCTCCTCCGGCCACCGCTTCCTCCGTATCTCTGCCCTCCTCCTCTGCCGCAACTGCTGCAATAGCCACCGTCACCGGCTTGAACACAAAAACAACGTTC